GTACACTACTTCGTCCACTAAACTGCCTGGTGCTTGTGCGGTGGGTAAAACCCCTTGATAGACCCAGTCACTGATGTTTCTTGCAGCACAGGGGTCGCCCGTCCGTTATAGTGTACATCCCAGCGCCTCTCAATGACAGTGGATTCCACAGGCATGGTAATCTAATCGATAACGTCACCGACTTCGTACAAAGTACTACTTCGTACAATGGCCAGTCGCTCCTAGGGTCGGCTTCATGTCAGACTCGCTACCGTGTTAAGTCTGTCGAGGATGTCAACCCGTCCTGGATCCCATGTTATTCAATCTCACTGTTACATCGGGCTATCGGTCCTGATCATACCACGAATACGATTCCTGGCTAAGGAGAGGCCCGCTTCCCGATCGGGGACAAGGAGATGCCATGCCATCGTGAGGAAGAAGGAGAACCTGCAAATTGCCCCAGCCCAAATGGGCCCAGAGATTTTACGGTGTTGATTGCCAATCTGGAGAAGGGTCGGTGCGATGAATGGTCAGCAAGGAGGCGCGTCTGATTCGATTTGGTAAAACTTAGACATCGCAATCGAAGCGGACGCTTGGAGTGGTTGATAAAGCAGTGGGAAGATGCTTCCATCACCCTTCTCCGAACGGATAATTCCTTCGCCGAGATAAATCCCCATGGCTTTTTCGGTGAGTGGAGAAGAGTGCGCCCGTCCTTATTGAGCCGGCATAAGGGTAAGTTGGGTCATTTATTGATCATCAGGAGATGGCAGCCATCATTCGCGGTCGAAATATTAATCCACAGATATATATTTGTCTACATCATATTCTCTGCCGCACTAACAAGCTTTGTAAATAGCGCAAGGTGCGCTCCTCTATATTATGGAATGTCTCGCCGCTATACAGCAAAGAGCACTCGCTCATTTTCATTATTGCAATGTACAATACTTCGCGCAAGATTCGTTGTGTTCTTTAAGATGCGTTTCCGTGGGCGCAATTTCAACTAACCGTCCGATAGACCAAACCAGGGGATGAGATGACCGAAGTCTTTCGCAACCTCTGCCGTCCCCGAAGTCCACAAGCTGATGTCCGTGACAAGGATATATGGCTGTTTTCGAATTCGGAAGTGAACTCCATAGCGAGTCAGAAGTTGCCCTGACGGAGAATGGCGATCTCATCACTCCGGTGCCGTAGCCGTGCCCGCCGAAAGCACCTCCTCATGGCGCTTGGGAAGACGGCGAAGCCGCTCTAACACGGTCCGTTGCTAACACATCATTGTCGCAGAACTTCCTCAGCAATGCAAACAGCGTTCGGTACTACTATTTAGGTCTGGTTTTCAACTCGCTGTATCGATTATCGTGTCTAATACCACCGCGTCCCGTGGCTTCTGGTTCTCCAATGTCTTCTCTCGGGCCCAGAAGCGCAGCGGCCTGGCTCAAGATACGCACCAAGCATGCTTAGAACTCCAATATGTCGTGCGGGAGAAGAAAGCTTGATAGCCAATGGTGAGAGAGGGACGGCTGTCTGCGAGCGGCATACTCGCACGGGAAACGGCGCCGGGGTAAGAGCAACTTGGCTCGGCGGTCATTACCCTGATTGCAGTGCTGAAGCCCGGAATAATCACAAATGGCGCCTGTTTCGGGGGAACGGTGGGTGTGAAGGCTATATGGGCATATCCAATACTCAGGTTCGGTGACCTCCTACCTGCCATCTCCCATTCTTCCACCTTACTTCCAAGCCAGCCGTTTTACGGCCCCGTGATCATTCTAGTGCATTGCCCTTGCCGCAATGCAGGGCTAGGTAGTGTCGTTAATATCGTCCCGCATGTTGGTTGATGGTGGGGGATATGCAGTTAATCTTGATCGGTAGGCGACGGTCTAGTCATCCCTCGGAGGCCACGGCCGAGAAACTTGCTTCTTCAGAACGGCGCCGTGCCAGTAAGGCCGTGGGGGTTAGTATTCGAAGTTCTAGACTCGTCTTTCCTCATCCAGAGGATGGCCGTCAATGTGATCTAATCAACTGGTGTAGTAGCTGAGATAAGTGGGCAACTATACATCTAGATCCTCAAGACCGCCGAGATGCTCATCAAAAACCCCGTGCCATACTGAGGGCAGCCGGGACTACCTCCATGTGAGCTACCCCGGCCATACCCTGCGTGTAGAAGCTGCAGCGGTTCCTTCGTTGTGTCCATTGTATCTGCTACTTCGTACGGAGACCCTATGACGGGAAAGACAAAACTTCGGAGTAGGCGGGCTGAGAGGACCTTAAGCTTACAGAGCTACTCGATGGTTTATTCACCCGCCAGGGTGCTGCCGCCTCGGAGTCAGGCCACCACTTCAACTAGATGGTGACTCCCCGTTTATTAAGGAGAGAAGCATCTTAGTTCTGCAGGTCGCTTCCACGACGATTCTCCTTGAGATTAAAAAGCTTGCATACCCGAATTACTTGGGGTACAAAAAACCGCGGCCGATCCAAAGGGGGCGTTTCTCCAAGTATTAGAGACGGGCTCTCTTCTTGGACTACAGGCTTCCGGCTAAAAACGAAGATCCTATAATTCTTCACCCGGCTATCTGCCACCCCCGGCCAGAGAGCGCAGAAACAAAAGGCACCGCCGCTATAGGTATAACGGGGCAATCTATTCTCTGACCTGTCAGCTGTCTTCTTGTATATAACGTTGTACAATGGAGCAATGAGGAACGGTCTTTTTTTTTCCGGAGGTGGGTGGGTATATACTCACGGGCAATTTTTTGGAGTTTTCTTCGAATTCGAACTCGAAAAGCTGCTAGCCATGCCTCGAAGGAGGATTTTGTCCGTTCTTACTATTTCGGAGGCTCCGGACTTGGAAGCGCAAATGAGAATGGGCATGAAAAGCATTGCCATTCGCGGCCAAGGAGCAGGCCTTGTGCCACACCGAAGCATGAAGGAGGAATGGCTGGCATTAGGCATGCGGGATAGGGTAATGAAGGTTCCTTTTGGTGTAGTCCACCGCCTGCATTTCCCTTCGGAAAGAGTGGTGCAAAAGCAAGGGAACTATGAGGAAACACTGGTGCCTCTACTCACATAGAGGGAGTGACATTTCTTTTTCTTGTTCCACTCTATGCAAACCACTGCAGTGACATTGTCTTAGTCCCTCGGATCCTCTAATCCATGATCAAAGGCCGGCGGTTGACCGGAGCCGTCTAGAGCTTCAGCCAGCACGGGAATGTGGCAACTGGAAAGCACCAGAAATATGAATCAATTGTCCAGTTTCTTTGGGCGTGGACGGCCAAGTTCGAAGTTCCGAAACCCTCCCCAGATCCTCTAGAGCGGACAAAGTAAGAGAGAAGGAGCTCTCGTGGTATATAGTTGGCGTATATTTGTGGAGAGGTATGAAGTTTGACACATGGCAGAGTAGCACGAGGGACTGAATTGGTAGGGTTTTACGGTCTCAGGAGATAGAACGCTGATATCTACGTTAGTAACATGAGGTGAGCTTTCGTGTATTCGAAGTCTAGCTTTGGAGCTGTGTTCCTGTCTTCAATGAACCATGCTTGTTAAACCCGTCCTCCCACGAGAGCAAGTCACCATCTTGGAAACGAAACAAAGGCATGTGGGTTATTCATGTCCTATCAATCTACGAGTATGGCCTCTAAGGAGGTCCCGGTCTAGGACGGAAGGGCAATGAACGGGTAGCTTGAAGTCGCCCTCGTTGATTGCGGAGCTTAACTTCTAAGCTAGGGGAGCTTCCAGACACACTTGAGATCTGGCCTGCGGTTGTGAGTTCTTACGAGCTCGAGTTTCTAGGCGGGGACTACTCCAAAGAGAATATATCTCCAGCGCTTGCCTCTGTAGAGACTTCTGCTGATGAAGCTCCTTCACCGCCTCTCCCTCTCTCTCGGCCTCATAGCGGTTCTCGGAACTGGAGAACTTCTCGCCGTAGGTGCTCTCGGGAGAGATCTATGTGAGAAAAGGGGCATATATTCCTCGAGATGCCCTCTCTCTCTCCCACTTTATTTAAGCCATTGAACTTGGACTTATCGTTCCACACATGCCAGCCTTGCCGTGATTCTCGGGACAGTAAGGAAGTTGGCTTAGATCAGTACGGAGAGTAGCCATGTGTCACTCAGCGTCGTCTTTCGTTTATCGCCATCTCACGGCCATGCTAGGCAGATTGTAACCTACTTCATCGAGTGGAGCCATCGCCGAGGGAGCGTGATGGCAAATCAGGCGACTTCATTCGAGTCGAGCCTATACGAGTCGTGTGTTCAACAGCTATATTACCGGTTGCTTTTCCATGAACTTATTGCATATTTCCCCAGACAAATTTAAAGCGGCGAGAAAGGGGCGTGTATGCGAGAAGTTTAAGCCATCACTGGCAAGTAGGTGTACTAGCTGTAGGCCATTGGGAAATGCGTATTTGCGCCACTGTGACTTCCTGTCCCTCCAGAACCAAGAACCAAGTGAAATCCTAGCCTCGATTTCCTAGTGCTTTTGGGGGATTCCTCGGCCATCCTCAACATGCAGGCTTTTTGGAGTACTCGAGCGTTATGATGGCACATTACGATTGCTCTCGAGGGCAGCCATAAGAGCCAGCGAAGCTCTCGACTCATCCACCCCCAGGCTTGTTTGAGTTCTCACTCCAGATGGGACTATCAAGGCCAAGGCGCTACTACTGGCGTTGTGCCTTATCTTAAGAACAAGATGGTCATAAACACTGTGAGTCGATTCACTCATATCTAGACTACCGATATCTTCGTTCCAGGCCTCAACGCTATATACAAGAAATATCCATGGCCCTAGAAACAAGTGTAAACATATGCCCCCATACGAAAAAAGATGCTCGCGGTGGGACTTTCAAGGGAAAGAATATGAATGATCCAATTCCAAACATGCACGATTTCTCTTTCAGGAGATGTCTCGTGGAAAATGCCCCAACTGGCATCCATCTAACGGAAATATACACAAAAAAAGAATAGAGAAAGCCGCAAAGGAAAACGCCATAGTCCCGCAGGACTTGAGTATGCGACCTTCTTCTCGAACAACTCCTATATCATCGCCAGAACGAAAGCAGCAACAGTGCCGAGGGCCAGTGCCGCGTTCATGGCTGGCCGGCTTCCGTCGCTGGCCTGCTGTGTAGTGGAGTCAGCCTGCGCCGTGACGGTGGAGTCCTCGGGGACGACTGAATTCTCGGTGAGGCCGCAGAGGCCGTAGAAGGTAGGAATATCGGTGGGGGTGGTGATTGGCTTGACCATGGCGCCGCAGTTGGCGTATTGTGCCATGTATGTCGTTTTTGTGTCAGCGTCGATGACGACTTCCAAAGATGTTAGTTGAACACGTCTCCCTTTTCCAGACGTCCCTCTTCTTGATAGAAGACAAGAGAGAGAGATAGAGAGAGAAAGAGAGAGAGCACAAAACTCACCATATGCGGATCGCAAAAACGTATCGCCCAGGAGAATAAAGTCGTCGCTGGCAACAATCCCCAAGTAACACCTCGGTGGGTTACTCAACTCCCTAATAATCTCGCGATACGGCACCCGAATCGTAACGCCCTCAAACTCGAAATCCAACGTCCCCTCATACCCGACAAACTTACAATCCACACCATAGAACCCATTCTCATCCTCCCCAGCCGACCCAAAGTCCGCAGCAATCAAATCCGTCAACGCCCTCGGCAGCAGCGACAGCGTAGCCCCGCTATCTAGAAACACCGGCGTGCTCGAACCGGGATACTTCCGGGACGGCTTATTCGGCGCCTCGAGCGACATGCCCTTCATCTGGACCCAGTACCTCGGCACGCCGTCGGGGGACTGCGCGGCGGGGATGATGGGTAAAGGGGCCAGCCAGCCCGAGAACTTGGCCGTGTCGACTCCACCGAAGACGATGACGCCCTCTTGGTCGGATTTGCTACCGAGTCCGATGGAGAAGGCTTTGGTTTTGGTGACGCCCTGAGAGGCGAGCTCGTCGATGAAGTTGGGGTATTGGGTCGTTACGCCTTCGCCGTAGCCGATGCCGAGGATGCCGGCGAATTGGTCTTCTGTGCCGGTGGCGACGCCGAATTGGACGTCTTTTAGGACGGCGTTGCCTTTTTGTTTGTTAGAGGGGCTCTGACGAAGGGATGGTGGAGGGTCTTTCCCCAGAAAGGGAGGGGTTGGCTTTTAACCTACTTCCTGGGAGACCGATGGAGTCTCGGATGTAAGTCACGTTGGCGGCTCCGATGCCGTACCTCAACGTCTTGTTTCCGGAGAAATTGGAGGCTGTCGTCGAGGCCTCGGCATCGTAGTAACCAACCGCCTCGCAGAATCTCACGTCTCGATCGGGAAGAATGCTGCAGTCGGGATTGACCCAGAGCTCAAAGGAGCCGGTGTCGAGTTGTACGAAGATGGGTTGAGGAGGAGTGCCAAAATTTACTAAAGAAAATGTGAGAAAAAAAAAGGGTTTGACAGTGACGAAGAAAGGCCCCCCGAGGTAAGACTTACATTGTGCGTAGTAGGCCACGTCAGATCGATTTGCTAGTTCGAGCTCAACCGCACGCTTAAAGAGGCCAGGTTTCGTCGAGTGCACGACGGGTAATGTCAAGACGCCCGAGGATCCAGCGCCGTCATTGGGAGTCTGTCTCGAAGTACCGTTCTTCCTACCCATCGAAACAGGAAGGGTAACGAGGTCCCCAACATCTTCGTCAATCGGAAGACTGATTCCTCTCGGCGCCTTTGCCTTCGTCTTCCGCGTCTTCGGAACCGGTAGAGTAACTAGATCCCCCACATCCTCATCAACAGGAAGACTAAGGGCCCTCGGGGTCTTCGCCTTTGTCTTTCGCAACCGCGCAACGGGCAATGTCACAGCATCCATGCCTAGTTCCTCCTCAACGGGCAACTGCCTCCTCTCAGCCGGTGTTCTCCTCACTTTCGTCTTCTTCGTCTCCGGAATAGGTAACGTCAAGAGGGACATGTCGTTGCCGTTGTCTACCACGGGGAGCTGACCTCTGGCAAGGACATTGCTTCGAGTGGTGTACGGCAGAGCCCGGAGGTGATCTTGAGTATCGCGGGCGACAACATCATCGCTGAAGGATATCTGAGGCCAGGATCTTACACATACTGCCAACACCAGCACCAGGAGGGGGTAGAGTGCCATTGGATGGCAAGGCGGTTTTGTCGAAGGGGGAAAGATTCTACCGCGTTTGTTGCAACATGGGAGTTGGCTTCGATCTTAAGGAACAAGGGCGGCGTTCGATGAGAGAAGGGGGGGTGCTAAGGAAGAGGTGTCTCTCGCTGAGGGCGTCGAAGGAGAAGCTAGTCTTGTCCGGTGAGAATCGAGTCTTGAAGAACAGAAAATCGTCTCGAACGAAAGGAAGAATCGAAGAAGTTGAGCAAAGATCGTCAGTGGTAACCGGCCACCAAATCGGTTGAAAATAAAGAGAACAAGAGCCAGCCCCAGGGGAAAGAAGAGAATACGGAATTAAGGAGAGCCAGCCTTTGGAAAAGAAAAGAAACAAACAAAAAAAGGAAGAGAATAAGAAAAGATGGACAGAAAAGGAAAGAAGTCGCTTGGGGAAGAAGATACACCCAACTCGACGTTGTGGAGATCGAGGAGACAGAATCCAAAGTGTGAACGAGTTGAGAAGGAAGGTAATACCGCCTCCCAAGATAGCATCAATCTTACTCGCAGTCATGTGCTACGAAACAGGCCAAGGATCCAAGCCTCTACATCCCCACGTACAGCCGTTTTAAGGTGTCCCCCTATGCAAGTGTATGTGCATGTCGTTTACGAAGCAATAAGCTCCGATAGGTCCTCGAGCATTGAGAACTGGTGCAGGATCTCCCAAAGCGTGGACAAGGCCGCCGGAGACCCATTAATCGAGGGGATCGCCGTCATGGGAAGGGGTCTGGGAGCATGGCCGGGCAGGGGGGGAACAGTTACGAGCATCCACGCCAAGGATAGCAGGGCCTGGGCAAAGGCTGCACTAGAACACATAGAACAAGGCGGGCCGGAGTATGTAGGTCAGACACCATAGTTCCTACATACGAAGTACGAAGTGCGGATAGTTGCGAGGAGATGACGTCGCAGTAGGGAGGCGAAAGAGAATCGGTAGAGCGGTCCTTGGCGAAGAGGGGGACTACAAGACGGACTAGGGCGGTGCCGAACTGCCCAGGCGTCTCATGGCGACGGCAGAAGTAACAAGTTGGCGTCCATTTGGCCAAGGCATTGTGTTAGTGAGCCGGAGAATACTCCACAGTTAGGGTAAACAAGCCAGGGTTTGGGATGAGAAGGTAGTAGATTGCAGGCATTGTGCTTGTCTGAAGGCTTGTGCGGGGATAGATTCTGCGACAGCCTAAGTCAGGGTCGATGGAGGTTTGAAGCAGATCAAACAAGCAGAGCGCAGAAACAGGAGGTGCAGACATGAAGCAGACGACGAAGATGGAGCAGAATTGGTGCGGCAGGAGCTATTTTTGGGCTTAGGTAAGCCGCGGGGCACCCAATTGGAACAGGGATTGGCAGGGGAATCCCTGTCGCCATGCAAGGTACCTAGGTACTCCAGAACTTTAAAGTTGGTGACTAATCCTGCACCTGATTCGTCATTGTTTTTTTGACACAATCGGAATCTTCAACGCGAAAAGAGGAAAGATCTTGATGGAGCGGAAGGTTGACCGGCTTCACCATGGCGCCTTTTGGGCTATCAAGCAGATCTTGATTTATCCAGAAGATCCCTCCCACTCAAATAGATATAAGATTCCCTCTATGAATCCAAGGCATGAGAGCAGCACCGTACATCGGTGATGATTACGAGCGAGGAAGAAACACTCGGAGAAGCAGAGTACGCTGAAGCAGTGGAAAGAAAAGTGAAGAGATACGCCCTTCCCTGCTGCACGTTGCATTGCTTCGCGTTTGCTCTGCAGAAGCGTGTGAGCTTGAGAAGATAAAGCATCTGCCGAGCCCGAGAGGCATCAACATGCATTCCTCTGCTGCTACCAGTTGCGTCTAACGCATTGCGGTTTTATACAGTTGCTGACATGCAGAAGTCTCAAAACCAGAGCTCTAGCCCTGCATGTCCTCTCGCTGCGAGAAAGCCAAGGCGAATAGACATCCGGCGGATTATGCAAGTTGGTTGACGATTAAGAGCCAAAGAAAAGAATGGAGAAAAAAGGATAAATAAAATAAAAAAGAAAGAAACCAACCTCAACGGACGTCGGAAACAAGAGAACATCGAAAAGGGGGTTGTTCCTGAACCAGTCGATCAGAAAGATCAGAATGCAATTGAATCCTGGTGCGAGAGGCGAGTGGTTCGGCAGTATGTTTGACTGGTGGCTCAAGGAGCATCAGTACCAGACTAGAAGACATCAATTGATGTAGCTTATTGCAGCTGAGGCTGTTATCAAGTTCATGGTAATATTGGAGAGAGTGTGCAAAGGTTTGCATGGATCAATTGATCCCATCGTTCGATTTTCTGGTGGCTTGGGCGCAGTGTTCCAGGATATCAAAATCTAAAGAGGGACCAAGTTGCCCTCAATGTTGCAGTCCGCGGTCCATCGAGTCCACTCCACACACAGGAACATTGAAGTTTAATCGGAGGGATTCCCAAATATAGCTCAACGGGGCGCGAATTCAAGACAACTAGTCGCGGGGGCAAGTGATGAAACGAGACGAAAAATGTTAGCCAAAACGAACCCTAGTTCGGAGGGGAAAACAAGCTTCCATGGAACTACAATTTCATGAACTGATACCCCAAGCAACATACACTGCGCACTCCCGCTGACCGAAGGAAGGCAAAAATAGTTCTTAGCGGAGAACCAGGTCGGCGAGAAGTGCCTCGGGGGTTGTCAACTCGGCGCTTGCTTTTCCGCTGCAGCCCAGGATGTCGCCGAGAAGGCTCAAGAGGCAATGTGGAGTTCCCGCATAGGAGAAGCTTCAATTGTTGCGTGTTTGACTGTACTTTGAAGTAATTCTGGCATATTGAAGTGAGTTGGATCAATTGATTCTGAATCATCGTTTGGATGCCCCGACAGGGGGGCAAGGGGACATCAAATCGATGGCAGGAGGGATGAGTACGTGTGAGTGACGGCCTGGTATGCCAGGCTGCATTTGACTTGAGCAACTGCATTGCGCATTGCAGCAGAAGGATCCTACTTCAGATGCCAGTTGGCCAGGCCAAGCCAGGACCGACAAGGTGCAATGGGGATGGATTTGAGATACCAAATAGATACATGGGATCAATGAATGTATGGATGGAAACGGAGGCCTGTCACGGTTTGCCAGAATTAGATGATGGATGATGGCGGTTCGATTCCACACGCTCGGGGGTGTCCATCCACGGATCAATATGTCGCCAATTGTCGAATAAAGTCAAGCGTCGGGTCTCAGAGAGACGAGTCGTCATTGATGTATGCGTGCTTGGACGAAGTCGTACTTCAAAGAGATATTTGCATTTGGCGTCGTCAGTGTAATGTTCAACGTCACATCAACCACCAATGTTTAATTTCATTTCTGTCCGTTAGACTTACAATCGGTGTGGTCACTGAGCTGGCTGGCAGTTAATAAACCCAAAGCCCGAAGCCTCGGTGTCTCTCTTTTTGGCACTCTACTCTGTACGCCATACCTCGTATCGATAAAGGTGAGCAGTCACTGCAACGAACATTGCCTCCCATTTCCTAATCTACAATTCGTAGATCGCGCCTTCCACTCTCAGAGAATTGTAGAATTGTAGGAATCTCGCCCTGACGTAATGTTGAATTCTTGCTCGCAGCTGCCTCCACCTGCTCATCAAGCCATCCTGTCCACTCCCCAAGCTCCTTCCAAAGCGATTTCTCCATATTTCTCCAGACCTTCATGACTCGATCGATCGTTTCGTTTATCTGTTTGCTCATGGAGAACCTGGCCAAGTCACAGAGCCCTCGGGTCATTTGGACCCCATGCCTAGAAACCCCGGCTGAAAACGTCAATATCTCAATGCCGCAAGGACCAGCCAGGCTGCACCGATTGAGCGTTCGTGGCGTTGACTGTCCACCCGCAACGAAACCTTATTGCTGCCCAATGGATGAACAACCCTGGCAGCCCGAGCCAGCGAGCCAGTGACGATCCCATCAAATCCACCTCACTTACACCATGTTCCCATGTTGTTCCCATGCTCATCTGCATCCACCCACGCTCACCCACATCCCACATCGTCACCACCCACATTGCCGGCTCCCGAGGCCAGCATTGAAGCCACATCCACCCTACATCCACTAAATTATTTACTGACATTGTACTCCGTACACCCTTACACCTTACCCACCCTCCATCTCGGGTGCCTTCCCCCAGGTTCTGTCCCACCATTGATTGACCTGTCAGCATCGCCAGTTCGATATCCGATTCGAAGTAATCCCCTCCATGGCTGGTGTCGCCCACCCATGCCCACTTTCATCTAGGCACCCATTGCGGCGTACGGTGCCCATTCCCACCATCAGATGACCTTATCGATAGCTCGAAATCAACCATTCTTCCCATGCCAACCAGTAACGCCGTCTGCCCCTGACTCGCGACAGGGTCCTGTTCGCGCTTGGCCGCGTCTCGCAACGAACACACCTCCCAAAAGGAAAAGAAAGCAGAACTGGGGCCCAAGAGAGACAGTAAACAGGAGACAACAGACAACAGACACATACACACCACTTCGCCTTTCTCGGCGTCTTTTCTCGTCCGTCATAGCACCACCCCGTCTCCGGAAGCACGCAACGAGACCTTGCCTCGCCCAATCCAAATGATTGGAGCCTGTGGCTTCGCCTAGACTTGACCAATTGGTGAACAGCCCTGCTGCCAGCGGCCTTTTTCATCCGTTTATTAGTTCATGTTCACTTTCAAATGGCTCTTCCCGTCCTGTCATATCTCGAAGCTTGTGAAATCTCACCCCACAAAAGCCGGTTCGCTTGTTCATTGGGAACACACCCTTTTTTCCCTCCCATCCCGAGGACCCTTATCGTCCATTCTTCTTCTCTCCGTGGTTTATGCGCTACCCTTTGATACACGCTCGAAGAGGTTCAAGGAAGGTCGCGGGACCAACCGACAGCTCACACGCCACTAGCTTGCAATGTGACTCGAGTGTCCGAGTCTTACAACGGTCGCTCGTCCCGGCCCGAAAATCGAAGGCTTCGATTTTGGGGAAAAAAAAAAAGGCAATTTCCTTGGCTTAAACTTGCACCCCTAAAACCGGGAAGGGAAGGGCGGGTGAATGGTGGCTGGTGGAATGCAGCTTGCTTGGCGCGGCAAGCACACACAAGTTCCCTTTCTTCTTTTCCTGCTCCATCCGAATGATGATGATCACCTTCATTCTATCTTCTGATAGTAGACAACTGCCTCGCTGGCGTGAGTGATGAGGGTCGATTGGGATGCAAGTGCAGTTAGACGAGCTTCGCCGCCAGCCCGGAGCATCGTAGAGATGTTCATTCCTCCCCAATTGCGATTCCCCTTGCGCTCGCCGCTCTCACTTTTACCATACCAAGACATGGGGAACTTACGGAGTAAATTCCCAGGAACAGCAGCGAGGAGAAGCCGGGGGACAGAACGGCCTCGCATTTTCCCCGTCCCTATCTGCCCATGCGCTTTGCGCCATGCCATCCTCACATTTCATATTCTTCCAGTCTGTCTGCAAGCTTTGCATATTGTACATGTATCCAACTTTTCCTCGTTCTCTTCTTCTCTTGCAGAAGGAATCCGGCTCCATCCCGATGCGATGCCGAATGGAAGAAGTGGTCACCCCCAAATGCTGCATGCGTGCCCCATCTAATGCAGTGTCTACGATTACGCCCTTACCTTATAGACCACTCCCTCGAGGCCCTTTGACTGGTTACTCGATGGCCGCCGGGCTCGCTGTGGTCCTTCGGTAGAGCAGGCTCTGGCCAGGCCAGACGAGACCAGACCAGACCAGGTCTCGAGGGTCTATCTCTGCTATTCTCTCACACCCCTCCCCATTTTTTTTTGATACTTCGTACGTGCCCCCTTTAGCTCGTGCTCCGAGTCTATGTTCCTGCCTATGCTTTCTACCAGTGTTGGTGACTTCGATTTGCCCGCAAATGCACGAGACCCATTGCTGTCCGACCCCCAAAGTTGGTTTTGGGGATTCACACGAGAGAGAGAAGAGCGAGAGAGACCCTTTCTTTCTCTCCCTCCTATTCGAGCTACTCGTGTAGTACATTTCCGCTAGCCATAGTCGTCATCCCTACACTGGGCCAGGCCGCCCTCCCAGACCTAGGCCAGGTATGGATGCCATCGTGAGCGGGAACGGGTAGAGGGATGTGTGCGTTGAATAGATATAGCCTGCAGCCCTGCTCGATTCCACCCATAGCCACTCTTCCCAGACGAAGTCGTCCGAGCCTTTTTTTCTTTTCTGAATGCATCAATACCATTCACGACTCCCCTGCCCTTCACTCCCTGTGGCTATGCGCCTGTCGTACACGCGGTTCCCAGAGCGCTAGAAGAAGAAGAAGAAGCAGGAGAAGTAGGAGAAACGGAAGACAAGTTCCGCAAGGGAACCTGAACTGACATTCCATTCACACTGCCCACGATATTAAACAACACCAAAAAATATCCCGCACATTGCCTCCGCATCGTCTCACTCTCGTACTTCCTGCTGCATCTCGATAAAGCAGGCGGCTTTTTTTTGCCCTCTCTCCCTCCCTTTCCTCTTGTTCCCATCCTTGCTCCATTTTCTCCTTCGTCCTTGCGTCATTTCTAGTCGCATTTTCGGTTGCTTTTTATTCTCTTCTAACTCTTCTCATCTTCATTTTCTTCTTGCCTTTTTTTCCTCAAGTCGTGCTCCGTTTCACTTTTCTTCAACACTTTTTTGCTTTTTGCGGATACCTACCGGCCATCCTTTTTTTCCTGGTCGCTTCTTCCCGCCGCTAAACCCTTGAAAGAAGTGACACCGACTCGGGGTCTCTCGTCTTCTTCTTTTTCTCTTTCACTTCCTTTATAATTTGGACACGTTCGACGGAGGAATCACGACGATTTGGGTCTGTTGAATCGACACCCGACAGGCCGGTCTCATCGATCTCGAATAGAGGGAGACTTACACGCACATCACATACACACATACACACACACATACAACTCATACATACACCGACATCTACACCACCCACAGCTCAAGCAACTTTCGCATTCTCGCTCGCATCTGCCCGCGCATCTCTCTCCTCCAATCCAACCAGGGCCGCCCAAAAAAAAAGAGGGCTGTCATACCGATCTACTCTCGTCATCCTACGCGGTATCTTTTCCCTACCAAAAACCATCCTCGATCTGATCGCTACTCCCGGACCAAAATACAATCCCTGATACCCCTCCTAAACGCCTCGCCGATCAACCCGAAACGCGACAATTCAAAAACCAATTAAGTAAAGTGCACCCACCACTCCGAGCCGATGTACATCCTCATCCCCCTCAGGCCCCGGGCCGACGCCGGTCCTCTTCTCCAAACCCGCCAATTCACCGGCAACGCCGCCCACGACACCAACATCACCATCGGCATCATTGTCGCCATCGTCCTCACCGTCTTCATCATCGGCGTCGGCGCCTTCATGTACACCTATCGCGATTCGATCCGGTTTACGGCGCGGAGGAGGAGGAAGAAGGGCGGTGTGAGAAGGAAGAGTACAGGGAGTAGTAAGAGTGCCAAGAGTTCGGATGGAGGAGGGGATGGGCCGCCGCCGCCGCCGCCTCCTCCTCCTCCTCCTGGGGAGTGAAGTGGGTGATGAGTGATTGATGGGAGGATTTTTGTATGTTTATACCGGGGTTAAGGGGGAATGGAAAATGTATATGTAGATTTGGGGTTTTGGGGTATGCTTGGAGTTCACTTTCTTTTTCTTTTCTTCTCCTTTTTCTGATTTTCTTGTATAATTTTCTTGTCTCTCTCATCTTCATGACTTTTACGGCTCATGGCTCACGTTCTTTTCCTAGGGGATCTTTTCTTCTTTCCATTTTTCTTTTGTTTTCTTTCTTTCTATTGGGAAGGGTTGGATGGGGTTCGAGGGGCGCCTTGGTTTTCAGAAAATATCAGATATGAGGGCATATGAGGGTATGAAAGGTAATGATCGTCTACGATAATGACCCTATGAATGAGAGAATGATGCCTTTTCCAACCATATATCTTCATTCATACCCGAAGTCTGCCTTATTTTCTCTCTCTCTCCCCGGAGAAACGGTAACTCTAACCTCCAATGAAAAGCACTGATAAAGCTCCCAAAGCATCACCTCATGACCTCCTCCTTCTCCTCCTCTCCCCTCCCGGCGGCACCAACCCATCGAAAGCCACACCAGGAAACATCCCTCCACCAAAAGGCATCGCAGGCATCGCCTCCATGCCATTCATCCCATTCACACCCGCCGGCATCGGCACAGGCGGCGGCATCTCCCGCCTCCCCTCCCTCCTCCTCTCCCTCCTCAGACACCGCCTCCTCCCCGACCCAGCTCGCCGCCGTCTATATATACTCCCATGACAATGTTGCCGTCTCCGACCCGTCGACCCACGGCACTTATGATGAGAGTGCCCCTTCTCTTTGTGGTGATGCTTCTTCGTACAAGTATGTGTATGTGAGTGTTCTTGGACGCGTTCGTGGATGTGGTGGTGTCTTCGCTGGTTTAGTCTATGGCGGAGGCAGAAGTAGAGGATGAGGACGATGAGGAGGGAGGCGAAGAGGAGGCCGAAGATCCAGGCTATTGCTGCTTTGGGGGAGGTTGCGCGGCGGAAGAGCGTCTTGCGGGATTCGGATGGGTTGGCTGGGAAGGTTGGAAGTTGGAAGGCTGGAGAGAGATTGATTGAGGGAAAACGGCTGGTTGTATTCCATATTGGTGGCATTTCGTTTCTCAGTATATGTCTTTTGATGAGGATTATTCTCTTGAGTTTTCATGGGACTTGGTATCTGAGTGTTGAAGAGGAGGAAGTAAGACGTTTCTTGAACACATGGCGCGTGGAGACCATCTTCTTCACGCGATCCAGATCCCACTGAGTCAATCATTCTTTTCTAGTTTGCTGTAGACGCGAGACGGACACAAATATTCAGAACAGGGAACTGGACTTTACGCGTTGTTTCCGTGTTTCTTCGCGAAGGGATTCATCTGGCCATGGAGTTTCACGTTTCCTGCTTCCAAACCAATCGTGCTTTTGCCTCTCCGCCAGGACCACCGTTTCGGGATGTACGAACGAAAGATACCCTTAATGATCACCCGGTTCTCTGGGATGGGTCATGATTGAAACTAGATGTAGAATAAAGAGAAAACAATATGGGATGGTGATGAGTTTGTTTTCGGTAGATACACATCTTGCTGGGGGGAGTCATGGGGGGGATGCGCAAACATCCAAACAACTCACTCCAAGCACAAGTTCACAGCAAGCAAGAGGGCACAAAGACAAATATAAAAAAGCTTTTCGGGTTCCTTTTTTTTTTCTATCCTTTTTCTAATTTTCAGTTTGGGGTAAGGGGGGAGGGAGACGGGGACTTTTCTCCAAGGGACATATTCCCGTTTTCTAACCGTACCAAGAATCACCAAAACCTTCTTCCAAAGACCCAAATCTAACCCGCTTCGAATTCCCAAACACTGCGATCATCGACACGGAAACTTCCATTCTCCATTTTTTAATCTCATTCAGAAACAAACACCTTAGAAGAGGGAAGGCAACAGGTGAATCTCACCCGAGTTCAAGTGCCCACTGACCTGGGCAACAATAACCCAACCCGTAGCCTGGGCCTTCAGAACCGTAATGGTACGGTTGCCAGCCTCACCCGCGCCGCCCTCGTAATGGATAACAACGGTGCCGACGGGGCAGGTATCTCTAGCAGCTCCATGGGTGGTGCCTTGCTGAGGGATGTGCTGCGCGTGGCTGGCTTGGCCGATGGGCTCGTCGAAAACGTCAGTGGGGGCGCCGGCGGTGGCGACCTGAGAAACTTCCTGGTCATCCGAAGGGGCGGAAGAGGCCTCATCGGGCTGGCTCTCGTCGGATTGGCCCTCAGAGTCTTCGGCGGTTTGCAGGTCGCTGTCGACCCAGTCGCCCCAAGTGGAATTGGCGCCGTCTTCGTACCATCCACCGAATTGTTCGCTGTCGGTCAACTCGTCGGAATAGGCAGTTTCGTCATCACCAAAAGTATCCCAGCCGTTGTCGGTGCTGACGTCCCAGCCATGGCCAGCGTCGTCCTCGATGGAGGGGTCGGAAGCATCGATCTCCTCCTGCTCCCACGAATATCGATGGACGACCCGGTCAAGTTGGAACCAAAGGGGGTCCTTGGCCAAGTCATACTCCATGACGGTCTTCGGATCAGACCAGATGTCGGAGACCGGCTTGCGAGCGACCTCCTGGTGGCGGTGAAGACGGGGCTTGGGGGAATCAATCTCCTTGTCCCACGGGAATTGATGGACGACCCGATCAAGTTGAAACCAAAGCGGATCCTTGACCAAGTCATACTCCATGACGGTCTTCGGGTCAGACCAGATATCATTGACCTGGGGGCGAGAGGCATTGTCCCTGATACGTTGAGGAGTGGGAGACTTGGCGCCAGAGCCTTCCTCCTCCAAAGTCAGCAGCTCAGACAGAGGGCGTAAGTCGTGTTCCATCGTACGCTTCGGGTCGGCCCAGATGCCGGTGGTCGCGTCATCTCGGTGGCTATCGCGATCGAAAACCTTCCTTTTGCGCACAAGGTTGAGGCTGGGATCAAAGAAGGGATAGCGGAGCATGTAATCGGGATAAGCTGGGCGACCGCAATCAAGATGACCGAAAGTGACGCCCTCAGGTTTGGCACGGTCGACATGGTCTTGGTTGGCATTGCCCTGAGAGAACTGGGGTAACTGCACGAAACCTAGTAACACAGTGGAAAGATGAGGTTAGACAATCAGAGTACCCCCAATAGAGGTGAAGGTCAATAAGCTTACCTTGGTCTGCAGTAAGAGCAGGGAGTTCCTCATCCTTGGTTGAGGAAGAACCATTGACATGACCCAAAGAGTTAAGCATACTCTGGTCTGCAACAAGGGCAGGAAGTTCCTCGCCCTCAGTCAAGGAAGAACCATCGAGGCGACCATAGGGGTCTGTGGAAAAGTCATAGGCCACCTTGTTTGGGCCATAGACTTGAACGTTGGTGGGGAAATGAGTAGGACGGTTGACCTGGTTAGAGTGCATCTTCGAACGATAGAGGTCGACAAGACCAGGGAACCCGAAAGAAGAGTCTCGCTGGGATCTGGAAGATGTATGAGGCACCTTCATGATGAGTGATTAAAGGTAATGGGAATCAAGTAATTGATATCAATGAGGAATTTATGATTTGGGTGAAGAATGTAGATGTTGTTTTGGTCAAAGGAGTTGAAAAAGGAGAGTTCGGGGGAGGGAAGCATCTGTTAAATAGTTTTTCGAAAGGGGTCCCTAATCACCTAGAAACTATGATGTGCCACTTCACATGGAGTAAATAACCAAAGCGAATCATCAGAAGTGATTATCAAAAGGTGCCTGGAGCTATTGTCAATGATCACAATGGAGCAACTGAAGTCGGCGGTGGAGCAGGAGCTATGATACCCACGGCCTTCCCCATTTAGGAGTGGAATAGATTCGGAATCATGATAACTGGAGCAAGGAGCCTCGAGGGGATTGCTCTTTCCCAAAGGAACGAGACTCGGATCGCATTGTTCGAAATTCGAGACTTGCCTCAAGTTTGGAACTGGAGTATGAAGGTGAGGGATGGAGGAGAGAAAGTGAGAAGAGAAGATTGGATGATGGCCAGGCCGTCTATTCATGTCGTTTCCTATGCGTCTATGTCTATCACCGCGATCCCATGCTGCATAATCTCAACTAAGAAGATCCTTGATATCCTCAATCCTCTGGAGTCGCTTCTCCTCGTCGCTCATCATCCCTAGAGACGAAGCACTGTAGACTAGGTTAGCAAACATCTCCCAAGAAGCACCCAGGGGAAGGGAAACTCACATAAACTTCTTCCGCTCCTGCACCTTCAACATCCTCTCCTCCACACTATTCTGCACAATGAACCTAAAAACCTTCACCTCCCCTTCCTGCCCCATCCTATGCACTCGATCGATCGCCTGCGCCTCCACAGCAAAGCTCCACCACGGATCCATCATGTACACCCTCTGCGCCGATGTCAAGTTCAACCCCACGCCGCCCGCCTTCAGACTAATAAGCAAGATGGTAAACTTGCTCGCCTCGCGAAACTCGGAGAGCACGGCGGCGCGCGCCTTCTGCGACATCGACCCGTCGAGCCGCAGGAACTTCATGTTGGCCTTTTGGAGCGCCGGCTCGATGAGCGAGAGGAACGACGTGAATTGGCTGAAGACGACGGATTTCATCCGCGGGTGCTCCTTGCGCAGCTCGCGGAGGTTGCGGATGAGGACCATCACCTTGGACGACGAGTCGCTAGATCCGACGCGCTGGAGGCTTATGCGCGCTTTCCCGTGAATCGGGTCGGGCTCGTCCTCGTGGCGGATCACCTCGAATAGGTCACGCATGTTGATAGGCTCGCGGCAGTGCACGCATCTGGGCACTTTCTCTCGGGAGATCTCGTGCTTCATGTACTGCAGGAGACACTTCTTGCACGCCGAATGCCAGCACCCCGTCACCGTCTGCTCAATCATAGGCTCCTCGGCGCAAATAGGACATTCGAGGCTGGCTTCCTTTCGAATCTGCTCTAACACATGTGCTCCGTACGTGGCGCCCGGCTTCGACTGGTCCGCGATATCGGCTGCGAACTTTTGAACCAGGACGTCCAGATCCATGTCGTCGGCGAGGCCTGCGGCGGCATCGGCTGCAGCCTCTGCACTCGCTGCCTCTTCCTCTTCGGCTACGATGTCCCGGTTCCGGATCAGGATGGGATGACAGCAGGTTTGCCTCAAGCGAATAATTTGTGCAAACAGGCTAGCATACGCTTTCATTACCGTTCCCGAAGCCATATTATTATCCAAAGTGTTCTTGGCCCTCGTGAAGACGTAGTTGTAAATCTCTCTCTCAGCTTCGGAGAGCTCAACTTTGACAATCTCAACGTGCTTCGGTGGAAGGGGTACAAGTCTACACAGCTAGTTAGTGGATCAGTTTTACCTTGACTCTACTTCTTCCCCAGAGTTATAAGGCGTTATACTTACGGCTTCCCGTCAGGCGTCTTCATATCCTTCGTCCTCCTCATCACCAGAGGCTCAAGCACCGTCTGAACAACATCCAGCGCCCGCACGAAGTTCTTAGACTCGAACGGCAGCGTAATGAACGTCCTCCAAAACGAAAAGTTGTTCCACGGCTCGACACCCAGAAACCGGACGAGACTGAATAAATCCTCGAGCCGATTGACAATGGGTGTTCCCGTCAGAACCCACCTGTGATCGGCGGCAAGCGCATAGCAGGCCTTCGACGTCTTGGATCTCCGGTTCTTGATGGTATGCGCCTCGTCGAGGATGATGCGGAGGAAGTTGAGGGAAAATAGGCCGTGGTGTTGCGACTTGTCTCCCTTCTTCGCGAGGATCTGGCTAAACTCGGAGAGTACTGTCCCGTAGCTCGTGATAACTACGTCCGGTGCCGACGCTGCGCTATCCTCGCAGCATATGGCTTGGAGATTGCAATTCTTTTCACTGCCATAGTAGACCAAGACCCTGATGGTTCCCTCCTTGGAGGCTTTCTCAGCTTCACTATGCCACTGCGCAAGAAGCGACATGGGAGCAATAACAAGGGTAGTATGTGGAGCTCGAAGGACTTCACTTTCACCTAGACATGGCGATCGCAGTTGCTGAAGAGAAGAAAGTCCAGTCTTGGGACGGACTCTCTCATAAGGCCTATGGGAGTGAATCAAGCTGAGCATTTGGATGGTCTTCCCAAGACCCATCTCATCGGCCAGGATGCCGCCAAGGCAGTGTTGTTCCTGGGCCGGGAAGATGAGCGTCATCTCTCCAGAATAAGGGTTCATGTAGAACTTTTCTTGCCCTTCAAACACGGGAAGATCCTTGTCGTCTGCATCCTTCAGAGGCCAGGTATACTCTTCCCATAACGGATGCAACGAAGGTTCTCGGTTGCCTTGTTCGCCTCGTTCCTTGTTGAGCATCCAATAAAGGGCCTGTTTTTGGTAAGGGCGCAGTTCGAGGGCAAACGTATCCGAAGGTTCGGCTTCTGGAGTGTTGAAGTCAAAGGATTGGGCTTTTCGGTAGAGGGCATCTAGCTGGTCTTGCTCGAGCTCCTCGCCTTCTTCAGACTCGTCGGGGGGAGTCGAAGGCGTACCGCTACCATCCCTACCATCCCTATGATGCGCGGTTAGTGACTAAAATTCTAGCGGCCATAAGAGCAGTTGAAACAACGCACCTTCCATTGGGCTTGGGCAACTCCTTTGCTTTCTTCTCATCCAACTCAGCAGCATCAAGCAATCCTTGGCGCTGCTGTCTTGCGTCGGCAGCGTTCAGAGTAGAAGGAAGAACATTTATTTCCTGAAAGAGCCTTACAAGAGCCACTTGCCTCAGCCTCAGCTCCTTCTCTTGAGTAGTTTCCTCTTCCTCCCTAAAGCTAACGGTAATATCATCAGACGGATGTAGTACCTTGGCTTGGAAGGCAGAGGGCAGCAGATACACTCTCAGCTGCAAGAATACAGTATCATTTGTCCTTAACCGTTCCGGCGCATAGACGCAGGTCCCTTCGAACTTGCAAATCCCCTGATCCATCAGCGTCGAAACCCAATTGGCGGTCTCCTTGGATAGCCTTCCCAGCTCCGTCCCCGCCGAGTTGGTAAATCGGACAATGACATCAACGCGTCTCGCAGCAGCGGCCGTCATCCGGGCGGTAACTAGAGGGACGCCGATCCTCGTCTGGCCCTTTGGGGTTGTTTGGGGTAATTGTATCTTTTGACGCTCGATTTTCACGAGGTCGCCATGCCTTAACATGTTGTAGCCACTCCGGGTTGCCCACCCTTCGACCCCAAAAGCGCCGATATACCTTGGCTGCTGTTTCGACCGTTGGGGAAGCATTCCAGTCTCGGTTTTCATCGTCGACGGCGCGGCAGGCGCCGAAGCTGTGGGCTTGGTCCTCGCCGCTGCAGGTTTCTTGTATTTCTCCCAGGTTCCGTCAAAGTACATGTTAACAGCTCTTTCGAGGTTTCCATGGCTGTGTTCTCTGATTATGTCCATGACACCCGACTCTACTTTGTGACCGACAAAAGTCTCAAACATTCCCTCATCAAAAGCCACTGACGAAGATTCATGCGGTAGAGTAGGCGCGGGCGGTTCGGATTTCGGGGGAGTGGCACGCCGCGGAGCATGGTGGTCACCGTTGTGAAGGGGAGGGAGGCGAGAGGCAGGAAGAGGTGAAGACTGAGCTATCGGGAGTGCAGGCTCACTCGGTAGTATTGGATCCTGAAAGAAGCGTTCTGGAACTGGGAGGCTACTACTCGGGGGACTCGAGTCGCCGGTTCGGTCGAGACCGTGACCGCCATATTCGCTGGACAGGCGCTGCTTCTTCGCGGGACGTTCTGGGGAATCCACGTCTACCATGGTTCCCACAGACATCAAAGTTTGTGGTTAATCAATTTGTATTCAAGACTCGGGGTTTACAAATCGCGATGTGGAACTTCTTCATCGAGAATGGAGCAGGCTGTACGAAGTACAAAGAACATCGAGGCTTTCTCCGCTTCGCCACGATCAGTTCGGGAGACGCGACAAAATTATGGAAGACGCGATGCCTCACGAACCCACTAATCCGGAATCAGGTGACTTTACCTCAGTAATGTGCCACTGATCGATAATTCTTAGTGGGGCCAATTAGTGCAGCACTACCTTTGTACAACGGTAAAGAGACTAGTTTTCTCCTGTCATAGCGATCTGGGCTGGCCTATCACAAGCCGGACATTTCAGCATTCCCAGCTGGCAGCTCTCAACGAGCTCTGTCACAATTTTTGTCAATCGAGAATATTAGTGAAGAAGCACCTCAATTTCTCCCTCCGTCGTGACGTCAATCGACAGCACCACCCACTTCCACAGCCATTTGCTTGTCACCATGGGACCCTGAACCATCGACGTAGCTCTCCTTCAATGTATCATCAGTCAATTATACGTGGCGGCCTTAGAAGGCTAGCTAGATCTCGGCCGACAGGGCGCCGCCACTTTGTGACAGACGCAGATATCGTCGAAGCCAAGAACTACTGCGTGAAGCAGATTGCGTGTGTATCTACCCTCACTCCACCCCAATTGCCAGCCTGCTATACCTAACGACGCCCTCCTTTTGCTAACGTCCATTTGAAATCCGCAGTTTGGCAGATCGCCAGGCTTTCCTCATTCGACAGTTCGTCCCTCCACCCGTCCAAGACGTCTACGATGCACTCCGAACCCTAAACCTCGAGCTCGTGCGCCTCCCCGAGACCGTCTCGAACCTTACACTCGGCCAGATGCGCATACAATTCTGGCGCGAATCCATCGACCAGACCTTTGCCGGGACCCCACCCCGCGAACCCATATGTCTTCTCCTCCGCAAGGCCCTCGACGACCTCGAAGCAAGATCCGGACCCTCGGCGCAGAAATCGCTCAAGTTCTGGATCTCGAGGTTAATAAAGACCCGGGAGCGCCACATGAGTAACCGACCCTACCCATCCCTCGCATCCCTCGAAGACTACGCCGAAAACACCTACTCCACGCTCATGTACGCCACTCTCGCCGCCATCCCCATGCGCTCCATGCACGTGGACCACCTGGCCAGTCATATCGGTAAAGCCTGCGGTATCACCGCCGTTATCCGCGGCATTCCCATCCTCGCCGCTCCTCCACCACCGACCGGAGCCAATTCCGGCTTCGACAACACCGTCCGCCGCGATCCCGCACTCCTCCTCCCTCTCGACGTCCTCGCCGAATGCAACGTCACCGAAGAATCGGTCTTCCGCCAGGGCCCAGAAGCACCCGGCTTCCGCGACGCCGTGTTCAGGGTCGCCACGCGCGCAAACGACCATCTAATCACGGCACGCGAGATGCTTAAGAATCTCCAGGCCGGCCGCCTCGCCGATCACGCCTACGAGCATGAGGGAGAGCTCGAAGAGCACGTCTATGATGAGCAAGGAGACGGGGACGTTGCGAGGGATGTCAGGAGAGCGTTTGGCGTGCTGCTTGAGGCGGTACCGGCAGAGGATTACTTGCTTGCACTGCAGAAGAAGGATTTTGATCCGTTTGCGGTGAAGCCGGGGTGGAAACTTCCTTGGAGGATATGGCGGGCGTTGAGGAAGCTGGAGTTTTAGAGCTGCGACTGGGGAGGATGGCAACCTCTCATTGTACAATAGTTATGAATATCCCCAATGTCGCATTAAATCAATGTAATCTAGCGGTATAACAGAGCAGGACACTAAGTAGAACAGCAGGAAGTATAGATCGACGAAGTGGTTCACTTCCAATGTCCTTCTCCATGTACACCATCTAAGTAGCTACCAAAATAGTATATCGCGGAGGCCTTTAGGTATGGACCGCGGGGGAAGGGGGGAGACATCGACAAGGGCGCTTAAGGAACGCCTCGGACGAACCCCATGTCCGAGCCATCCATCACTCCGCATCTAACTCACTCGAGCGCTTCACTCACGATCTAAATTTGAAAAGAGCAGTCAAAGAAGGATATCCCATTGAACCCCCATGTCACTTCTGGGAACCGCTTGATTCCAACCCCACGCACACATTTGTAATACAATGGGTCTCTCTAAGCGCGAAGCAGCAGTCGAAACCCCCACCTGCTGTGGGGGACAGTCGTAGGGCCGTTGGCCGTTTCTCGCGCGACCGCGACTTATCCCGTTCGAGACCGCGGCATCGGCCTGATTTGGGTCTTGTCGTAATGGCCTTTTTCTAAGGCAATCCTCGATGTTATGCCGGAAGGTCCTAAGGGGATGACGCCTGCTGTGAAGAGACAGAAGGCGTCTGTTTTTTTCTCATTGATCGGGGGTTATTCAGGAATCGATCTTGCCTCACGTGTGTGGTCAAATTCTTATTAGACTCTTGTGTAACAAACGGGCAGATGGCACCCAGGATGCTTGTGGTTCGATAGGTATTGAGGGGGCCCGCTGGGTCTACGAAGTATTTTGCAGGCAGCTGGCCCGGCGGGTCGAGAGGCTATCCAATTGGCCATTTCCATCCTTGCCCGCCTCGATGGTTCTCACATCGGGCCATGAGGTGTAGTGGAGATGAGGCCGACTGCCGGCCTCTGTCGAACTGAAATATCTTGATGGCTTGGTACGTAGCAGGCTTGCCTTTGGAACTTTTCCTGGGACATGCGCCGAACGGCGAGAGGTTTACGAAATCACTAGAAGGCTGTGGAGTCTGGACAATGGGGCCAATGCATCCTCGTCCTTCGTAGGATTGCGGATCAGGAGGAGTCCTAATAATAATCGCACAAGCAGCCCAGGCGTCAAATGCTCTGCGCAATTGGTTCACCCACTCCTGCTTGCCGCTGGCTTGTTTCGCCAGCCGATTTCCAGGCTCGACTCGCTTTCGCCGACGAATCGAAGGGGCCCTATATGGAGGCTATGAGAGCGACTTCGCCAACCTGGCCGGGCCATCTCAGGCCAGCCTGACAGTCTCACTGTTTTCCACTGGTATGCCGTTTGACATAGCCATCGAACTTGTTGGTCGCATATGAACAGCAGGCGGAGGTTAATGGGCAAATTTCCCTTGGGATCTCAACTACATAAGGAGAGATTCGCCCCCAGAAACGCTGTCGTCGAATGTCCCTTCCCAAACCGACCACAACTTTACCTCAGTCATCCAAAACAAAGTACCATCATCAGGTACCATCTTCGACTCCTCTCGTCAACTACTCTCCTCAACCTACCATCGCCAACCACACTTCTTACTCCTTGATACGGACCTGTTCTGATAAAGGTAATCAGCGTCACTTTACCCCATCAGTTCAACTATTGATGTGTGTCCAGCAAACTAATGCCGCTTCATCAGTAGACCTAGCACCAGTTACGTCAACACAATGTCTCAGCAGCAGAAATATAAGGTGTACATTGCAGTATACAAGGGAGAACCCGTCGACTTCCAGAAGTACAGACATACTGGCCTCTGGTTTGTACCTGAGGAGAGTGGCTCGACTCTCTTCTGTCATGTTACAGGGTCAACCGGGGACTTCACTTTCGAGTCAAGGACCAATTACAATCCCACATCATCCGAGACACTCGCCAAAACCATCGAAGTAGGCGCAACGCAGCAAAAGTTGACCGCTGCGGCTCTCCTTGGAGAGATGCAAGCTTGCCCAGTCAGAAACGATGACATGGAGTTTAATTGCCACGGATGGGTGGAAGCAGCTCTGAAGAGGCTGTCGCTGGCCGGTTATTTGACCAACGAAGAATATGAGAATGGGTTCGACAAGATGATGGACGCTACCTTGGAAGCGGAGCAGGATCAGTATGCATTCTGATTGAGCGGCAAGGTGCGCTGTTAATTTGAAGAATGCCCAACTCGTTGGTTCTCAGTCGTATCAGTCTACACCTGTTAATGTTTTTAGCCCTTCAAGTTTCAGGCCTCCAGAAAAAATTACCATGGTGACAGCTTACGATGTACAAGGGCAGGCAGTGGTCGAAAGAATAGGAGAGAATGGTTAGTAAATCAGAAACACAAAGCGAAACAAAATAGAGATCATGTCCCGAGCTGAAATCATGGCCATTGCCATTTGGACAGTGCAGCATACTCGACCAATTCGTCGTCGTATCTCTCGGGGAAGATGTCTTCTGCATACCGCCACATATCCCGCACGTCGCTCGTTCCCACGCGGAAAAACTTGACGTACTCCCAGTACTCAGGATACCACCCTGAGACTTCCCAGTCCAGAAGAGCCACGATCTTGCCATCTCTGACGATGATGTTTCGAGGAGCTAGATCTCCATGTGTGAACACAACGCGATGGTCGGTTCGAAGCCTTCTCGCGAAGGCAGAACGCAGTACCGGTGGGGTAGTCGGTACGAGACCTGATATAAGGTAGTCGTTGAATTCCTTTTCGTCCCGGCAGGACGGTGCGGTGTGAGTGGTATAGCCTCGGGTATCTCGTATTAGGCCTCCGTCACACGCCCCGATCCGCGTCCCCTCTGGCGGTTCAACGGATCGCATTGCATTGAGAATGTCCCGTAGCTGTCTAGCGATGTCCAATTTCTGATTCTCTGAGAAGCTCAGCCAAACTTTGGATAAAGTATCGCCTTCGACATAGTCCATAGAAATGTGTTTTTTTCCATCTAGGGTAGTCTCGGTACTATGGACATGAGGGACGGGAAGACCTCGATTTTCAACAAAGCGTTGCGCTTCTGCTTCCCCAAAGCTAAGATTTCTACTAGATTTCTTAACTATACCGCCAGGGTGGAGTGTGACGGTTCGACCAGGTGTCTGGTGTAAGAAAGAAACCCCTAGTGTGTGGAATAAGTAATAAGATCGAATAAAAAGTGCAATGGCTAATGTGCCCTACCTTCGTCAAGGGAGTCTAGAGGTTCAAGCTCGGGAGACACAGGGAGTCCTCTTTCTATTTTTTTCTGTCGCAGTTTTTGTTTATAGGTGGAGACGAATTCCTGATCCGGCTTCTTCGGTGCGTCATTTGTAGTCGCCATATTAACCTCGGGAACCCGTTGGAGTTCGATGGAGATGTCAGTTGTTCAAGAAGAGCTTGGAGATGGAGAGGGGAGGTCTAAGTGAGACGCATGTACCAATGTACTCAGCACCACAAGATCCGGCAAAATCTCGGAAGAAAGACTCGAATTTCCTCACCAGCATCTTTTTCAACACCATCGACAGAACTTCCATCGCGAAAAAGCCAGCCCATCGCGACGGACCCATCTCCATGCCCAATCCACAATGCTCTACGAACTCGTAGGAATAGTGCGTCTTACCCTGTTCCCCGTCCCTCAACCAACCCCCCAAAGCCATTCCACCGCCAAACTAACGAACAACCAAACTAGGTACGACCCGGCAACCTCGCCGAGGTCAAAGAGTATATCACGCCCTCCGCCATCCGAACTCCTATCCGAAAAGGAAACATCTAACTTATTTTCCAATAACAGAATCGCCCTAACCTGCGGCCAAATCGTCCTCCGCCAAGGCGGCGTAATCCGCGGCCTCGCCAACCTCGGCGTCTTCTCCCTCCCCTCCCCCGTCACGCGACACCAGATGAAGCACAAAGAAGGCCACTACTTCGTCATGCGGTACGATGCCTCCGCCGCCGCCCACGACGGCGTCAGGGCTACCATGAGGCTGGATCCTAGGGTCGTCAGGGCCGCGCACGTCAAGTTGGGCGATGGCACCTTGGCGAGTTTGGCCAAGTTTGGGCCCGTGAAGTGGAATACTGCGGCGTGAGGAGATGGTGTGATGGGTGGAAGTTTTAATTGATACGAAGTTTTTTTCTATATGGCGAATATCTACCTGTTTTACTCTCGATCGAGTTGGATATATACGCTTTGTGGTGGGCTGGCGGACCTCACCGCAAGTTGGCTTCCGAGAGAGAGTTACGAGGACGGACCCTTGGTGGTGGTGGGATGTACCATATTCTGAACCGTTGGGCAGATACTGCGGCCTGCTCGAGAACGGTTTCGTGTATTTGTATCCTGGAAATCTAAAAATGGCATAGACAGCAAAGAATTACAGAGCAACGTCATCTCTTACCTCCACGCATTTAAGTTGCTTAGCCCTTCCGCTGATCAATTAACATGCTGAGACTGCACACATTTAGGATCTCTTGAGGTTTTTTCAAGTCATGAATTTCGCATTGCTCTCTATTGATATCACGACTGCTTCGACAAGATAAGCAGTTAACCCTCCCCACCATCTCAAGGGTCTAAAAACAGGGCAAGAGAGTCTCGTGTCGTAGGTTTCTTTTCCTTTCTTTCTCTGCAAAAGGCAAGCGCCAAAAACCGGCCTTCCTCCATGCGAACCCATGCCCATGAACATGAAGAAAAATCTTTCCGTCCCGTCATCAAAGGCATTTCTAGTACGGAGGGGAAAAAAGGGTGTCGACATCTCGTTTCGTTTCATAAACAAATAAAAGAAAAAGGTTTGCTCGTCGGGTCATCAAGGCGCGGAGGAGCAACATTATCCGAGTCCTTCATTAACGTTCCGTCGCGGGCGGATAGGAGGCAACCATTTGATAGGTTGTTAATCGGCGGTATCCATGTGATCCTGTTCCCTACCTTTTCCAATCCCCTGGGTATCCCGGCACCACGTCACAAACTCATCAATAACGCTCGGCCAAGCACCGTCCTCGCTCCAAAACGACAATGTCTCATCCGACATGGTACGAAGCGCAAACTCTAGAGTCATGTTCCACATGTCGCGGTTAACGGAACGGGTCCACTTCTCCTTGAGGAAGCTCGTCCAGAGCTCCAACCAGTCGTACGAGGGCGATTTCCACTCCATTCCGGGAGGGCTGAAGAGCATGGGCCAGAAGACGAGGGCGTTCTCGAGGCTGAGGGCGCGCTGGTCGGTCTCTTTGCCGACGACGAAGGCGTATCGGTATACTTGCTTGAAGTAGGATGGGTTGTGCGAGAGGGTAGATACGAGTGATTTAATATGCGAGGAGCATCCTTGGCGTGTCACTGAAACACTGCCCAGTTTGTTAGTCCCCGAGGAGTAGGAGAACAGGCTCGGGGTGTGACGGCGGCGCACACCACATTAAGTGTTTGGGGGAGAACGGAGACCTACCCAGAGTTCTTCCATCCTTCGACGAAACCCTTTCTCGTAATCTCGCCGATGCTCGGAGCCTGGAACAGCTCCAACGCAACGAATAGAGAAGCATTCTCAAGATTCACGTTTAGGTCCTGGAGGTAGGACATGGATGATTCCACTCCTATGGCATCCTTCGGATCATCGCTACCTGAAAGAGCAGACAGTGTTAGTGGGCCGATGTGGCTCGCTCTTACCGGTCCGATGCGCCATCTCAGCACAGAGGAGGAGGGAAGGGGGGCCGCATACTTCGCAGAGCATCAAAGGCTTTGTCAAGCTGGCTATCCACTACCGACAGAGTCGAAGACTGGGCGCTTCCATTACTGAAATACCTGGAGGTTTCCAATTCTAGTTAGCTAGGGAACCCTCATCTCGGTCATTCTTGCAGCAGGAGGGTCACAGCGCATTGAACATTGAACTTGCAAAAAGAGAGAGAAAAAAAAAAAAGAACGAGTTATTAAAACATTGAAAAGAAAAGAAAGACAAAACAATAAAAAAAGCCGATGTCGACAATTTTGTGGCTTGCTACTCTTCTGGAAAAACCTGTTTCGCCCAAGTGTGGTGGACCAGGTCCACGATGTAAGTAGCGGCCCTGTCAGCCGAGCAACTCCGCTCAGCCTTAGAGAATGTCTCGGTCTTTTAAATTGTCTGGTGCAAGGCTGTCGCTATTTTTTGCAATAGGATATATGATATAGCGGAGTAGATAAAAGAAAGGCAAAAAAAAAAAAGAAAAAAAATGCAACGCGAAAAAAAAGGTAGGTTGAATATATATATACCGTGACGCATCCTTTGAATTGCTGTTCGACTTGGCAGTTTTCCTCTTGGAGGACGGCCATATCCCCATAGCTTTCGAGGCACTCTTGACACCTTTCCAGCTCATCCTCGGAAAGTTTCTGTATGATCGGCCTAATAGCCCCGATCCTATTATCTGCCCCCTCTCTCACACACTCGGATAAAAAAAAGAAAAATTGAGAAAGGGAAACAAAAATCGTCTGCTTCTCTGGGTTCACGACGCTTGGTGGCTCAATCCCAAATAGGTAAGACGAGGGAATGTCTGGATGGACCGAGATGCAGGACTCGCCAAGAGGGGATAAAAATAGCAGAAGGGGGGGAAAGTGAAGGGAGGAAAAAGGTTTAAAAAAATCTCCGGTGATCGACCTCGAAAAAAGACCAAGGAGAGAGGGTAAGCAACAAAGCCTCGCCTTCTGTCTACGTGGTGGGATTTGTTGCTGGTGTGATTTTGAGTGTGTGAGTGACGATGGTGTTCTTGTGGTGGTGTGGTGATGGAAGGTAGTGTGGTTAGCCGAAGTGTAGTCTCTCCAACGGCTCCAAGCCGGCCAGGACCAGTCAAGAGATTCGAGGAGAGAGGAGACTACTAAAGGGCGAAGGGGTAAAAAAGTATAATAGTAGCAAGACGGATCGGGGGACTATAGGCTAGGCTTTGGCTATCTCTCGGTCCAACACGCGGTATTAACGGCCATGAAGCTTTCAACAGACGGATGCCGGAGGATGACGGGGTATGCATATGCTTCTCCTTAGTTGCAGAAGGGGGTGCAGTCGGTCACGGACAGGCAAACTCACAGCATCTACTTCATGAGAAGGAATGTGAGAGACGCCAGCAAGAGCGAGCAAGGGGATGATGTGTGTGAATGAGTGTATGAGAGGGTGACTTGGAGGTGAAAGGGGTATAAGCAAGTAATTACTGGCTAATTGGCAAAAGCACATTATAGCTCCTGCCACTATGGAATGGCATCACTGGGGAAGAGAAATGCCAGGGACCCATATTTTAAGAAGCAGGAGCCAAGCCTATGTGCGGATGTGGTGGATGGTTTCAGAGATATTCTCTTGGGGATCGGCGTGGATTCGGCGATATTTTTTTTTCTGGAGTGGTCAACATGTCGTAAATGACACATGCCTTTCTCCGGAACACCCGCCGCCGCCTGTGACAGGTACACTTATAGTGGGGCAACAAGAAGTAGTGGTAGCATAGTAGACGTACTAGACGACTAGTGGTCGTAGCCGCACACTAGATGAGAGGGCGGAAGAGGGGAGGAGGAGGAGGAGGAGGAGCAGGAAGCAGGGCGGGGGGTGGGAAACGGACGTTGAAGAAGATTGGAGGATCGGGAATGCGTACAAGGAACAAGAAGAAACCTGCAACTGGTAACCGGCAATGTCTGGCTCCTTCAAAGACCGAGACCGAACTGGTCTGGGTCTGGATGGGCGGAACAGAACAGGGACCGGGACAGGAACAGGAACAGGAACAGGGACAGCAACAGTACCAGGCGGTGCTCAAGTTCATCCGATTCCAGCTCGACCAGGCACAAAGTCCTAGACGATGCGAGCCTCCGAAAGCATCAATGATCCCGAAGCATCGCATCCGGATTTGATGTTGCAACGACTGGAGAAGAATAGTTCGTCACGAACCACACCCCACTCGCGCTTGCCCTGCAAAGACACGAGGAGGAAAAGCAATGTGACGGCGGAGCGGAGACAACCAGAAGAACCTCTGGCAAAAACTAGAATATGGAAAAGACTCAAAAAGAGACAGCAAAGAGACAAAAAGAAAGAAAGAAAAAAGTGACGTTGTAAATGGGGTAAATAGAGCGAATGCGTGCTTATCGACACCATCACACCCTGCCCGCGGAGACTAGACCCACGTTGACGGTAATAGGTGGTATTGCATGTCTGAGCCAGTACACTTTGATCCCATCCACCATCTCAATTGACACTTTGCGCGGATCCCTGCGCCGCGATGCATATTGTCCAGCTAAATTGTCCGAGAAGGGCCGGAAATGCTCCTGGGTCTCTGGGTCTCTGGGTCTCTGGGTCTCTGACCCCTCCAGAAACTCATCTGGATCGTCTCTTGACTCGAGCCCGCCCATTTAAAGACACGGCTAGAGCCGCGAAAGGGAAAACGGAGTTTTTCGAAAGTGCTTTAAGATGAGTGCCAGAAATGGCCAGAAAAGGAAACCAGAAAAAGAAAATGAAGAAAAAAAGATGAAGAAAAGAGACGATGACCCCCTCCAAAGCCTACCAACTTGGACACTCAAGAGGGCCAAAGACCAGAGAAACAATAAGAACAAAAAAATCTAAGAAAAAAAAATCGAAGAGAAACATTCGAGTGACTTACGCATCGATCGCATCGTTAAGCTTGTATGACGAGTTTTTGACAAACTATTGTTCAAAATGCACCTGTCAGCTTGCGTCTAATCACATCGTCCTTTTTTATCCTGTGTTTCCGTTTCCTCTTGTCGTTCCATTTTCCCTCATTGTCCCAGCTGTGGTCGTGGACTTTTGACGTTATCCCATACGAGAAAAGCCAACAGTCCCAAGCCTGCTGGCCGTCCCTCATTTTCACCGAGCAGTGCCCGAGGTGCAGCAACCAGCGCCAGGCGGTCAAGCCCACAGCCACATTAGTTCGCCCTCCATTGTGCTCGAAGCAGACAAAGCTGCACATATATCGGCTGTAGAGCACGGCACCCCGTCCCCTTGGACACTCCCGAAAGAGGTATCACCGGCGCAGGGGAACGATGCCAAGGGAAGTGGAAACTCAAGTTCATGAGGGTAGAAACCTGGTTCTGAACACAGTGTTCCCCCGAAGGAAGAACGAGGAAAAGGAAAGGAACACGGGACCGATCGGAAGCGACAAGGTGGATATATCTAACCGCACGATTGCGCATATCCGACAAACCATGTTCCAAGTGGGAAACCATATTCCAAGTGGGAAACCATATTCCAAGTGGGAAATAAAAACATAATGACCTACCCGCTGAGCCGTTCGCTCGGGGGCCCCAGTCAGTTGTATAAACTGCTGCACCACCGCAGCCTTCTGGGAGTTGGATAACGGCGGTGGCATTTTCGACGCGAACGAGGCAAGCACGAGGTTAGGCGCAAGTGACAATGAAGTGGGGAACGTCGTTTGTTGGACGTCGAACTTGGAACGAACGAGGGGGTCGAAAATCGGAAAACGCCCGAGGGAGAAGACCCGATGGCCAGGCCGAAGGAGCCGCTAACAAGTATTTGAGGAGCCCAAGTCGTACGCTTTTCGAACGACGGTTGCGTGTCGATGCTGCGGTCGAGGGGAAAGGCGTGGTGGTGGGTTGTGCGTTGGTGAGGGGGCGGGGGTGTTGAAAAAGGTCGGTCTGGCGGATTCTCGACGATGCCTTGGAAGGGGAAATTGTTCGTTGGTATCGGAGAGAGGTCTCGGTCGCTGGCAAGGAATAAAACCGCCGCCTTCGAAAAAAACACGCGGGCAGGATCAAATAAAGGCTTCGCGACGGGGGAAAAGGTCGGCGTTGCTTCCGTTCTCTCGTTTTGGGCGCTGGGCAATTTGAATTTTGGGAACCAGGGAGAAGCATCAAATCATGAGCACGAGGGAAGAGCCCCTCTTCGGAAGGAACTTGGGGGAGGGGACCATCAGGCACAGCGCGAGGCTGAAAGACTCAATGGGAGCCTAAGCTGAGAGAGCCTGAAAGCCACTGGTCAGCGCTATGGCCGGTAGGCGGACCGCCCACATTGGCACTTTAACCGCCCTGATGGTGCAGCCAACAGCACTAATGCGGGGTTACACTCAGTGGTGCCGATCACTATTGAGGTCACCACGCTTACCAGTGCGGTGCGGCTCCTCGATCCAGCTCCCTACGATTGCCAGATCACCGAATTTACTCCAACACTCAAGTCCTTTACACGAATAAATGATATTCAGAATATTTAGACTCCTCGCAATCACACGAAACGCAGATACAATCGGAGCCCTCGTCTCTATTATAACCCGGAAAACGACGCTATGAAATCTATAGGGCAATTCGATCTTATCTAATCTATCAATCCTTCTAAATACTCGTCTCAACATATCCGCAACACGTTCATCCACCTCACAGCTTGCTCGGCAACTTCGCTTCCTCAGGCGGAAATGCCCTCGCTATACCATCTTGAACCGCCGTAGCGACGTGCACACCCTCAGGACTCCAAATCTTACCCTCAACATAACCCCTCCCCGCAGTGCCTCTCGGGAAGGAGTCCTCAAGAATCCACCAGCCTCCTTCCCCAGACTCGTCGCACTGCATGATGGCGTTCTCGACGTTGGTGTGCATAAAGAACGTCCAAGTCAGTGTCGCCGCCGACTGCAGGATCAAATCCATGTCGTAATCGTTGGCAAGCATCAACAAGCCGTTTCGATCCGCCGCAAAGGCGTGGACTAGGGCGTGCTGGTTCGGATCGTCAGAGGGTAGTGGGTGCAGAAGGCGGTACAGGAGTATTTCCCTGCGCTCCGCCGGCGGCCTGCTCGCGTTATATTCGGTCATGTCCACCTTTCGCATCTCGATAATGGGAAACTTTCCCGGTCCAGGATTTGGAAACAGGCTGGTCATCCACTTAAAGTCTACCGACGGAGCGTGCGGCCACGCCTCCGGCGGTCGTGAGGAAAGGATGGCCGAGAGCCGCTCCTGCGCGGGTTGTTGTTGGTTGTCGACATATGTATCCTCGGGGTTCTTGAGAGAGCAGAGAGCTGTGAAGCAGACGGGGCCGAGTGGCTTCTCGGCATCACTGAGTGGGAATCTTCCGTCCGCCATCACCTCGCTCCCCGTGGTCGGCTGCCGTACTTTGACATACCACGTGGCAAAAGTCCGGCCTCCAGCCACATGCGTGACGTCGAACACGAAGGGCCGGTTGCTGAGACCCTTGGATGTAAAACACCCTTGTATCGTCTGACCTTAGTGTTAGCCGCCCGTTCGCCTGTCCAGTTTTAAATGTTGGCAATGCTGCAACGAGGGATATGGCAAGTTATTCCAACTCACGTGTAAGTCGAGCCCGCGCTGGCTGTTGTCCGCCGTAGAGGCTGCGTTATCCCTTCTATCTCTTCCACTGTCTGCAACAGCGCGGAACACTGCCACACCAGACATGGTGTACACATGAGCACCGTACGTCGCCTTGTGCACGCCGGCCGCCCCGTTCATATCAACTCTGTCCCAAGGGAGATCGGCGCCGGGCACCCATGATGGAAATGTGCTCATATACCGGTAAACTTTGTCAGAGGTTGGCTGCGACTGGTTGACGGCTATCCGAACGAGCTCGGTAGACTCCTGGAAGGATAACCGGGCGTCTTTCTCTTTCACGACTAAGGCCATCTTGCGCTGTGGTGACCTGGGGTGTGATAGTGATTGATGGTTTGTGAAAGCGATCCCGGCAAGGCGTGGCCGCTGGACTCCCCTAGCTGAGAATGGGGCCTCACGGCAGACTGCAGAGATGGCTGCCTTAAGCGTCGAATATGTTCAAGAAGCGAAGGCCGATATTGAAATCCCAGCACACCGGTTACCCTTCTAATAAGTTCGCCAAAAGAAGTACGGCCTGACCCTCTCGGTAAAATGGAAGCAGCGACCAGCCCAGGTATCAACGGGACGATTAATAAACAACGGTGAATTTAAAGAACATGAGATTGAAAAGAGAATCCCTTCAGCCTGGAATTTTTATGTATTATTGGGACATTCTGTCGCGAGGGGGGCACTAAGTAATTTGTCGCATTGAAGCAAAGGCGCGTACCTCGAAGATGCCGAGGTTCCAAGCCTCCACGCACTCCAAGCTTTCAAACGAGATACGACACCACCCTCGGTGATTGGACCCTGTGGTTTGGGGCCCTGGCCTGTGCTAACAATTTGCGGGTTTAGTTTGTCGAGGTAAATTGAACTGAATTCCGATGCCTTATAATGCCTACGGAGTAGATAAAGTTGTTCGGGGATTGGAATTCCTGGGGCAGACCAGGTAGAACTGGTAAGCACAGGTGCAAGCTTCGTGAATCGCAGGCGAGGGAGATCAGCGAGAATGCCCGTGTCACTCGAGGAAAACTGCAGGATTCGTAAATCCAAAGCATCAAAATATACAAGGCCCCCCACTCTTATCCGCGAAGACCCAGATCTTGTTATCTGTGCTGTCCAGGCATAGTGTAAAGCTAGGAGCTGGTGGAAGCGCATACGCGGGTAGCTTTAACGTCAGTGTCAGTCACCAATGCCGAAGATGACCATGCTGCTCCATGGCCGACGACGAGATGGTGAAGAGGTTATCTTAGATTGGTGGTCTTGATCTGAATGTGAGGCTAGTGTAAAGATGCGTTGGTTGTGATGGTTACTAAGTCATGGAAAAAGGGGATCATGCCAGAGAGATATGCGTCCTTGATGCTCACAACTACCAGCATTGATGCCATATGTGCATGCCGGGGTGTCGATGGGATTCATTCTGATGCCAGTAAGGGTTATTGAGAAGTGCTATCTGGCGAAGAAGCGGACATTTCGATTGGATGTGTTAGAAGCTCGAGCTCCTCCATCTTTTCGTCGACTTATGTCGGTCGAAGGATCAAGATTGATGGCTATACTTCGTAAGGCAAAGCAAATTCTGGATTTTTAAGCTGCAAAGTCAATCCCAATTGCATCCACGCCCAATCCGGATCGGCAAAACAACTGCAGGATGCAGCAGGCAACGACTGAAGAGCTCAATCATGTCAGTGCTTCGTATCAGTACTCAGTATTGGAATATTGTCACAATCGCAGCAACATCAATGACGCTCAAATGGATCGAGTACGAAACCCAAATACAAGTACTGAGTGTACACTACTCCGTACTCCGTACAGTGAGTCGGTCCTCGCTGTTCAGAAAAATGTCACCACTTTGCAGATCCCGCGGAAATCGTACGGGTCGTCACGTGACTTGAGAAATTGACCAACCGAGGAGGTGGTAATCCAATCAGGCCACTGACGAAAATACCTCCAAGCTCAATCCGTTCCTCACGGCTCCCAGTCACGAAAACTCCCAACTCACTTAACAAACACCCATCTCCGGGCCTCAAGACTCTCCGCTCCCAACAGAATCCGAATCAATTAACCCTCAGCGCCCGCCATGTTTGTTGCTCGAACCGCCGTCACGGCCGCCCGCCGCGCCGCCTTCGTCGCGCCCGTTGTCCGCAGGGGCTTCACCACCACGATGCTTCGTCGTATGACCAGCCTTGCCCACATCCACCATCCGACCCCAATCCAAGCGAGGCTTTTTTCCTATTTGGACAATGGGATTCGAATGTCGTTTCTTGGATCAATTGGCTAACGAGGAATTGGTTCTTGTGCAGGTGATGCCGGGAAGAAGGTTACCGCCTACAAGTCGCTGAACGGTAAGCTTTTTTTTTTCCTGGGGTCGGAATAGCTCGGAGATGGGGTGATGCGACTCGCGATGTGCTAATCGGTTGTTTTTTAACCCAAACATAGAGGTCAAGGAGGCTAGCGACCTTATCGGACCCGGTGCCGCCGCTGGCACCGTCCCCACGGATCTCGAGCAGGCGACCGGTCTTGAGCGCTTGGAGCTGCTCGGCAAGATCGAGGGTGTCGACGTCTTCGACATGAAGCCCCTCGACTCTTCCCGACGAGGTATGAACACCGCCTAAACCTATCGGGTTCCGCAGCAAGGGACTTTTGGAGCTGACGCCAAACTTTTCAGGCACCATGGAGAACCCTATTATCGTCAAGTCCGCTGGTGAGGAGCAGTACGTCGGTTGCACCGGTTCTCCCGCTGACTCTCACGTCGTCGTCTGGCTCGGCGTATGTTTCCTCCCCAACTCTATCCGATGCTCTACTGCTTTCTTTTCGACGCACCAGAATCGTTGCTAACTTGGATTTAATACCAGATGTCCCGTGATCGCCCCATCGAGAGGTGCCCCGAGTGCGGAAGCGTGTACAAGATGCTGTACATCGGTCCCGAGGACGACCACCACCATCAGCACCACGGTCCCGAGGAGCCCAAGACGCTGGCTGACTACGTCAAGCCCGAGTACTACTACACGTAAATATAGCCTGCGGCTGAAAGGGTCGAGGGGGGTTGTAGGCGAATCAATCTTTATAGAGGGTTTTTTTCATATGTTGTATTGGGGTAGTGAGCCATTGTAGATTAACTCATAACTAGAGTGTTTTCAGTAGAATGACTTGGATGGTGTTGTTGACCATGTAGGTCTGTCTTCTGCATTGCATGCTTCGTAGCTGTGTTGCTTAATGTCCCATGACTTTAGGACTATAGGGACTTTTGATGCTCGTGTTTGGAGATGGCTTCGGCGAGCTCAACCGGCATCCTCATCAAAGCTTAATTTTATCTTTTTCGCCTTCTTCTTAGGTTTTGAAGTTTTCGTTTTCGTCTCGTCTGCCTTGTCTACTTTCGTCTTGGCACCCTTCAGCGCATTCGCCTTATCAGCGCCGTCCTCATCGGCATCCGCACCAATTACTTTTGCAGTCTTCCGCTTCCGTCCAATGGACGAGATCACGCCAGATCCCGCTTTCGTCGCATCCTTCGCAGCCTTATCATCCGGCCCCTCCCCAACTACCGCCTCAGCACACTCGCGACTCACCGTCACCGTCCCGTCCACGCCGACCTGCGCATCAACCACGTTCCCTTCCTCGTCGACGACTAACGGCGCATCCTCAGCCTCGGCGCTAGCGGACCTCTTCGTGCCGTGCCGGCGTTGACCGGTGAGGAGGGGATTGGGTGATGAGGAGGAGCCGGAGACCTGGGACTTGAGGGCGGCCAGGAAGGGCGGGAGGGAGGCGTTGTATGAGAGGTTTTTGGAGTTGAGTTTTTGGGACATCGGGGTTTTCAGTATTTTGTGAGGGGAGAAGGATGAAAAGAGAGAGATCCCGGTTTTTGTGGCTGTGATTTATGGACTTCGAGGTGTTGTTGAGATGGATTGGGACGTCCGCGATGTATTATTCTGTTGTCGTCTTTGGCGATGACGGATTGTGGTGTCCTGAGTTGTTGTCTTAGTCACGATTTTTGCTTATTAAGCAGAAGGTGTTGACGAGATTCTGGTGCCGCATTGCATGTTCCAATTTCGACAGGCCAGATTTTCCTTGCGGGCGCGTCCAGCCGTCTGTCAGTGTTAGAGCCCACCAAACGAACTGGGAAAAGGAGTACAGAGTTACAATTGTAGTTTACGAAGTCGACAGATGGGTGACTTCTCCACCAAACCGTCCGGTCCTCCGATCTTGTGTGTCTCATGTTTGGGGCAGAAAGAGACAGGTGGACGCACGATCATGTATCCAGATCCCGTCAATTTTGTCGCCGTCCATCCCATCCTCGATAATTCCGTCAGCCAAAGCCAAGATGAAGATGAACACTGCACTGGGGAAAGGACATGGATGCTCGAGGAGATTGACCAGTGGGAGATGGAGATATCAAAAGCCTGAAAATTTACTATGTTATTTTCCTATTGGCTGCCAACGCGCCATCTCATCTGCGAAGTATCCTCTGCTTCGAGGCGTGTCAAGTCAGACCCGCACCGGGACGTACAGGTACCGGTACATACGCAGGGGATTCGAGGGACGATTTGGATACGGGCTAGCTTGAAAGGTGGGCCCTCTAGTGCTTCCTTCCAGGTTTAGCAGCACTCAATGGGGGGGGCAATGGTGGCTGGTGGTTGCCCCCTTATCGGATCTCCAGGCCCTGTGTCCCGCTCTCCGTAGCAAGCAGATTAGGAGTGAGGCAGGGAGCAACTTGCCAGAAGATTGGTTTGACAATCTCCAAGTACCAGTACATCTGCATGAGCACATCTCGTATTGCCCCTATATACCACCATTTTATACACGACCTGCTTTCTTGAGAAGACTTGATCGCTAAAGTCAGGGGTACATGGCTGCACGCGTTTCCCCCTTGCCTTTCCCATGTCACACGGTACTTGTCTTGCTTTTTTTTCAACTGCTCCCTTTTTCGATGTTCCTTTCCTCCCCTGACCTTAACCTGCACCTTCGCCCGTGGCGTTATCATCTGTCCAACTTTATCGCCTTTGGACTTGAATTGCTCCCTTTTTTTTCTTTCCCTCCAAAACCCCATCCTTCAATCGTCTGCCCCCGACGAAGAAGCAACCTCCATCGCTCGCTCGATTGTTGCTTGGCTTGTGAGCAAAGTTTGGACGGCAATCCGACTTCACTTCCACAGCCCCCCTTGGAGCCGTTCAATGGCTTGCGCGGACAACGTCTCGACCCGTGCTACGTGATTTTTTTTTTTCCTGCTTCTTCTTTTGATTACTGTCTTTCTGGCTTTCATCTGATACTTCAGACCGGACCAGACCAACCACAGCCAAACAAACAGGAACGTTAGAGTTCTATCCGAGGGGACAAATTCATCGTTGTCCCTGCCACTCGTTATCCATCTTCGCTTCTCACCTAGGCTCGATGCTGTTGAATTGACGGGTCCTTTCCTTTTCGGAACCGACCTCCTTTTAGTCTTCATCGCCAAGTTTCGTCCTTCGCCACTCGCGCCTCTAGTCGGCCCCCTTTTCCCCAAGACGCGAACGAGAGAAAAAAATCATTCTTCTCTTTAATTTTCTGAGAGATAGAGAGAGGAGAACGACGTCGATCAACCCCTCCCTTACCCGCGAATCTCACCCTCCTGACGGGAAATAATAATTTTTAAACACAATCCATCAAATCTCCCCAATAGTCTCGGTCTCAATTCCAAGCTTCGTCGGCACCGGCGCCAGTCCATCATGGATCTCCTACGTCGGGTGTCGAATATAGCGCCGACCCCAGCGGCCCAGCTCCCATCAGATGAAAAGGGCCGCAGGTCGAGGGCAGGCATGATCGCATCCAAGTTAGCCTTTTTCAAGCGTCCGCTCAGGTTAAAAGGCAACTCGAGCATATCCGTGCCCCTCGGCGTCGTCATCCTTTTCCCATGCATCGTCGTCATCCTCATATTAACCCTCTTCGTCCGCCATCCCAGCTCCCCTGGGCGGATGCTTATGCCTGCTGGACCTCCCCCAGCTATCCGGTACGTTTCTGAAACTTCATGGGTGTCGGAGCTACCATTCGCAGCCTGGAACTGCCGTGGTCCAACCCTGGATGAATCTTGGTGGGAGGATTCTCGGCTAACACCTATCTCCGTTTAGAAAAATCGCCGAAGACTACGACAAGGTTTTCGCCACTGGCTGCCTTGAGCCCGACACGAGCAAGCCGCGAGCCAACGCCGCATTCGTCGTCCTTGCCCGGAACAGTGATCTGGACGGTGTTATCCAGTCCCTAAAGTCCATCGAGAGGCATTTCAACCGATGGTACAACTACCCCTTCGTTTTCTTAAACGATGGAGACTTTGACGACAACTTCAAGGCCACCGTCAAGAACTACACTTCCAGCACTGTCGAGTTCGGCAAGGTTGGCCCCGACATGTGGGGTTTCCCCGATTGGATTGACGAGAAGGTCGCCAAGGAGGGTATCGCCAAACAAGGTGACAGTGCCATCATGTATGGTGGTTTGGAGAGCTACCACTTCATGTGCCGATTCTACTCGGGGTAGGCAATTTCCATTCTTCTCCAGGTTCGTGACTGAAGCAAGTTGGCTAACATTTGAGATCCAGCTTCTTCTACAACCACCCGCTCCTCGCCAAATACGAATGGTACTGGCGTCTTGAGCCCGAGATCTCGTACTTCTGCGACATCACTTAGTAAGAATATCTCCGCTCTCAATCTTTTCCTTTATCGCGCATTTACTGACTTGGATGTTCCGCTACCAGCGACCCCTTCCTGAAGATGATTGAGGCCAACAAGACTTACGGCTTCACCATTGCTGTCAAGGAACTTCGCGAGACCGTGCCTAACCTCTTCCGATACGCCTCCGCCTACAAGCGTCTTTATAACTACACCTCTCAGGGTCTCTGGGAGATGTTTGTCGAGCCCACCGAGGAGAATCCTCGACAGGGCGATCAGAGTCTTCCCGAGGAAGTGCTCCGCGCCGACCCCCACAATAACGAGCTCCCGCCCATCGACCCCGAGTCTATGGAGGGCGAGAAGTACAACATGTGCCACTTCTGGTCCAACTTTGAGATTGCCAGACTAGACTGGTTCCGAAGCAAGCCCTACAACGACTTTTTCCACATGCTGGATCGCAGCGGTGGTTTCTGGATGGAGCGAGTAAGTTGATTTTTCAGGGCTAATAAATTGCCGTCTCCAGCCTTTTTGTCTGCCCTTGCTAACAAACGGTGTCCTTCACAGTGGGGTGATGCTCCTTTCCATTCTCTAGCGGCCGGTATCCTTCTCGGTCCCCAGGACATCCACTACTTCCGCGACTTCGGTTACCGACACACCACCATCCAGCACTGCCCTGCCAATGCCCCGTCGAGGCAACTTCCTCGCGAGCCCTACCTGGAGAAGACAACGCTCGACCCCAAGAAGCGATTCGAGGAGGACGACTACTGGGAGCACTGGGATGCCGAGCGAGAGAACGGCGTGGGCTGCCGTTGCCGCTGCGATACTGACATCGTCGACGTCGAGGGCAAGGAAGGATCCTGCCTCGCCGAATGGGTTGATGTCGTCGGCGGTTGGGCTAGTCCTTGAACAGGGGTTTACGGGTCTCGGTAATGGGTATCTGTGTTCAACGGAAGACCTCCCTGGCCTTTGCCCGCTGCCTGATATACATATGTAATGTTTGTCTACGCTCTATCAATGACTCTTTGTTTTTCTTCGGCCAACAACCGTCACTGGATTTTTTAAGTTGTGTGTGTGTTCTTGGGCGGAGTGTTGGTTGCTCGGGTTGTGCTTTTTCTTCCGTGTCACCATTCTTGTTTGCCTTGCTTCAGGATAAACGAACCGTTTTCGATTGTTTTGTTTTCTGACCCCTTTTTGCTTTTTTTTCCCTTTTCTTTTTAACACTTTACACTCGGCATGAAGAAAAACCACGAAGCATCAAACCACCCATTTTGGTGGAGAAGGACGTTTGGGGTCCTTTCCCGTTTGCTTTTTTTTTTTTTTTTCAACTTTTCTTCTTTCAACCCGCTTTGCAAACTTGATGGGAGAATTGGAGTTGAATTGATGTATTACAACACATAGACAAATGGGTATGGCGCCAGATAAGAGAAGAAGAAGAAGAAAGAGAAAGAGAAGAATCCATGCCCAAGAGGAGGAAAGGACAAGCAGATTCGGGGGGTGTTAGCCTCGGAGTAAGAAGAGTTAGTTTTATTTTGGAACATGAAAGATACTTAATAGTGAAAACCAACTCCTTCTCCCTTTACCTGTTGATTGTGACTTCGAAGATGTTGATGAGCATGGCTTTATGCCTATGAGCTGTGGGAGTTATGTCGACTTGGAGGGCGGGATAGTTTGAAATCTGAAAACTGCATTTTTAATACCCTTTTCTTTGCTTTCCCCTCTCCTTTGCCGACTAATTTCGTCTAGAGTTTGTCTCGAAAAACAGTCATTCCAATCCCCCAACACCTTTTCTTCTTCCTTTTCTCTAAAATAGAAATATATTGGTTAATGTCATGTCATCGCCCAAACCCTGCCTAGCACTCGGCCTTTACCAGCCAAGATCCAGATCCGTCACGGCGCCATGGCTAGCATCCCCGACCAAGCGCGCATACTTGGCCAAGACACCTCTCGTAATGGTAGGCTTCCACGGGTTCGCGAGCCACTCTTGCCTTCTCTTCTCCATCTCCTCGTCGCTGACATCTGCATGCAGCTTATTTCCCACAGCATCAATGGTAATGACGTCCCCGTCCCTGACAAGGGCCAGGGGTCCACCGACGGCGGCCTCGGGCACGACGTGTCCGACGATGAAACCGTGGCTGGCACCACTGTACCTTCCGTCGGTGACAAGGGCGAGGTTATCCAGACCGGCGCCCATGATGGCGGCGCTAGCCTTGAGCTGCTCGGGCATGCCGGGACCGCCCTTGGGACCTTCGTAACGGACGATGAGAACGAGGTTTCCATCGTCGCGAGTGATGCGGCCATTGATCAGGGCGTCGTTCAACTCATGCTCCTTGTTGAAAACGCGGGCAAAGCCAGTGAAGCTAAGGCCTTCCTTTCCTGTGATCTTGGCGACGGCGCCGCCGGGGGCGAGGTTCCCTTTTAGCACGCGGATGTGGCCCGTCTTCTTGATGGGGTTGGAGAGAGGTCGGATGATGGGCTGGTTGGGGTCGAGGGAAGGCCAGCTCTCGACGTTCTCGGCGAGGGTCTTGCCCGTGACGGTCAGGATGGATCCGTCGAGGAGGCGTGCTGCGATAAGCATCTTGATGACGGCCGGGGTTCCGCCGATCTTATAGAGATCCTCCATGTAGTACTTTCCGGAGGGCGCGAGGTCGGCGAGGAAAGGCACGCGATTGCTCGTACGGTCCACGTCTTCGAGAGTTAGAGGGACCTCGGCGGCGTTTGCCATAGCCAGGAAGTGCAGGATGCCGTTCGTGGACCCGCCAAGAACCATGGTCAGGACGAGGGCATTCTCAAAGGCGGCACGGGTGAGGATTTTCCTGGGACGAATATCCTTCTCCATGACCACCTTGATAGCGTCGGCAACATTCTCGCACTCTCTCGCCTTCTCGGGCGACGGAGCGGGGAACGAGGAACTGCCGGGTAGGGTCAAACCCATGGCCTCAATGGCCGTGGCCATGGTGTTAGCGGTATACATGCCTCCGCAGGCACCAGCACTGGGACACGCGTGCTTCTCGATGTCAGACATTACGTCGGAAGGGGTTCGGCCCGGCTCTCCAGCTCGGCACTTGGCGTGGAGCTTGCCGTAGTTGTATGCGCCAGAGGCTTCGTAACAGGTGCTGATGTTAATGTGGTCTTCGAGGAGTTCGGAGTAGCCCTTCTTGATGGTGCCGCCGTAAACCATGATGAAGGGGCGGTTGTGGCGGGCAGCTGCAATGACTGTGCCGGGCATGTTTTTATCGCAGCCTGGGATGGAGATGTTGGCGTCATGGTGTTGGCCACAGGTTACGGTTTCGATGCTGTCAGCGATAATTTCGCGAGTTTGAAGAGAGAAACGCATTCCTAGAGGAAGGGAGGGAGAGAGTTGTTAGTTGTAAGACATAGAGGAGGGTGGGAGAGGGAGAGAGGGAGGTGCATGTTCGAACCTTCGCCGCCCATGGTGATGGCGTCCGAGACGCCGACAGTGTTGAATTGCCAGCCGATCATTCCGCGGCTTTCAACGGCGCGCTTGACGAGCTTTCCAAGGTCCATCACTATCCAAGGTTAGGAGCCGAGCCCTGGAGGGACTGGGTTGTTGGGGAACAGACGGGACGAACTGCGACTTACAATGCATGCTGCGAAAAGTGCAAGAGATTGTATTAGCCCCACGTTTCGATTCGGCACTTGCTTCATAGTGTAGAGAGGACAAGGGACTCTCCAATTCAAGGTGAACTCACTTGCAAGGGTTTCCCTCCCACCAGACCGTGGAAATGCCGACCTGAGGAGCATTCTTCATCATCTCCTCGTTGGGAACACCAGCACCGTAGAGCATAGCCTTGTCGCCCACCGCCCGTTAACACCACGCCGGAAGAGCGAGCCTCAGGTAACGAACATGGAGGCAGAGGGAAGTAATCGGCGTACCTGGGCACCAGGAAAGTCATGACCGTTCGTGATGAAGTGAGACCACCTGTTCAAAGGACCACCAGGAGGGAGGACCTTGAAGGGGGCGTAGCCCTTGATGGTGTCGTCGACGGCGCCGGCCGCCTGCTTTTTTTCGTTCGCCATTATGCTGGATGTCTATGTGTATAAGAGGTATGTGGACACGGACCGGAGCAGAAGAACTCGAATTGAAAGGGTGGGCCTGGAGTCCGGGATGTGGAGGCCTTGATTATGGGTGAATTCGAGGGAGCTTCAAGGATAAAAGGTTTCAATTGACGTGATGTTAGCTCGGAGCTTCGGACGGTTGCGACTAGCGAATAACCCCATTCGCAAAGAGGGGGGCAAAATAAGAAACGACCCACCTTGCGTAATCGCTAAATTCCTGTTTCTCTTTTTTCTTGGAATAAGAGCCAAAAAAATTCAATTCAATTCTAGACGGGCAATGTTTTATGATCAATTGCTTGAACGTTTCAATGGGTTTGGCAGATTTGGAATGATGAGGTCTTGAATGAGGCCTTGAAGGAGGGGCAGTGGAGGGGTAGTTTATCGAGGGGCAACAGGGAGATCAAAAAGGGAAGGAAGGAAGAGACAGGATAAAAAAAAAAGGAAACAAAAAGAGAAAGCAGTAGGGTAGCAGGGTAGAAATTCGAGGAAGGAGAGTACAGAACCTACACCAAGACCAAGACAGACTTAGACTACGGCTCGGGGATCTAGACCTTGGATCGTCGACAATCATTCAGTGGTCCTGCTTGTTAGGGCAGCAGGATCGTGATTGGACCCAATCACGATCTTCGTATGACAAATGCGGAGGAAGAACCGGAGGAAGGTTGGAACACGCAACGATGAAGCTAGCAAGGAAGGCAGGAAGGTCGGCACTAGGAAGGTAGACCTAGGGAGGTAGTGTAGACCTAGCGAGGCAGGAAGGCGCGAAGGTAGTGTACAACGGGAACTACGAACTACTTCGTAGATGGAGACGCTGGGCTGAACCAATTTGACAATGGAAGCCACGACCGGAGCAATGTGGGCCGAACTACCGAGACCGAGATAGGACGGGCGGGCTTAGGGAAGAGAACGGAGACTCGAGCAGCAGCTGGCGTTTAAGAGAGATTGATGATTGTGGTTCTTTTTGGGTTTGCGGGTGCAGAGGAAGAGTGGTATGGTATGACGTCTTCGAGGAAGTCTACTTGCAAGCTGCTCGTTTTGCTGGGGAGGCTGGAAACTGGAGACGTCGACTGGAAGCTAGCTTGGCGATGGGATCTACCTCTGATATAGTGACGGCATCTCTCGTACATTCCCCGGCGCACACATATCAATTGAGACGGGCACGTATATGCAGCGATATAGCTTCATTTGCAGCCAAGGAGATATCCGGGAAGAGCCATGATAAGCGTTGCCGTGACGTGATACTGTAAGTGGATGAGGAACGTAGTATCAGCAGCTTTGATAGAATTGACAGCCGTGCGCCGCAAGGTGAAGAGAGTCCAGAACGAATCCTCGGCCTCTCTCCTCTCTCCTCTCTTCTCTCTCTGCCCAATGGCCCGAGACTCGAGGATTCGAACTCGGGAAACATTGAGGCAACATGTGACGGCGCACTGAGCATGAATGTGGCAGAGCCCACTTCACCGAAATGATGATGCCCGCAAGGTCCCCCCCTTCTCATCAGCATCGATTCACCGCTTGAAAGTGCCAAGCAAGAAAAGGATCGAGATTCTCCTAGGCCGAGAACGGTATAGGACGGCCCCGGCCTGGTCTGGTCTAGTGTGCAGTGAGAAACAAGCTACGACAAAACGAGACGACACGAGGAAAACACGATAATAGCCGACGGGTACGAGGCACGGGCACCAAGGCCAAGATTAGTGGACACGACGAAGCACACGAACCACGAACTAAGTTGTTGTTAGGTTAGACTTGAGTGGGCATGGGTGATATGGAGGGGAAAGGTCCAGTCATGGCTTGGAGGATTATAAGACGACAGTTCAGATATCACGCTGCCATACACAGACGTCCACATAAGTTCAACCTCGAGTACTTGTCGGGTTTTTCCCCATGTTTCATTTCGCGGCCCAACTTTGCCTCGGAAAGACGTCAATGTATGCACGACGTCGACGAAAGGCCGGCTTGGCCTTGGCCCGGCGCATTCCGCGAGCCCGGGAGATGGGAAAATAGGAGATGCGAAGTGGAGTTGAACCAGTCGGTGAGTTCGGTTTTATAGGTCCACGTTTATCAGGATCAATTGGTTCATTGATATCAATCACGGAGAGTTCCCCGCTCGGTGTGGCGGTCGCTTCTAGACTCTGCTCGGCTTGCGTCCGAAGACGGCCAACACACACCATTGAAGCATTGGAACTATTGATCAATCTGACTCCAGGTGCTGTTCACGAACATATCTTATTGCTACTACCATGAAACGATAGGCATCAAGAATGCCTCCCAATCATACAGAGCAGCTTCGCCATACTCCCACGTCCTAATTAAAGGAGGAGAAAAAAAAAGGACCGGGTCTAGGCTTCTAGAATCCAGTCTGCCGGCACTCCCTTCCTCTGACTCGGCTGCTGCTGCACCTCGCTCGCTTGCAAAAATATGCGCGAGTAGGTCGTATTGGTAGTTATTCGGCCTCACAGCTCAACTCGCATCTATCAAGGTCGTTGCATTGGATCAAAAATGTCACCTCGATGCGTTCAGTCTAATCCAATCCCAGCCAAGCTAAGCTTTCCAGAACGCCCAAGCTGCCCGAACCTACGTCCAATGGATTTGGCAGTTGGCCCAACGAGGCGAGGAAGAAGACTGAAGAGGTAAAGAGGTAAAGAGGGGGGTTGGTTTGTTCTCCGCGATGTTCCGTCAAGAGGTTGAAGATTAGCCAGAGGAGGAAAAAAAAAAAAAAAAAAAAAAATTGAGGACGCCACCTGCAAGCAAGCAAGCCTTTCACAATGCCTGCCCCACGTCTGTCCCATCTGTCCCATGTTTCCCATTTTCCCGTGCTCATCCCGGAACACACGAGCCTGTCACGAGCGCACCAAACGTCCCTATTTCTCGCATGAAATTCCTGCAGCTAGTTTCTGCCCAATTTGATCCCTGTGGCTTCTCTCTCCCTTGCCAAAGTTGGTCCTAATCTACACCCAGCCATTGAGCTTCGTTGGGATGCACTTCGTAGTTCGTTCGAGTCCTCCTACTCGTGGGTAGTGGCGTCATGCTCCGGACACTAGCAAGGGGGGGTTCCCGAGATAGATTCCAGGTTTCTTTTTGTCCCTTGAGCTTCTCTATCCACCCCGCACTACTCGCGAAAAAAAGGAAAAAAGAAAAATACTAGGAATGACGATAGCTAAGCTAGCGCGGTTGATGGAACCCTTGTCTCAACCAGGCTAGTACTGCGAACAAGCCCGTCATCGTCATCCGTGTGTAATACTTGTACTTTACATGACGCCAGTCGCACACGTGCTGCGACCATATGGGCCGGAGCCGCACTGAAGTAGACCTCTCGGATCTATACTAATATCCCATGGCTACTTCGTAGGGGGTGGTGGGGGAGGAGAGAGAGGGGCCGTGTGAGTGTGGATGGTGAACGTTGATGTTGCGTCAGAGCGGGATCTTCCTTGCGGGCTTTTCGAGTCTGGTATCCAATCAACCTTGATGGAATAGTAAAGCCCGAATCGGCGAAGAATCGCAATTCGTCTGTTGGCTCTCAGTACTTGGATATTTCCCTAAATAATGGATTGATAGATTGGTTGTCTGGAAGTGGCAGGAGAGAGACTATCGTCAAGCTACTCTTCGGTCTCTTCAAGGTGCCCCCGTCCTCACCAGCCAGTTTCATCGTTGATAGAGTCTGGCATCACACAAAACCGTATCCAAAACTCCACGGACAAGGACTCGCATTTTACCGTGCAGTGTGTGTTCCCAATTCCGTTTCGGAAAATTGCTCGTCTCCGTCTACGTGGGGGAACTGCCGGCAATGCCATCTTGATCCTCTCCCCCTTTCCCTCCAGCGCTTCATCGGCTTCAATAGTCACACGACAGACTCCACAAAGAGGAGCTCTTAAAAGCACTAGAAAAAAAGAAGAAGAAGAATATTTCATCTCGTGTAATTCCTCAAAACGACATCACCGAGCTCACCATACTCTGGCCCATCCTCCAACTCGCTCACCAGATGTACCCTTTTGCAACTTCACTTAGATTCCAAGTTTCACTTGAGGCTCGCCCTAATCCATTTCCCTATCTTTCTGCCTTCCTGGCTATTCCCTTCGCCTCCCGCGGCAAGGTCCCGTAGAAAGTGTCGTGACAAAGAGTGACACATGATCCTACCTATGAAAATAAACCAAGCACCCTCCATTGACATAGAAAAGAAAGGAAGACATCGTCTCATGCCCACATCATTTTCTTGCTACACCAGCCGTTCTTCCGGGAAGCTTGAAAACTGCCTCGGAGGCAATAAAACGTTCCATATGAACAAGAAGAAACATCGAACCGGCCTCATGAGAGAAATCTCATGAGAGAGACTCGACCAAATGACGATACAAGAAGAGAATCGTTGAGATAGACAAGACACGATGTGGTAAATGACGTTATCGTCACCTAAAGGAAGAAAATAAAAAAGAGTCCATACACATCATTTAGAAACAAACCCTTTCCCCCCCCCCCTCTCCGGGGTTTCATATCCCTCTAGCTCCTTTCCCAACAGGACGAACATACCCCAGTACAGTCCCTTCATCCGTCATGAATTTTGCCATCTCGTGCCGGACCCTTTGCATCGTAAGTCGCTGCACACCCGAACCTTGGAAGAATCGGCCCCAAGCCATCCGAAAACTACCAGTAAAAATTGGTTGAAAAGAGAGGGAAAAAAAAAAAAGGAGTGAAAAAAAGGTGAGAGAACGTATGAGGTGCTCTCGGTAGAAAAGAAGCAACCATGCAAGGAACCCCGACCTTCCGCTTGCCGACACCAGACATTCCGAGCAAGACTCGAAATCTGTCTTGTTGATGTCATGCATGCCTGGATGCTATCTCTTGTGCCACCATTGCATGCGAACAATAGGATATGGAAACGGAGCCCCCTGGGGTTGGGAAGCATGTAGGTAATACAATGTGATACTGAAAAGAAAGGAGAAAAGACGAAAAGAGTGAAACGAAGGTGCGTGTTAATGACAGTTCAAAAAATTTCATCATCACCGTCTTTGAGCCAGTTCACCTGACGGCAACTCAGGCATGGGCGGTAACAACACTAACAGTCCTCTCCTCCTCTATCCTGCGGACCATATGTTGATCCTGCGTTGATCGAGGCTGCGTTTCGATACCGAGGATGGCTGAAATCCGCGTCTTATCTTGGCCCTTCGAGTTGCTCTCCCGATCAGAATGATCTGGGCTCGCCGCGGGGGAAATAGGCGTCATTGCCTGATGCTGGCTACAGCACACACCCGTCTTCCATGCGTGTTCGAGAGCTATGGGGCTCATGCCCACGCCATAGTCTGCCGCCACGGCTGCCCAAAAGGTGGCGCGGTGCGCGTTGTAGATGGCTTGTAACCGGCCCATGTCGACATGTGGATGACGAGCCGACGGCGGGGGCAGTACCGAGCACTCGAGACGGAGAGGCGGGGTCGTAGGATGGGTAAGAGGCGGGAATGTCGCCGAGGGGAGCGCTGCGCTGTGCGGCTCCGGGAGGGGAGTCGGGTACCCTCGAGTCGGTGAGGTGCTAAGCGGAGGGAGTGTCATCGCAGCCGGCTTGGGCAGGATCGATGGGAGCCTAGGTGATACATGGTTGCCCATGATGCTCGGGAGCTGCACGCCGCTGCCGAGGCCGCCGGCTCCATTTGGGGACACCGGACCATAGCTTCCTGCACTGCCAGGGGGTGAGGCCGATCGAGAAGTAGGTCCGTCTCCCATGGGCGACCGGGTCGTTGCGGGCATAATCGGGGAGTGGCCAGTCGATGAGCCGGACGAGACCGATGTCGTTCGCTTCCTTCGGTTGCTACCGTGACTGAGTTGGTGATAGTGAAGACGACAGGCGAGCTCCGTCTTTTTCAAGTGAGCCGCAATGTGCTTGTAAGGCATCTTTTGCAGACGAGTCTGGAGAAGGTACAATTCCTACACAGAAGATGAGATGCCACATTAGTTTGGTTTCCACTCGCCAAGTAAGCACCATGCCTAGATCAAACCAACCTCTTCCTCACTCCAAGCCCTGCCGCCGCCGGTGGAAGCCGCCTTCCGGTTCTTGGTAACACCATACTCGCGGCGTGCCATAACATCGCCCGTGGGCGTGTAAGGGGCGGATAGGGGAGCGAGAGGAATCGTGGGTGCCATTTTGCCAAATAGAAATGGGTTCGTCGTTTCTGAGGTTCTCAATCGTGTTGCCCAATCGGATGTATTCCAAGCTTCTCTCACGCGCACCGAAACCGTGTATAAGTCGTGAGAAGAAGGTATCAAGTTGATGATTGCTGTAAGGTAAACCGCTGGGGCTGGTCCAAAATGTGTAATAGATAAAACAAGGTCACAGGCCAAGCTGCGATACGAATCGAAATGGGAAGATCGTGTCTTAAATGGGGCGGTCGTAAAAAAAAAAAAAAAGCTAGACGGGTGCGTAAGAGTAGACTCCAACGATATGTCGTCTTTTCCGGGAGGCGGGCTCCTTGTGATGTTGCTCTGGTTCTTAGCAGCGGTTTATGGAAACCTGGCGGGCATTTGCTGCTGGACTGGTTTGGCAAGGGATGTTGCAAAAGAGCGATTGGAAAAGAAACAAACGAAAGGGAAAACCGAACGCGCAAATTGACCAAAAGGAGAAGAGAAAGTTAAACCATGAAAAGAAAGGGACGAAAGGAATATTTTGGGGGGCTTCAAGCTCTCGGATTATGTTCAAGAATGGTAATTTTGAAAGGGAAGAAGAAAATGAGTGGAAGCAGCCAAGCCAGTTGGTCAATAAAAGAAAGTAAATGTCTAGCTGCGAAGAAGAAAAGAAGGGAAAGAAACGCAACAGCGTCTTAAGAAACCTTGACCACTAAAGGTGATGAAGATTGGAAGCCCAAAGGGGTGGAAGAGAGAAGAGAAAGAAGAAAAGAAAAAGAGTAAACAACAGACGGTAAGGGCCCGGGGAGGGAATAAGGGAAGGATATAATGAAACTTGATCATCTAGAAGATAGCACAACACAGCCAGCACATCCCGTCTAGTCTTTCCTCAACGACGTCCCCGCTAAGATTCGGGATGAGGTCTATCCTTGAACCAGGGGGAGGGGTGTGTGGGTGTGGTGGGTGTGGATTCTTCAGGGTGGGTGTTTACCAGCCATACGTACCAAGCTCAGACCCATTCCTGAGGGAGTGGGATGGGGGTCCAGGGTTAGAGTGAGGCTTGTTACAGACTTCTGTTCTGGGACAGGAGGCGGTGGGATGCTAGTTAGAGCAGAGAAGTGGTTTTACTCGCAGAGATGCTAGGACCATCTATAACAGCCGGCCAGCTAAAGTTTGAGGCGAGCCGGGATGAGGGAGAGCGTGGCGCTCATACTGCAGCAAGCAGGGTGTGGGGATGCGTATTACAACATGTACGAAGTATGTGGATATGAGGGTATGACAGGGGTTCGCGGGTCGCATTAACCTTTCGGTCTAATCCATCCAGTCGATACCCGCCGATGCTTGTGGCGTTGAAGCCGTGGGTAGGTCCACTGCTTGGAGAACATGCGACTAGGCGAAATACGCGGCGGTCCTGCATCGTAGGACGATTGATAAATATCTCCGAGAAGCCTTTGGATTGTTATACGCCTGAACGCACAACGGCAATGGCAACAAAATAACGATACAACAACACACAGGAGAAGAATGTGAAAGGCCGACTTAGAGAAATACGTTTTACCTGCAAGATGGACCCTGGCTGAATGGGGTGGACGTGCGCAAGTATGCGGCGTGGAGCTTATCCAACTTTGAACGAAACCAGCAACGCTGGAGGATGCTTAACTTTTGGTAAGGCGGCTGCCGTAACAGCAGGCCTCGTTTCTTCTACCCCTCTTTTTTTTCTCTTCATTCCTGCACCAGGGTCAGGAAACATCGACTGAGGTTGAGTTAGGTCGCAGGGCCCAAGGCCCAAGGCCACAAGGCCAATCTGCGACCCGATCTGGAACGAGTGTATTATAAGTCCTGTTTCGAGAGGACTGTACGAAACCTCTCAAGGCTTCGAATTCAGAAAGTTAGGAAAATAAGATAACCTCATAAAGACTGAACTAGACAATTAGGGGAAACTAAACAAGAGCCATTCTCAGGCTTATTGGCGAGACTTCTCGCGATGGACTGGCAATTTGGTGAGGAGGGTGGATCACAAAAGAAGAGGCCTGTCCGACCAGCGGCTTGGCATCCGAGAGCAGGAGAATGGATCGACCAGTGACAGAGCTCGACTTAGTGGCTTGCGGTGTGCTCCGCAGGTAGCGCTAGTGCATGAGAAGTCTATTTTTGAGATGGAAGGGGTCCATCGGCCTCGGGTCCGGTTTGAAAGTTGAAGCGTCTGATGAGTTGACGTTGAGAAGTCAAAGTGCGGGGCGTGCGGCTGCTGCTTCCTGTGTTCCAGAAACGCGCTTGTCAGCAAGGGCCGAGATTCCATTGGTCAATGGCGGCCTTTTCCCCTGATTTGCACATACATGGCTGGTACAAATGGGATACAAGTGGGAAAGGTCCAATCCATAATGAAACTTTGTGCAAAAGATACTTTATGCAAATGTACCCGTCCAATCTCTGCAACATTCTGATACAGTCGTGGATCCCTTGTTTGGTTCGAGGTTGTAGTTTAGAGTCGTACCTGTGTAGACATCGAAACGAGAGACTGTTTCTTCCCCGCGGTCATTGTCACGGCTCACAACGGGCAAAGAAGAGTAGGTCGTTTGGCATTCGTATGAAACCCGAGTCTAGTATGTGGCGGACTGACTGCGTGGTGTTTGTGTTTGTATGGAAAAACTTGTCGCTCCGTCAACGATCTGGGCGTCGCCCGTCCCCGCTTGCATGATGAGACTTGCTACTTGTGGGTTCAAGGTTTCTGAGGCGGCATTTGGTTTGGAAGGATACTTCAGAATTCAGAAGGATCGAATCTCTTTAGTGTTGTTTGTCGCTGTGATGACTCTGGTAGAATCACCAGGGTCACATGAAATCAGCGAAAATCATCGCGAGTCAACAAAAAACGAAACCCACTTGCCCAAGCTTAATTCTCCATCAATGATCTCTTTGATTGTCACTTCCAATTATTCCAGAACAAACGGGAACTCCGAGGGAATTAACCTCTGTAACTTATGATCTCACGCCTGCTTGCCCATTTAATCAAGACCATCTAGCGATCGGTCGCTCTTGCACCTGGGGGATCGTTAATGGTGCAAGCAAGCACAAGTCCGGGTTGTTATAGTGGTAAGCTTCTATCGTTAGATTGGTCCTTCCTTCAATGTTTCTCCTATCTGCGTGCCCAGCACCCATGTATATCTATAAGAACCGTGTGTACTTCGTACTTCGTCCACTATTCCTATGTACGAGCGAGCTGGGAGGGAAGTCGCATATCAATCAACCACCTTGGCGTCTCCACATGTCACTGGACGTCAAGATCTGTAGCTTAATTCTGCATCTTCAAAGTACAACGTTGATACAATTGTAGTCTTCGGTGCCTTGCAGCTGAATCCTTCCTCAAGGCTTGCCCACCCCACCATGCTGATCTGTGCGTCTTGAGTATCTGCAACTTCGACGAAGTATGTGGTCTTGCTAAATAAGCTTTGGATCTGTAACTTCAGTGTACCTTAGTACCTTGGTACCTAGGTACAATTTTTTACTGCAGAGTCGGAAAAACGTTTGGGCAGTCAAGCCTGGTCACCCTTGCTGGGCTCCGGTCCCTTGAAACTCGCTAAGACGCTGGTGCAATTTCACCCAGTATCAGCAACCGTGGTCTTGGGTTCACTGAATCTTTCATGCACGGATGATACCTCCCCTGACCTAGTTCAAAGTAAACTCCGTGCTCTTACTTCGTATCTCTTCTTACTTCGTATCTCTTCATACTTCTCCATCGTTTCTCATTCCTGTGGAGTGTCGTTCCAACTCAGGGAAACACGACTGATGGGTAGCATCAACACCCTGGCGCCTCGCGAAACAAAATACAGAAGACTGCAACTGCCATCATACCCCCTGCACAGTTTAGTTCACCGCTTGCCATTGATCAATGATGGCCTCCTCGCAGCAACGCATGTCCTTGTCCGCCCTGCTTGATGGAGAGGGAAAGACCTCAACTGGCAAGGGAAGACCGAGGAAGGTGGCAGCAGCCTCTAAAACGTTCTGCCTGCTTCGAAACCAAACTGCTGCCGCCAGCAAACAGATACGACCTTGTTTCCCAATACTCGCTTCTGCACGCACGTTTGGCCTATATGTCTCAAAACACGGACGACGAGTTTCAACTGAGGTATTTTTTTGGAGGATGAGAGGCTGTTGAGTAGACCCCGTTGCATAGTGTTTACTCCGAAAGTGAAAGATACGAGGCACGCTCCACTGTTCCTGATAGCACCAAACTTGCTCTGTTTAGCCATCGTTCCCACAAGCCTTATGCAATGCCGCTCCGGCTCCATTGACATGTTTTACGATTGATGGGAGTGCGCTTTCTGGCGCCCGACTAACAGGCAAACTTTCGGAAACTGTAAGCGCTCAGACGGATGGCCTCTTACTTTCGGCGGATCGTCTATCCGCTTTCTCCTCTGTGACCGCCAATCTCCTTGCATGCCTAGGCAGATTTGTTCTGTTTCTCACCATGCCGTTTCCACATTCATGACTCGGCAGCTGATGAGGGTGATTCTGACCGATATACCAGTGTAGAGTCCGAGGAAAATAACACCAACCTCGAAAGTCGCTGCCAATCCGATCGGCCAAATCCTCATTGTATGCCATCGCTTCGAACCACAACGTGGAGCTCATTCATCGAAACAGAGTCAAGCTGCCACTGCCCCCCTTTCAGTTCAGATTGGGTCATGATCACCGGAAGCTCGAACAGCCGACAATTCTGCCAATCCTTCTCGTTGATCATCGGCATCTCATTCCACCAATCGATCGTCACGAACTCTTTCATCCCTCTCGTCCTATACTTGAGACCCCACAGCATCCGCATAGCAACGAGATCTTCGAGCAGAAAAATGCGCAAACCAGGGAACCCAACGAACAGGCAAGTAAGTGCTTTCGCTTGTGCTCCTTCAATCTTGGGATATACTCTTGCCTGGGGGCAATCTTCATCCGATCTCAATTCTCCTATTTGCACCCAAAAGACTCTTTCACCTGGGTATGGCCTTCGGTGATGTCGCCGTGAGATGGGAAATCTTGGTGCCGAGAGAGATGAATGGAAAATCCCGTCGCCCAGGTTCTTCGAATCCCATGTCGTGGCATTTCTCTCTCGCTGTGCTCTCCATGTGCCCGCTCCGCTTAGGGAGGAACAAACTTTCGTCCTCACCGCCTCAACTGCCCGCGGGGATTGAGTCCTCTCTCCTTGGAGTTACAGCCCGTTTTGTTTCTCTAAATCGCAACAGACGCACATGCACTTGATTCCTGCTCATCTGTGGTGGATCTTAGAGCGTCCAATCCTCAAACCGAGGCTGTTAGCCTGTGACTTGATGCCGGCAGCCTGTGACCCGCAGTGTTTCGTTCCCTCGCCATGATCGACTTCCCACAAGGAGGCGCATGAATCTGATTCCTAAATAGGAGGCCCATACTATTTACCTGAATCAGCAAACTGTCTGGTGATAACAACATTGAAGCGTCCACTGCCATGGCCGGAGCCTGTGGATTTTTTTTTCTCTCTTTTCGTGGCGGCAGCCGTGACACAGGAGAAAGTTCTTCGACAATATTTCTGCATCAATATCGCCTGAGAGGGATGGTTGGGCAGGGACTCGGTGAGGCGGGAGACTTCTATTTCCAGGATTGGGAAGAGAACGGAAATATGAGCGTGAGCCATGGACAAGATGAGTGCGGATACGGGTCTACCAAGGACCGAAAGCTGATCTCGTCTGATCTGGGCGTACTTGATAGGTATCGAGAGACGATATCCTTAATCTCAGCCCTTGGATCCACTGATTCTTCTTTTTTTCTCTTTTTTTTCTGGACGAGCCCGGATTTCCAAGAGCGGAAACTGTGAGTTTAAGAAGTCGAAAAGGTTGGGTCGTGCTGTCTAGGGACCGATGATATGACGGTGACTTATAACTAAGGGATGGGGTTAGGGACTTGGCACTTGTCAGGCAGGCTCCAATATCCATCTTGTACCTGCAGCGAATCAGAGACCCATCGTGAAGAGGTGGATCGATGTAGAGTGATGTACTCGAGATCCAAGTACAGCTATTGTACAGTTGTAGCATAAATAAGGTCGTCGCTCGTGTCAATGATTATAGGGCTGTGCTATAGATTGGGAACCACTTCGTTCCCCGGTTTTCTCCTTCAATGTATGGCAAAAGTAGAGTACATTGCGTGGTCTTTCCTAGCCTGGATCAAGTCACTCTTACCGTGCAGCCTTTCTCACTAAAAATGCTCCGTAACTTACGCTCGTGAGCCTCGTGAGTCTCGGTACTTGGGTCCCGTTACACCCCTGCCTCTGGACATTGCAGATGTAGAAGAACCTTAAGCTGGCAAAGTCACCAGTATGTCTTGCCAATTGATGACGATGTTGTCGAAGGTTGGAATAAGATGCAATCGGCATTGTGGTTTATCGCCTCATCGCTCTGGTCTTTTTCGCTGCCGGTTTCTGGATCTCGTTGGAGACTGATCTGTGTGCCTCACGCGCCTAGCGAGCACTGCACCACATTCCCTTCGTCTGCTTCGAGTCCTTTTTCGGATGACCTGATAATTTCTCGGTTGGACGTGATACAGTGTCGTTACCGAAGATGCGTCACTGTAGGTGTAGGAATACACACGTGAGAGTACAAAAGCTGAGACGATCCTTTGTACTTGGTACTTTGCACGCGTACCGAGCTAATTCCCGCTGAGCAAGTGAAAGACGCTTTTATCGGTCAGCATCTGATGAAACCCCCAGATCAGACAGGGTTTGGTCGAACCGTCGTCATCGTCTCAATTGTTCGTTTCGTTTATCTCATTCCCCAACGATGAGCAATTGCGTACCATCAGCCTAACATTAGAGGCATTCAAAAATGAGATGCATTTCTTGACCCCTCATTTCTTCGGCGGCCGAGAATATTCATCGGCTTAAGTAATCTAAAAGGGGCGAAAGAAGCAGAAATTCTTGCAACATTTGCAAGAGATAGGGCTATTATCGGTTAATCCGCAGGGAGGACGGCATCGCCTTCCCTAGCTTTCCTCGCCTCTGCGCACTATGACTGGCCAATGAACGGCGGTACGTCGGAATCATGTACATTGCGGCGCGATACTTTAGATGCGTTCCTTGAAATGGACCAATGGCACGGGCGAATCGAAATTTGCCTCTCGAAACTGGTCCACTTAGCGGGCTGTGCTACGCGTTTCCCATTGGCTGCTGCGACGGTCGAGCGGACCAGAAGTCACGGGTTAGGTCACCCTCTGACGTGACCAGGAACACAGGGGATGGCCGGACGAAAGTATTTGTACAAAGGGTTTGTACCTCACAACAGGGGAAGCACACACCCCCCCTCTTCTCTCTTCTTCCACTTCTTCCTCACTCACTTTGCCGTTTCCCCCAACGTTCTGTCTACCTCCACTCAAAGTGTCTGTGTTTCCCTCTCCTCGTCTCTTGAATCCCCCTTCCCATTTTGGACCTCTCCAAAAAAGAAAAAGGGACATTGGGGTTTTTTATTTCTTATTTTCTAGACATCAGAACCAGGGAAACCTGAGTTACTTTGGACCAAAGTACATCAAAGGAACATCGCGACGTACAATCAAGCGTACATTGGTCCAGCTCTTTTCGAGTACTCTGATACGCGTTCCCCAAGTTCTTTTCCGTCATTGAGTCAAATCAATTTGGCATCAAAAGGGTCGGGCTTCGAGCTTCGAATTTTGACCGTCGATTTTTTTGCGAACTCCCGCCAAAGCCTTCGTCATTTGGACACTATAGTGTCGGAAGACGCCCCATTCCAAGCAGGCAGGCACAATCATAGGTAATTACTTGTCCAATTGAGTAGGTACGTACGCCATCAAAACACGTAATTCCCTCCGCTCCTTCCCAGCCGCCGACTTTTTAAGTTGGTTCCCACAAGCCGTCACTTCCTCCGAGGTCTCTGGTACCCTCTACCTTCCCTTTACATCTATTCCCTCCCCAGGTACCTTGTTACCATCGCCACCCTTCACTTTTTTTTTTCCTCTTCTTTTTTTCGCGTTTGACCACGACAAACGTTTCCATCGTCATCATCCATCCATCTTGGTCCCTTTCCTTTCTTTCTCATCGCCGGTTCAAGTCTTTTGACAATTGTTCGGTTGCGCAGAAAGTTCCATTTCTTCTCTTCTGGCCCTGCGATCGCGCTTCGACCACCGAGTACAATCTGCGGGAAACAAGTTTGTAGGCCCTGTCCCACAAGCTACCCTTTCGCCGTCCCCACAAGAACCAGCCTCGAGTAGATTCCAGCACGCAGAGTTACAGGTCACTCGCGAAGTTCCCTCGTCACTCACCCATTCCACCCCAGGTACCTCAAGGTTTGCATTTGATCCTCTTGTCAAAGCCCACGCCTAGGCACGTCGACATCTGCTACCAGCCCGAAAAAAAGACCTTGGTCTTCGTTTGGGCCTTTTCGTGTATCATCTTTGAGTTACCCGCTGTCGCGTTCCTCAAAAGAAATCGCGAGGTCGCTACATCGACGACCTGGTGTTTTTTGACACACGCAACTTTTTCCCCCTAGTTCAGAGATACATTTGCCCGTAAGTAACACTCACTCTCTCGCTTGTTGCTTTTGATCCTCCTCAGTTGCCCTGTCGCTGGCACGACCTGGTTTGCAACTTGGAAGCTTTTCCCTTTCTTTTTATTTCGTGTCGTCGACTTTGGGTTTACGACTCGAAATTTTTTTTTATCCCGCTCTGCCTCGCGTGTTCCAGAGAGCTTGATTACGGCGGGAGAGCTCCATTGAGCCTCCACATAATTTGCCTCCGCTACCAACGCCTTGACCATCTCCTCTCTGGAGCACATCAAGCCTCTCCGCTTAATCCACAGCATCACATCTGCATTATGCCCGACCATCAAATTCTCATCTCTTGCCTCATCTCTCGGATTGAGGGAAAACGGAGCGCAGTGATGGCTTTTGGAGGACAAGAGGCTGGATGAAGATGGTGGGGGTTGAGAAGTGAAGGAGCTGGCGGGTTCCGGCGTCGTTGGGGCGCTGACATTTTGTCTTCGCCAATTGTTCTGAATTGTTTACTCTCTCTGCGTTGGCATCGTCACTAATGTTTGTGTTCGTCACAGATCATGCAGCAGTGGCAAGTCGGTCCCGTACCGGACCTTACGTACTTCAGCAGCTCCAACACTCATCAAAATGAGATGCAGTAAGTACAACGCACCCTTGTGTTTCCTATTCTGCCTTCCCCTCCAGAAAACAATCCAGGTACATTGTCTTGCATGTACCCGATGTACTCCTCCAACCACCCCGCTTGTCTGTCCTCTGCTTGGCTGCCCGGTCTGTGTTGTGTGCCACGAAGCCGCCTTGACAATGATGGCAAAGGGAAGGGACGGCCGACCTTCGTGCTCGTATATTTTTTGCTGATCAAGGCGGAGATGGCTGCACATGGAGACCCCGGGACACCCATGGCCTTCCAGATTGACAAGCAACTCTTTGACTGTATCCCTCGCGTGAACGGGTCACAGGCTAGAGTGGGAGATTGGGAGTTTTCTGTCTTCTTGATCAAGACGCTGCCCTGTTGTCCGCTTATTCTGCGGCTTGCAGTTGATTTCAGTTTATATTCCCCCCAAGGCTGTCGCTAACACACGTTCCCTCTTGAAGCGCGCCTTCCCATTCGTACCAGCAAGATATGGCGCGCCGCAACGAGCGGATGGATTTCCCGCCCTACGGCCAGCCTCAGCCTGGTCAGCCTCATCATCCGCCTCCGGTACAGCCGCCCATGAACGTACCGCAGCCTCCCACCGGCCCGCCGCAACCGCAGCCACAGCAAGCTACTCCTACGCCTCCCGCTGGTGGTCGACGAAACAAGCGCCCCCAGCCGCCCACTTCGGCGTCGCCGGTTACCTCTGCGCCTCAGATTCCTCCCACCTCGGTCACGGCTCCCCCTCAACCGGCGCCTCCTGGTGGCCCCGCCCAGCCCGCCGTGGACAACGCTGCCGCGCCGGCCCCAACTCCCCCACCCGTGAAGAAGAGCCGCACCAACACGCCATGGACGCCTGCGGAAGAGCTCCGACTCAAGCAGATGCGTGACGCTGGAAAGAGCTGGGCTGAGATTGCCAAGGTGAGAAAAAAGACCTCTTTTTTATTCTATGACTGTGCAAACAGTCGCTAACCCTATATCTAGACTTTCCCCACGCGTACCGAGGGTAGCGTCAAGAAGCACTGGTACAAGGACATGCACTACGCTGAGTTCGCCGAGGACGAGAGCCAGGCCCTCCTCAATGCCATTAAGGAGTACGAGAACAGCAAGTGGAAGGTCATCGGACAAAAGGTTGGCAAGCCTGCAAAGGCTTGCGAACAGTACGCCAAGGAACACTTTCCGGAGCTCTTTAACCAACCTAAGCAGAGATAAAGTACTCCGGAAGCACACGTTCATGGCGGTTATCATGACCTAGGTTGAGCCGCATTTTGTCAGCCAATCACACACCCTGGTTCCGCTCGGAGACAAGCGTTGATACCCACTGTAGATTGGTCCTTGTCTTTGCCCGTTCTCTTTTTTTCCTGGTCTGATTTGTCGTCGCTACTTTTGTTCTTCCTTCTCTTTTTCCTTATTTCATTTTCTTTCTTTCCTTTCACACTCGGCTGGTTATTGCCTCACGGCATGGAATTGGGACGTTTTGCGGTTACAATGTGAGAGAAAGATCGAGAGAGATGTCGGGACGGGAATCACATACCCACGGGTTGGTGTTTGTCTTGTCTCAGCTTGGGATGTCAAAGCCTCGTGTACCCCATAGGTTTTGGCCATCGCAGGTCGAGATGAACAAGGTCAACCATGTATTTTATTTTGGCGAGCTCCAACTTGGTGATCTCGCCTGCTTTACAGAATTCCGGCCCGAAGCAGTCCCGCCGGCATCAGCACCCTCTATGATGGCTGTTTCCCCTGTACTACTTCCATCATCATCACCATGTTTGCACCTTTTCTTCATGGTCTTCTCCTTATGTTCTTATTTTCTCTCTTCTTATTTCCTTCTTTCTTAGTTTCGTCCCCGGGTATCGGGGATGAAAGGGTAACAGGGTCAGGACGGTTTGATGCGACTTTGGACGGTTAGGCGGTTCGCAAAAGGAATTTAATCAAAGGGACGACAGGTCGGAAAGTTGAGTTTTTTTTTCCTCTTTTTTCACTTCACTTTTTCTTTTTCTCTTTTTCAGAGTGAAGGCAGAATCAAACGGTCTTTGCGTTTTCGGGGGATTTATATATCTTTACAGATTGGTATTCAAACGTTTTGCTCGGCTGCACGGCGTCTGATCATACGCAGACGGGGCAGTCAAGCGAGGATGCAGGTGAAATTGTGTTTTCTGAGGTTACAGGAAGTCTATACCCCCCAATAGATGGGATACTGGGGTGTCCCCTCGTTCTTTAATCTTTCTCCACTTCCAAGTTGGACTTGATGCCTCACGTGACATGCGAACCTTCAATGATAGGATTGCTCGGCATGCAACTATTTCGATGGACTCTTGCCCTGCAAAGGAGAGTTGGAAGCTGGCTTGACACTCGTTCCCTCCCTCCCGAGTGATCCGTTCAGCCTTGTTTGTATGCAGGTACGTCTCGAGACTTCCGAAGCCATATCACCACGTGGTCCCTCTCGGTGCACACCCTAATGAACTGATGTTTACTTGTACTCGGAGGTACAGTACATGCCTTGAGGCAAGCGTCTAAAATAGTTGGTTGTGGATGGCAGAGCGTGGGGAAGGTAGAAGGTACGAAAGTACTTCGCACACTGCGAATCTTTGGGCTTGGGATCAGATTAGGGATTGGCTATGACGACATTTTGCTAGTGTGTACCTGGTTTGAGCACTTCCGAGTCTACTGAGGAGTGCACGCCCCATTGTAGTTTATTCATCCGCATCCTTTGGACAGCTACGAAGTTACAAGGTTGCTGTTGCTATCCTGCCTGCCCGACTCGTGGCTTGGGGCATCGGGCCGTCGATTGCGATCATCAGTTCAGGGAGGTGTCGACGCATTATAACCAGCTAGCACCGACGATTGGATGGCTGAAAATCGTTGGGCACATGGCAGCGAGCAGCTTTTTTCTTCTATTCATTTTTCTCTTCTGTTCATCATCTCGGGCCTTGATCCTCGGTCAAGTGCTGGTATGCGTCGATCGGCACAATAGATAACGACGGATCCGTTTGACGCGGTCCTTCATCGCCTCGGATGAGAGTGAGTCCTTTGGTTGGTGCCTTCGCTTTGGAAGACGGGTCCTTTGATGGGCCATCAAGTTATAAAATCTCGCAGTTCATGCGCTGAAGGACTTGGACTTGAGCATAAGGTATCTATCTATATTACCAGTCTTTATGGTATGATTCGGCAGTTGCCGATTGTTCACGAAGTTAATGCCCCGCAATGTTCGGTGTTCCTTGCTTCGTAGGTCTTAGATACGTTGAGGTAGTCTGCAGCTCTCAATAGTGTGCTCCTCCGCGAGAGCAATGCAAATCTAGATTAGTTTTGGGGGGTTAACATTAATGTCAACCCGAGAGGGGCGAAGTACACTCCATACGAAGTACATCAATATTACTGATTACTGGGCTTTGTGGCATTGTTCCATAAAGGGTCGAGAACCGAATGGGCCAATGAACATCATGCCGGATCCGAGATGCCATTTTATCTGGAGACTCGGACCCAACGATTTGTACCTATGTATTGACCTTAAAATATGTGTGGAGGTTTTACTCTAAGACCCTAATCATCAAGAAGAGGAACGCCGGTGGCTTTTTACATACTTTGTACTTTGCCAATGCCATGGGGAAATCTTTCGCGCAAATTCCCACAACCGCTTATCTTCCTGCTTTGCGTGGGAAAGGGACGCGGATCCAGCAGATCATGGCTCCCCTCCAAGGGAGCACACCTGTCAAATCAGGGTAGCAACGCGACTGATCACTGGAATTCAGGTTTTTGGCTCCTCTTTTACGAGGCAAAGTGGTGTCCAAGCTAGCGCATTTTTGGGCACGTGTGTTCCCTGGTGAGGTACCGAAGAGTCGTTAGTGTGGTGTCCGAGGTACTTTGTTCACTGCTGTGCCTTGCTTCTGGCTAATATTAAGATTAGTTCGGAGCTATTTTGATGACTGTTCCCCTGATGGAATCTGGGGGATGTGCCTAGTTTAGTAGACACCTGAAGGATGTGTATGCGTAGCGTACTTCGTGGTGTCCTGTTATGGGGGTCTTTCCTTCTCATCCGGTGTTCAAGGACCCCACTGAAGAAGAAAAAACGGTTCCAGTGTGGTCTGAGAGCAACGGCCGTCAGCGAAGGGTCGACTAATTTACATACGAGGTCACGACCTTCGAAAGGAAACGGTGAAGAGCGTGCCAGCGAAAGACATTGACTTGGCAGTACGGAACAGTTGAGGTTCTCGTATCGAGGAAGCCCATTCTGTACCAGATTGGACGTCATTGCTCTTTGTTTCTGGACCATTCCGTCAATACTTTGTGGACTCGCCCTCCCTATCAAGCGACAAATTCCAAGCACGAAGTACCCCGTTCAAAGCTACTTCGTGCCTTGATGAGATATCCTTTGCACAGAAATGCATTAATCTTACTGAGGTACTTCGTACCTCTGTCACTCTTTGGACTCGAGAGAAAAGGAGACAGGGGTCCCATCCCATCTGCAAATGAACCGCTTTGGGCCAATACGAGCGCACTCTCGGCGCCACCAATTTAAAATGGGGTTTCGGTACCAGTACAAGAAGGACTATGCGAACACATCAGGTCTTAAAGCAGCGGCTAAGTACTGTACATTCCCTCTTAATCAACAGTTGAAGTGCAGTGCATTAAAAGCAGAAATTGTTCGTGCAGGACCGTTAGAAACCAAGCTCTCCACACCACACTGACCCACGCTCTCTGCATGGGGCACGCTCGGCCTAGCTTCATGGTTTTCTTTTTGACTTCGTTTTCCACGTCCGTGTCGTGCCCCGGCCTGGGTTCGGCCTGGGTTCACGGGGCAAGGGCCCAACATCCCTGATTGAGGATGGTTAAGAACTGGTATTAGGGAGAGGCAGTTCTGTGAGAGAATGAAAGGGGGGGAGTGGAGCATTTGACCGTTAGTGGAGATGTCAGGACCGTCGTATGAGTCTTTTAGTCTAATACTTCGGACTAAGATAAGTCTAAGAATATCTAGCAAAATATTCATAAATGATCATGAGTGGCATCGTGAAGTAGAGATACCCCTGAGCCTTCGAGCCCTTTGCTGGGCACGGTCGTAACAGTACATATCAGGCTCCAAATGAGCATTTTGTGCATACATACTTCGTGCTTCGTATGAGATGCTCAGTCCACCCTCCTCACACTTCAGTGTTCCCATTTTCTACCTTCCGTCCCCAGATTGCAGGTAAAAAGTATCAAACGGATAATATTACCCTCCCTCCCTGGCGCCAATCCCCACTTCAACGCATGTTGGACTGCGGGAGTACCTAACTTTCGTATTGCTAGATGAGTGGTATGGCATATCAGGCATTGGAGAGGGTATAACGGCAAGGGAATTGATAGGACTGCATAGGTATTGATACGACAATGAAGTATCATTTGTACGGAGTATGGAGCATGAGTTGTATGGTAGCATTTGACCCGAAAGACCTCGCTTTTTTGCCTCCCTCGTCCTTTCGTACCTCGTAATAAGTGAGACCGTCTATTTCCATTTCCATCTGTGGTCCCCTCTTTCCTCTTTCTCTCTTCTGGATAGCCTTTCGCCTTTTCCCTCAACCCAATCGCTCGTTTTTATCCAAAGGGTTTTCCTCATCATCATTTCCTCGGCTCATTTTTCTCTCTTCCTCAAAACTCTTCTCGAGGCCACATTCGTTTTTATCCTCGTGAAGTTTACAGAGAAAATCATCCCTACGCTCGTTACAGCAACCCGATTCATCCCCCCTTCCCGAACACGCGATCGTTTCCCGCACTCAGTTTTGGCAGCGACCTCCTGACTTTCGTTTCCTGATCGACCTTCCCAGCAAATCTACGTCTTCTTTTTCGGCCCCTTTTTCGCTCGGGTTACCCAGGAATTCTTTGGGAGTTTCCTAATCCGGTCGGAGAAAACCACGTTTGCTGGATCTTGTACGCTCGTCGACTGCAAGTTAAATTCAGACGCGCTGCATCTACCCGGATTGACTTTTGAACGACTCGACAACAAAAGGGCTTTGTGAATAGGCTCCTTTTTTGGCTCGGTCTTGGTCCATTTCGTTGACTGGCAACTCTCGCTTAATTCGGAGAAGAATTGGGATTTTTTTCGGCAGATTTGAAGCTGTGGCATAATAGCACTGCCAATTCTCATCTTCGGCAAAAAAAGGAAACACGATATTTGTCGTCGCGTCCCATACACACATTTCGACAGACACAATAGCAACCTGTGTCTCACCTTTATATTCCACCTGGACGACACCTTTTCACTCGTTTTAAGGCTGCGTACCCCTTGGCGAAAACCAAGTCCTTTTACTTTCGAAGTTCTTTCGACAACACCAACATACATCTTAATTCTTAATATTTCGACAACAATTCGATAATTCCGTCGTCATGATCGGCTCACTCCTGCCTATGGCCCTTGTGGCCTTGTTGCAGGCCACCACGGTTCTTGCGCAAACTCCTCCATCATGCTCGCTTGACAAGAAGTGTCCCGAGTCAGCGCCTTGCTGCTCTCGTAAGTGTGGTCCTCCAAGCTGATCCAAGAACAAGAAACGCTTTCATTCTTGAAAGAGATTAAGATGAAATTTTCATTGAAAAAGAAATCCGCCAGCTACTAACGTCGATCACAAATAGAATATGGACAGTGCGGTACTGGAGCTTTCTGTCTCGGCGGCTGCGATCCCCGAATGTCCTTCTCGCTCGACTCGTGCGCCCCCGCCCCCGTCTGCCAGAACAAGAAGTACCCTATGAACTCTCTGGACAGGATTGTGGAGATGGGCAAATATCTGGGCGACTCGTCCAAGGCCGACTGGGTGTACCAGGGCACGCCCTTCGCCCACGACGGCAACATCCTGCTGACGATGAAGCCCCAGAGCGTGGGTACCGTGATGGCGTCTACGACGTACATGTGGTACGGAACCGTCAAGGCCAAGATCAAGACTTCTCGCGGCAGGGGTGTCGTGACGGCGTTCATCTTGTACGGTGATGTGAAAGATGAGATTGACTACGAGTGGGTTGGCGTGGATCTCGAGACGTCGCAGACGAACTACTACTTCCAGGGAATTCCCAAGTGTAAGTTGACGACCACGAAAAGCTCAGAAGATGAGAAGTGGGGAAAACCAAAAGCCGAGAGTGACCCTAGATTTCTGACAATACTTCCATGCAGACGACCAAAGCTACAACATCTCTATGTCCTCGGACACGTTTGCGAACTGGCACGAGTACGAAATTCGATGGACCCCTGACCAGATCCAATGGGTTGTCGACGGCCAGGTCGAGCGCACCAAGGAGAAGAAGGACACGTGGAACGCCACCGCCAACCAGTGGGACTTCCCCCAGACGCCGGCACGTGTGCAGCTCTCCATCTGGCCTGGCGGCGCTGAGTCCAATGCCAAGGGCACCATCGACTGGGCCGGCGGCGTGATCGATTGGAATGGCGAAGACATCAAGAAGGTCGGTTACTACTACGCCACGTTCGGTGAGATCGAAGTCCAGTGCTTCAACGCCAACAGCCCCCCCGGAACCAACAAGGGCAAGAGCTACATCTACAACGACTACCGCGCCACCAACGACACGGTTGAGGATACGGACAAGGGCACCGTCCTCTCCAGCTTCGCGGCCACCGGTCGCGACATGACCAAGGGCGCTGAGTCATCGGATGACAGCGTCTCGCAAATCCCTGGAGGCACCAACCCCGGAAGCGGCAGCACGGGACACGGAACCGACAGCGGCAGCGGCAGCGACGGCTCTTCCGGCGGCGGGCAGGTGTCGGACGAGTGCAAGGGCGGCAACTCGTTTGCGCAGTCGTGCACGGAGGATACTACGAAGGATGGTGCGGCGGGGAAGAAGGGGCCTGCTAGTGCTTTGGCGGTGATTATTGCGTTGGGTGCGTTGTTGTGGGTGTAGTTTTGAGAGAGAGAGAGAGAGAGAGAATTTTGATATCATATTTTAACGTGCGATTTTTGTCCCTTTTCTATTTCTTTCCTCTGTTTAAGAATTTCCTGCTAGTATTGGTAATGCATCATCCGTGTTTTTCTTGCTGTTAATCCTGTTGAGTAATTTTTTTTTTCTTTCTCCATTCATTTCCCTTTTCTATTTTCCTACATATTTTCCTTTTTTTTCGGCTTCTCTGTACAGATTGATGATAAATGGCTAATTTTTGACGTTGATTCTTCTTGGCTCTTGGCTGAGGCTCTGAAAAAGTGGTGGAACCAACTCGGGGAAACGTTGTGAAGGATCAATTGCATTGCGGCAAAAACTTATTGAGATGGAATCTCTGTACACTTGTGACTCTGGTAGAGAAAGTATGGTTAGTGTAACGCGAATATCGTACATATGTTTTCCGATCAAGACGTGTTGGGGGCTAAGAGTCATTTATATACCTTGGCATCGATTTAAGGTTGGGGCACAGCATTATATGATACAGAAATTGATGAAATTGGTGATTCTAGAACGTAACCCTGGAGAATGCGAATGCGAAGACGGAGTTAGCCGCTCGTCTTGCTGAGAGACGAACCCTCTTCCTCCCTATCACCGAGCGTGATGTTTTCTTGCGGAAATTCCAGGAAGCATTAACGGAACATGCTGTTCATCACGGTAGACATGATGTCCTAAACTTTCCGGAGATATCGGTCCTTCAACACTTGTCTCGAAGCCACGAAGCCACGAAGCCACGACGACGAAGCAAGCAAATTGCTTCATGAAACTAAAAACCCAAAACCCGACAGGCACCAGAATAAAGTCCCTTCGCAGCCAGTCAAAAATGCCACGTCCCGCGATGCATGCAAGGATCCATTCGCGTCGCATCAAGGCGGAGCTTGCGCAAACTCGCTGTCGTGTGATAAACTACGAGTCTAGTTCGGCGTCATCCTCGACGATCGAGAAGAAGTTCTCGAGGCCGAAAAGACGCGAAAAGGGCGAAGCGCCAAGCCGTTTTTGACTCTTTTTGATCGAGGGTGGATCCCAATCGGGGGGATTCATCGGGCTTTGTGGCGTTGTCGCGGTCCACCTGTATCTGTTAGCGATCGCCAGCGAAAAACCTATGAAGGCTTTAATACTGGGCAGGGGCAGGATACAACTTGGCGTTTTGGTGGCTTGGTGGCTTGCAGAAGTGGAGCCGATCGGAGGAATAGTTGAAGGGATATGCCGCCGGTGGCGTTTCCGTTGGAAGGAACTGATTGGACGGAGACAGGATGGCGTTTTTGGGAGGATTCGTTCCCGAGGGGTCGGAGCCGAGTTGGGTTTAGGCGGGTTGGGTTGTACTGGGCTGCGAGATGACGACGTTCCTGCTTTGGGGTAAGAGAGTGCGAGGATGCGAATGCGACTGATGTCGTGTGCGAGGTTTGGATGGTCGTGTGAGAGGAAGGAGAGGAGAGAAGAAAAAAAAAGAGAGAAGTGGAACCTGGAGGGATGGCAAAAAAGTATAAAGATGGAGGAATGTCTTGATGGGATGGGGAGTTGTTTTCGTTTTCCATCATCATCATCAGAATCATCATATCATCAACAGCAAGCCTAATACTACTTTACTCTTCTCATACAATTACAAGTTCTACAAACTGCATCGGCCCTCATCTCACCGAAAAATTCACACAAGCTCGAGCAAGCATCTCCAATTACCACACATCTCACACACATCGACAAGCAACATTAAGCCCACTTCAGCCTACAAACCCAACCAATCTTCCAAAATGTCCTCAAAGTCCATCGCCTTCATCGGAGCCAGCAACGGCTGCGGCCACTTCGCCCTCCGCCACTCCCTCTCCGCAGGCGCCACCTGCCTCGCCCTCTGCCGCACGCCCTCCCGCCTCACCACCTCCCTCTCCTCCGTGCCCTCCATCCCGCAAGACAAACTCACCGTCATCCAAGGTAACGCGCACGACGCCGACTCCGTGTCCCGCGTGCTCGTCAACCCCACCAACCCCTCCTCCCTCGTCGACGTCGTGGTCTTCAGCATCGGCGGCCTCATGAGCTTCAAGACGTTTTCCCTCGACGACCCCAACGTGTGCGAGAAGGGCATCAATGCCCTCTACGCTGCGCTGGCGAAGTTGAGAACCGAGGGGAAGGTGGGCAAGCCGAGGATCGTGGCGATTACGACGACGGGGATTAGTGATTTCGGGAGGGATGTGCCGATTGCGTTCTTGCCGCTCTATGCGATGTTGAAGAGTCCGCATGTGGATAAGAAGAAGGTGGAGGAGAAGTTGAAGGCGGGTGAGGAGGATTTTACGGTTATTCGACCGAGTTTGTTGAAGAATGAAGGGGAGGATGGGGATGAGAAGAAGAAGGGGGAGAAGGAGATTCGGGTAGGCGTTGAGGATTTGGAGAAGGGTGTTGAGAGCAGGGCTATTGGGTACATGATTTCGAGGGAGGATGTTGGGAGGTGGATTTTTGAGAATTTGATCAAGGAGAGTGGGGAGAAGTATTCGAGGAAGGCGGTCACGGTTACTTACTAGGGGGAGAAGGGAGAAGGGAGAAGGGAGAAGGGAGAAGGGGTCGAGAGGCGAGATTCAGGAGTGTTTTGGCTTTTACCATTCTTTTGTTGTTTTCTTTTGTTCGGCGGTTGAGGGATGAATCTGGGAGGACATAATGGGTTTTGAGGAGGGATTTGAGAGGAGAGGAGAGAGGGGGTTGGTCGAGGACAAGACAGTGAGATGCGGATGATCGGCTTCGCTCTGGCGTTTTTGGATCGTCAAGTCATTTTCTTTTCTTCTGGTTTGGCCTGGCTTGCGACTCTATTCTCAGGCCTTCTTTGTTCGGCTGCTCATGATGGATTGAACCTGGTAGGCACATGGAGTGATGGCTTCGTTATGTTTCATTTGTTCCGTCTTTTGATCTTCTGCGATTTGCATCATTGCTGCATTAGATTCGAATTAGACTCTAATAGATCTCCACTAATACTACCTTAATTTGAGTTTTTCTTTACGAGTAGACATCAATATCATGCGTATTCACCAGTTCCTAGTCCTTGAACTCTTCTGGATTTGAGATTTTGACAACTGACTATTAATGCAATTCTGGGTCTTGAGGGAAAAGATATCTCACTCGGCTTTACTTCAACGGTGAGGCAAAACCATGAATCAACGTCTTGGCTTGATTTCGATGCCACATGCATCCCACTTCGTCTCCTCATGTCGCAGGTGGGTGCTTTCTGCATACCCATGTCCCCTGTCATCATTTTTCCCAAGAAATTTCGGAACCCTGAGCCGAAGACGACCTCTTGCGACAGGAAAAGGGCAGCGTAGTATTGGCCCTATCAACCGGCCGTGGAGTATTAACCGCCCACTGAAACCTACTCTACACTACGCGGAGCTGGGATAGAGGTGCAATAGAGCACTCGCCATTACATTGAGTTAAGAGGTTAAAGTGAGGGAACAAAACGTGGTGAACTGGGATGAAACCGCCCTGAGCACTTCAGGGTGCGTACACATCAATGATGCCGTAGTAGTATGGACCAGGGACCTTGATGATTTGCGTCTCTCAGACCACGCCGAAGCCTGTGCTCGGGTTCATGCGGGTGGGAAGAGCATCTGAGCATCTGAGCATCTGACTCTTGGGTTCGTCTTGGATGTCCTCCCTTGGAGATACCGCGGGTGAGACTGGAGTGGGAAAGACATTTTGCGCTCTTGCTCTTGTTGGCCTGGGGCGCACAGTTCGAATCCTTCCCCCTTTCTGAAACCCCCATGCGAACGGAATCGACATACGGTTGATGGTGCTATCTTGCGCTAATACGTGCTGCTTCAACGCGATATGAAGCCACAATGTGCCTCTCGAACGACTCCGACATCAACGCTTCATGTTTCGTTTCAAAAGAACACGCAAAATATTATAAAATAAAGCGTTAACATATTATTAGAAGATTTACGCAAACGAGACGAAAAGCGAAAATGAGGGGAGGCTAAAGAGCAGAAAAAAACGGGTTCTGGGACAATTAGCGAGAAGCAAGAAGGGGAATGTAGGAGACGTTTTCGAATTTTTCCTTTCTCATGGCGCTGGTAGAAATTTAACCGGAACGAGGATATGAGACAGAACCGGCAGCATCTGAAGGCGGGAAATACTGGAGGGGGCGGGAGAGGAGGCGTTGAAGGGATTCTTTTTGGCGTTTGAGGGAAAAACGGAGATGAAGATTGATCTCCTTTTCTATTTATCTTGGGTGGCAGTTACGGCGGGCCAACAGGGCAACAGGACCTACGAATAAAATCGATTGATGGAATCGACAGATGGAGGACGAAAGTGTGGCGACGACGTGAGAGGAGAGAAGCCTTGAGCACGGATGATACAACTTTCATCCCATCGTGGACCCCTTGAGACACTTGGACCAAGAGGGGGAGATGGGGGGGAGGAAGAAGGGGTCGAAGACTGGATCTGGATCGGGATTTGGAGATGGTGATGCAGATGGTGATGGTGACGGTGGGAGAGCGAAGCAAATCTTAGCCTTGCTGCGATCCTGATCTGCCAGATAATCTCTTGGATGAAGGAAGTGATGGTGTTAATTGTAGACTAAGAGAGAAAAAAAAAATCTCGGTTTGGGAGCGATGCGCCAGGATCGACTGTCGCTCAGGCCCAAGAGCGGCATTGTCGCCGTCCCTCCAGACTCAAAGATTTTCGAGTCTCTTTTTTTTTTTCTCTTTCTTTTGTGCGCTGCGCCACGGGTCTTCTGTATCAAGATGTAAATCTCTTCTAGCCTCCATTATTCCTAGGGAGTCTAAGGGAGGCCGCTTTGAGTGGGGGTTAGAGAATAGAAGACAGTGGCGCCTAAACCTGGGTTGGAGGTTGACGATGTGCTGGTGGATTGATCTCATGAAACTCCGAAACTCAAGGCTAGCCACTTGGATTAAAGTGGGATGCGATTAAGCTTAACACCAGACACTAGATGAAATGAACTGGGGGCGGGCTTCAAGGGGCGTGGCTCATCCACATCGTCGTCGTCGTCATCCTCGCTGGCCCATCCATATTCCATATCCACACCCGCCGGGTCCTGAAAATGACGGTGGACGGAGCCGGTGCGCCGGAGCACGTCAGCTTTGTTACCGCTCGCAGGCTTTAGGCCAAGACTTTTCATCTCCCAATCGTCTTGCTGCGAGCCCCGAGTCACCGCCGAAAGCGTGAGAGGTCGTGTTTGATCGACTCCAGACCCGAAGTTGCCGGCACTCAACCAACTCTCTCACACACACACATTAAGCCCTCCCACTTACACACGCACCATGTTCAGACGACGATGGAATCTATTGCATTTTCCATGTTTCTTGTGCTGGCACCCCCGTTTTTTTTGTTCCTTTGGTTTGAACCCATCCCACCGACGTTTCCATCCTCCGTGTTTCTTCTCCTACCTTATTCTGACGATATCCGAGAAAAAGATCAGGGTTGCAACCACTTTCTTTCCTCATCCTAACTTTTCCAATACGGCCTCGCCATTGAAGACATCTATATAAAATCCCCCCCTCCCTCACCTCGATCCTGGTGATTCGCCTCGTTTAATCCTTCTCTGTTTTTCTCGTCAATCATCAGATCTTCCGGTTTGTCCGACTTACACTCCTTTCTAGTTTGTTCTTCTTCTTCTTCTTCTTCTTGTTGCAAGACGCCTGGCGCCTCTCATTCTTTGCTACACTCATTCTTACTTGACTATATCATTTGGAAATCTGAGCTTATATATATACACACACTCTTCCACTTACACTTATACGCACACTTCACAATGCGCTTCACCTCCTTCCTGCTCAACGCGGCCCTTGCCGCCGCCGCAGCTCTTCCCTCCATCGACATCGACATCGCTAAGCGCCAGGCCCCCGGCGCTCCCACCAAGCTCCTCGTCGGCGTGCCCAACTCCGTGCTCCTCGTCGACTTTGACGGCATCTCCTTCAACATCGTCGCCAACGCTACCGAGGCTGGCACGAACCCGAGCTGGTTGGCTTTCCGCGAGCCGAATCTGCTCTATGCTGTTGACGAGTTTAACGCTGTGACCAAGCTCTTTGTGGTGAGTATCATTCGGCGAGTTGGTGAAAAGGAAAAAGAGAGTGACAAAAGCTAACGTTTGGTTTTAAGCTTGGCCGAGACTCTAATACCCTTCAGCCCGTCCAGAATGCTGCTGGATCTGCTGGTGTTGTCCACCTCGAGTTCAACCTAGACAAGACGAGACTTGTCGGCACCTCCTTGTAAGTTATTAACCTCGCCCCCACTCCCTTCCCCCTCCCACTCCCCAAAGAAACGAAAAGCTAAACGAAACCTTTGAACAGCGGCGCCGGAACAATTGACATCTGGGACATCACCGACGGCACCCTCCGCCTCCTCAAGCAAATTGCCTCCGACGACCCTCTCGGCCCCAATGCCAACCGTCAAGAGGCCCCCCACCCCCACCAATCCGTCCTCGACCCCTCCGGCCGGTTCTTCGTCGTCAATGACCTCGGGACCGACACCCTTCTCGTCATCGACTCCCAGAACGATCAATTTGAGGTCGTCAACCGCGTGCGCGTCGCCCCCGACGGTTGCGGCCCTCGCCACGGAGCTTTCTTCCCTCGCGGAGCTCAGGCTGCCACGCACTACATCCTGCTCTGCGAGCTTCTCAACATCGTAGAGGTGTTCCAGGTCACTTACGTCGAGAACTCCATCCAGTTCGTGCCTACACAGGTCCTCAGCTCCTTCGGCCAGGATCTGCCCCCCGCCAACGCCACCACCTCCACAGCGGGCGAGATTATCGTCTCCTCCGACAACAGGGACGTCTACGTATCCAACCGCAACACGGGCAACCAGACCGACACCATCACACACTTCAGGGTAAACGTCCCCACCGTAGAAGGCGGCCCTATCTCCCTCGATTTCAGCGAGAGCATCTCCTCCGGCGGCACCGTCCCGCGCATGTTCTCGCTCTCGGGCGACGAGAACCTCTTGTTCTCCACGAACCAGAACGACGGCTTCGGGCTCATCGCGCTTGCGAGGAACGGGAATAATCTTGCCGTGCAGGGCGCTGGTGATGTTGCTGCCTCGGCGGACTTTAATGCTGCTGTTGAGGCGGCGGGGACTTTGGTTTCTTCGCCTGTTGCGGCGCTGGGTGTCGATGCCTTTGGGGGGCCGAATGCTGGACCGCAGTTTGCTATGCAGATTTAGAGATGGGCTCTCCTTCGGGTGTAATTTTGTTTCTTCCTGGATCGAATATTTGCATAGCGAATGGCGTTGGCGACAGTCGAGGAGATGACGGGGATATATACCTACTTGTTTATGGACACTGGCTTCCAGGTAGAAGCGTGGATACGATGATGAATGGATTGGAATCGTTTTTGGTTTCTTTGATCTTTCTTGTTTGTCAAGTTTAGTTTTTGTGTTTTCTTCCTTTCTTGGATGGACGGCAGAGGGATTCCATATTTCCTTTCTTATTTCTCTCTGTATTAGTACGACTTTGTAATGCTTTCTGTATGCTGGCATAGATCCATAACACACAAGATGAAGAGTCGAGTTTTCTTTCGCCAAGTTTGCCATCCCTTTAGCCAAGTCTCGAATCGACTTAAAGCAACAGCTGGGCTCTACGCTGCTTTTGAGGCATCCCATCGTTTAATGGCACCCGGTGATCTGACAGATGCCAGGGGGGAAATATGCCCTGTGTTAGATGCGTTGGATGTATTGCCGGATTGCTTGGGGTATGCTAGGTCTTATACAAACCCAATTGGAGAAATTGCATTCTCAAGGGCTCAAGTTTAACATTAGATACGTTTGTATTGTGGGAGGTGATAGATTGATGCGAGGGAGATTTGGTTTGAGTGGTTTCACGACTTAAAAAATGTTACTGCCTGAGGCAACAACTACACATCACCTCAGCTCCCGAATTTTTTCAAACTTCCCAAAGCTTCACTTCAAACCCCAGGTGACTCGGGCGACAACACCATTCCACCAAACGAGACCCGCCCGCCCGCCCGCCGGAAACGAAAAGAAAATGCCTCCCAGACTCCAATTGACGCCGCAAATACGCGCGGCGCTCGCGCCTCTTCCCATGAGGCCGGCGACGCCCTCCCTCGCGACCCTCTTCACCCGACTGTCCCTCCAGAACATCCCGGCGGCCGCGACGATAGCCGGGGCGAGGCGCGGCGCGCACATTCTCGCCACGTTGTCGAATAACCCGGGCGCTACGAGGAATAAGCAGAGGGTTGGTAGGGGACCGTCTTCGGGGTACGGTAAGACGTCGGGTAGGGGTCAGAAGGGTAGGAAGGCTAGGGCGAAGGTGAATGCTTGGTTTCAGGGTGGTCAGACGCCTTTGATTCGGATCAAGGGTAAGAAGGGTTTCGATAACCAGTGAGTTCTCCATCTCTCTCCTTTTCCTTTTCCTTTTCTTTTCACCTCTTGGATTCGAGCTCGAGCTTTTATCCTTTGCTTGAGTGACCAAAACTGACGGCACGTGAATAGCAACGCACAACAACTCTCCGTGACAAACCTCGACCAAATCCAAGAATGGATCGACAATGGCCGCCTCGACCCAACCAAGCAAATCACCCCCAAAGAACTCATCGAATGCGGCATCCTCGGCTCCGTCAAAGACGGCGTCAAGCTCCTCGGCCGCGGCAAAGAAACCTTCAGCCACCCCATCAACATCATGGTATCCCGGGCCTCGTCCGACGCCATCGCCGCCATCGAGCGCGCGGGTGGCCGCATCGTAACCCGATACTACACAAAGCTGGCGATCCGGAGGCTGCTGGCGGGCACGAGCGTCAACACGGAGAAGCCGTTGCCCGTGGGCAAGGAGCACGTGGAGGCGGTGCTGGAGGAGGCGAGGCAGGGCCCGTTCAAGTATAGGCTTCCGGATCCGACGAGCCGTTGGGATATAGAGTATTACAGGGACCCGGCGCATAGGGGTTATTTGAGCCATTTGTTGAGGCCTGGGGAGAATCCTTCTTTGTTCTTTGGTGTGCCGGTTGAGAAGAGAACGAAGAAGAAGGTGCAGCATAAGAAGAAGGTGGTTGAGGAGGAGAAGATCTTCTAAAGGGGGAGGGTTAATGGGGTGTGGGGGAAGGGCTTTGATGGACGAGAAGAGACTACCGTGTATTATCTACGTGTATATCGAGGAGAGGGAGGGCTATTTCGATAGACGAAAGAGGTATGAGAGGTCTTGTATAAAACTCTAGGCATCAATTGATCTTTAAGATATATTTTCTACCACGCAACCTAACCTCAAGTTCAAAGTCGGAAATGTCCGAGTGTAAATTCCATGGCATGGAACTTCGTTTGGAACGCACCTTCCTCGCGATTGTTGGCGATTATCGGCTTATGTGTTGTATATGAAAATTTGGCTCAGGTTTCTCACTGTCTCATGGAAGCTCAAGTGGTCGAGCGGTGACGCACTGCTTATAAACTACTTCCGCAAGGCGCCGGCGTGGAACCCGGTCTGGTCAAACCATGAGACGTGGAGGAAACTGGGAATGGGAATTGGGAAAGGGAAATTGGGAATTGGGGAGGGAGAAGTAGGAATTTTTTTTCTTTTTTCTTCGATAGATTGTCTTTTGATTTTTTTTTTTTCTTTTGCCTCTTTTCTGGGAGAGAATCCTCATTTGTTTGCTCTGTTGAGGCAGTAATATATTGAAGCTCGAGGGTGGACGTGAGGTGAGGTGGAGAACTTGGAGAGGCTGTTGGTTCGAGACTGGCCTTGGACTTTTTTTTCCCTTTTATTTCTTACTCTGTTCCCTCAAGTACTTGGGTAATTGGAACGTCGAAAGTCATCAATTGCTCTTCAGTAATGTATTGATTCAGCGCAACCTCTGATCTTGGTCTGTGATCAATGATCTTGGGATGGGCTGTTCGTAAGTCCGTGCCTTACAGGGGCGATGGCGCGCTGCAAGTTGTAATTGATACCGAGTGCACTAACATTGAACTAACCGACAGTGCTGGCTGCACTGCTGCATTGATGGACTGCCGACTTGTCTGCAATTGTGTGCTTCTGGCCCCGCAGCTGCTGCGCATCTGCACTACCTCGAAGGAGCTAACGGATTGTTTCAGAAACATTCATCCAGCTCTCGCGCCTTCGCCGAAGACCAAGAATCGAATCATCCGCTCATTCAATCCCTTCATATTGTTTTCCTGCGAGAAGAGATCAATCAAGATATTATCTCTCTACTGATCACCGTCCCCGCACGGATTGCTGGGGTGGACTACTGCCTTGTGGTTGTTGACCAGACCTTGGTGCTACCACTGTAAGGCTCTGGGTACGGTACCTGAGCTGCCTTTCAGACTGGGACTGGGCTTGCATCGCGCAGTCGTCATCAGCAACGCCTCGTATCAATTCGCATCTTGCACTTTGCTCCCCTGTCGGCTGCCTTTTGCTCCTCTCTTCGCCCACCCTATCCACGCTGGCGCCGCCATCGATATCGACAACAATCAGCGAGCAAGCCCCCTCGAGATACCCATTTAATAATCTTAATCGCATCAACAAAATATATCAAATCTAGCCAAGTCCCAACCCAAGAGAGCAGCTTCGAACCTAATCCGTTCGCGATCATGTCCCTCTTCGGCACCTCCCCGCCCGGCGAGCGCCCCTCCGTCGCATCCCCTGTCTCACGATCCCGCGGCCTCTTCGACGACGACGTCCCCTCGAGATCATCCAAATCGCTCTTCGATGACGACGACGATGCCGGTTCCGGAACCGGTTCGCCTTGGGACGTGCCCACTCCTCGGAGACGGCAATCGCGTACCGACGTCAAGACCCTCCTCCGACCCGCCGACGTGCCCGAGTCCTACGTCGAACTCTTTGATAAGGCGCTCGAGGAGGATGTCGGCGGTGGACTGGGCAGGATCAGCTTGCGGGGGCTCAACCATCTCTTCGCGGCGGCGAGGGTGAGCTCCGAACAGCGAGATCGCATCCTGAGCATCGTGTCACCTGGGGGAGGCGAGGTGGGCAGGAATGAGTTCAATGTGCTGTTGGCGCTGATTGGACTTGCGCAGGAGGGGGAGACTGTTAGTCTAGAGAATGTCGACGAGAGAAGGAAAGGTGAGTGTTTTATTATTCGTTTTTCCTGCTTCTTCTTCTTCGTTTTTCATAGTCATTTTTCTCTGTTTGCTCTCTCTTCTCCACATCGTACCTTATTTGGGCTTATCTGCGGTGGTCCCTGCAGCTGTATGGGCGGCCCATGGAGCTACAACATGGAGTCGTCTCCTCTCCGGCATCATTCTGCTAGTAGAATTCCCCAAATCCCCAAATCTTTCCATTCCTCCCGCAAACTATCACAGAGGCAGAAGCTATACTCATGCGACATCCTGACTGCCCTGTACCGCAAGCAAGTAGCTTGCTCTCTTCGTTGACCTGGACATCCCCATCCATCCCCTGCTGCTGGTTGCATTGATTGGCTGTCACGTTGCTGGGCAATCCAATCCAGCTTCCGCTCTGCAAAACGAGCTATTTAAGCCTAACGCAGCTGGCAATTCTGGCGGGGCGCCGATGTGCAGCTGGGGGATAGGTCATTCTATTCATTCTGCTTCGTATTGCCACAGGTGCTTGTGCATTTTGTTCATGCTAGTTCCGGCGCTGCTGCGGTGCTGATGCAGAAATCCACACCCCAAAATACGCCATCGAGCCGCCCATGATTTTATCTCTATAGCCCAAAAATAGCGGCAGAAGCTAATTTCGAGCTCGCTAATCTTTCATACCAGATCTTCCCCAACCTAAGCTCATCGGCATCAACGCTGAACGCGAATTACCCACGGCCGAGCTCGCGGCAAAACCTCCCCAGAAGCCTGTAGAGCAGCCGAAACCCACGACCACGCCGCCTCGCTCCAAGGCATACGGCCCGGCCACCATGAATTACCCTGGAGATGCTGACGCGGATCCGTGGAACACGCCCGATGTGCACAAGCACCACCCGCATCACTCCGACGACGTAGTGCCTACATTATCGACCACTGATTCGACAAACGTCCCGACAGCGACGAACGGTGATGGCCCGCGGAGCCTAGAGCCTAACGGCGGCGGTACCGATGAAGACAGCTACCACCCATCCCTGGCCATGTCCATGCCCGCACCATCGACTGAACCGATATCGTACGCAAACCCAGCACCGACTTCCCCCCCACGACACCCCTCACTATCCGCATCTGCTACGACGGGATTACCCTCCTCCACACCATCGACTGGTGGCTGGGGAGGCCTCTACGATAATGCAAGTCTAAGCACGGCCGGCGGGTTTGGCGACACGCTGAGGAACGCGCCGGCGAATCCGTTTGGCGGGCCAACGCTCCGACAAGGTAGCACGTCGCAGGAGCCGTCGCATCCGAGGGCGATTAGCAGCGGGCGGACGGGCAACGCCCTTGAGGAGACCGTCCTAGTTACCCTTATGCCGGAGAAGGAGGGCATTTTTCTGTTCCAGCACCACAACTACGAGGTTTCGAGCTCGAGGCGGGGCAGCAAAGTGGTGCGGCGGTATAGCGATTTCGTCTGGCTCTTGGAGTGTTTGCACAAGAGGTATCCATTCAGGGCGCTGCCTCCGCTGCCGCCCAAGCGCGTTGCTGGTAAGGAAATATGAATTGTGTGTCCCAGTATGCCTGCAAGACTGACCTTGTACATCCATAGTGAATGGTAACCACTTGTCGAATGATCGGGCGTTTATGGAGAAGCGACGGCGGGGTCTTGCGAGGTTCTTGAATGCGCTTGTGCGGCATCCGATTTTGAGCCAGGAACAGCTTGTCGTCATGTTCCTTACTGTGCCGACTGTAAGTCGTATCTATTCTATCCACATGCTTGAATGTGTTGCTTACATCTTACAGGAGCTGGCCGTCTGGCGCAAACAGGCCACCATATCAGTGCAGGAGGAATTCGACGGACGATCTCTCCCACCCGGCCTCGAGGACTCTGTACCACTAACTATCGAAGACCTCTTCTCGCGGTCCCGCGCGGGCATCAAGCGCTCCGCCGAGCTCTACATCGGCATCTGCAGCATCATGGACCGGCTCGTCAAGCGCACCGAAGGCGTCGCCGCCGACCACGGCCGCCTCGCGCTCTCCCTCGCTTCCCTTACGGAAGCCACGGCCGACACGTATGCGACCGACACGGCGGAGGTGGCGCTCATCAATGACGGGCTCATGGCTATGGGCAAGCACCTACGCACGGGCCAGAGCCTCCTCGAGGATGAGAGCCGCGCGTGGGAGGCCGGCGTGCTGGAGGACCTCAAGAGGCAGCGGGACGGGCTCATGAGCATGCGGGACATGTTTGATCGGCGAGATAGGCTGGACCGCGATAACATTCCGTATCTGGAGAAGAGGATCACGGCGAATGAGGCGAAGTTGGCGACTTTGAGAGCGAAGCCGGAGGGGATGGTGAAGCCGGGGGAGCTTGAGAAGGTGGCGGAGTCGATTATCAAGGTGGGTGTTTGTTTTGTTTAACCCTGCTCTGAGGGCGTGCTTTCCATTTCTTGGGGACAATGGCTAATCCAACCGTGGGAAAATAGGACAAGGAATCCATCGTCAGACAGCACAACCGTTCGGTGTTTGTGCGTGAGTGCATCCGCGACGAGTTGCGGTATTTCCAGGCGTCGCAGTACCACGTCTCCCGGTGGAATCAGGACTATGCACAGGAGAGGGTCAAGTACGCCGAGGTGCTAGCGGATAACTGGCGGCGCTTGCTTGACGAGCTTGAGGGCATGCCTCTTGGAGAGTGATGGGTGACCCTGAATCCTCGACTTTCCTCCTTTCTCTCTATTCCTTTGGCGGCGGATGGCTTTTGTAAGTTTTTGGCTTCGGGATGCGGCACATTGACACCCACACACGCGCTTTATCAACGTCGATAACTTAATACTTTGGCGCTTGTATTTTTTTCTTCTTCTTTTCCTCTTTTGTATCCAAGCATAGCAGATATGCATCTTGCTGTTTCATTCGCTAGAAGTCCTTGTTTCTTTTACATTGTGTGTTTTATTTGTTTGGAGGACTGGAATCTGCTTGTTGATACTACTACCGCGCTGGTTTTATTTTTTTATTTTTTTTATTTTTGTTTGCTTCTCTTGCTGGTAGTTCATTGTTTTAAAGTCCCCGAGATATATATCGATATCCCTATCCCTTGTTTAGCCTAGGATGTACTTCGTAATAGAGGATTGCTGAATGGGTTGCTAAGTGGCATGCAGTGACGTGTGCGGCATATCCCACGATGCTGGTGTACGAAGCGATAGAGTTTAGCTATGCAGCAGCTAAGCTGGTTTGAGATTTGGCACTTCGGGCAGTGGATGGAAGGGCAGCTGGCGCAGTGACTACGTAAGACTACCTACAGTCTAGTGGCACTGGTCGCGATACTTGGGGCATCTTCTTGTCGTCATATAACTCAGATATAAGTGAGTTAAACATGACAGTAGAGTCCTGCGCTTCGCTCTCCGTCTCAGTGTCGGCGGCATATTTGCGCAACGAATTGATGCCTGTTGCAACAGTGCCCCGCCAGCCAAAGCATTCACGACCACACCTCCCGGCATGATCACCGGAACTATGGCAGCGGCATCTGCCGGAGCATCACCTGGATGATCCATCGATGGAGTCGTCGATCTCCTCAAACGTCTACAAGACCTGAGCGCTCCTCTGTCTGTGAATTATTCCTCTCTCCGCTCCTCGGAGGTCTTTTCAACCAGTCGATTCGGTTGGGTACTACGCGCCGGAGGTTAGTAACGCCTGGGAGTGGGAGTACGTTTCTTGGAAACGTGCCTGCGTGCAGCAGAGTGATGACCGCGGACTATATGGCTGTTGTAGCCGTGGTGAGCAAATGGGATGTCATTTCAGTCGGCAGGTGGACCAAAATGATAGCTCTCCTTAGCCTCCTTCCGCCGTCTTTTTGCCTCCTCCCCGAACACAACATCCCGGCGGGACGTCATCCCCCTGCCAGTCACAGTACGCAACCCACAACTGCACCGCCGCCAACGCCGTCGCGGCGATCCCGAACAAGAGCGCAAGCAGCAGCGCAACACACGCCACCGTGTACGCGTGCCGCGGGCCTTTCCGGCGCTCCGTCCATCGCTGCCACCACCACGTCGGCGACGGGTCCAGGGCTTCCTCGTACAGGATGTGCAGCCGCACTGCCCAGTGCGGGTACCTCTTGAACAGCTCGCGCCGGTTCGTCAGGGGTCGGTCGTAGGCTTTTAGTTTGTGTCTGTTGGCGAAGGTGTCGGTTACGGTTAGCTGCTCGGGTTCGTCCGGGGTGAGGGATAGGATTCGGTGCCAGGCTTTTGATATGAGGCTTGGTTGGCCGAGATGTTTTCGAGCCCAGTGTCTGTCGCGGTGGGGGAAGAGGAGTTTGTATGTCTGGAGGGTTTCGTAGAGAAAGGTTGGTGAGTAGGATCCGCTTTTGAACAGTTAGCACGTTCAAGAATTCTTCTAGCTCGCAATGGTGAAGCTTACAATGGGATAGACTCATTCATGCTTTGTGCTGGGTTGACACGACCAACCGCAGCAAAGCTGGCGACATCTAAGAGCAGAGGATGCCCGAAGAGCCGAAGCGTCTTAGCTCCCTCCTCAAAGTCGAAGGAGAGGTGCTCGGGGAGGTGAGAGGTCCACTTTATACTGAGGTTTGCGTGCAGCCGCAGATAGCGGAACCGAAGCTTGCTTGCTTGTATACCAGCCCCGGATTCGTCGTCCGCGTTTCCCTCGTTGGGATACAGATCGCCAATCAGCTGCTCCAGAGTCTGGCCGCCCTCCCAATGTGATGCTCTCAACCCGACTAATGCGTGTTCCACCTCGACGCCAGGCGATGCGTTGGGCTGCAGGTCGATATCTAAGAAGAAGAGAAGCTTCATGGCTTGGGATAGCCCATCATGTCTGTTAATGTGGGCTAGGTGTGATGGTATCTGTGCAATGGGCAGTGTGAAACGAGGAGGAAGAGGTTGTTGATCGCTGGAGTCGCCGTGGCCAAGAGACTCGTCGGTTTGTGTCCCCTTTGAGTTGGACTGATCTCTGGAGCTGCGAGGCCTTTCCACTTGCTTTCCCTTGTAGTTAGACCCACTTCCGGAAGCAATGGCGTTTCCTCCAGGAAGTGCCACCGGTGCCGCTGCTTGTGCGCTGGCCGGCGCTTTTTCAAGCCCTTCTAAGATCTCATCCAGAGGCACTGTTGGATTTTTCTTGAGGATGAGTATCAAGAAGAGGACGACGGCTCGAACATCTTGCTTGGGGCATGGGCGATTGTCCAGGCACCTGGATGATTCCCTCACTTTTTGCACGCTCTCTTCATACCACACGAATAACCGCTCGAGATCGCGAAGTACCGAGTCGGGAGGGTTAGAGAGACTCCACAGGGTTTTCATCAAGTCCATCTTTGCTGCCAAACCTAGAGCTTCCTGACCTAGGGCGGCCTCATCTGGAGCTGCATCCTCCGCTGCCACTGCGTTACCTCCCCCATTCCCGTTTTGCCCGATAGCCGCTTCATTTCTCAAAGGTTGAAGTTCATGGGACATGTCGAAACTCATGACGTGAATGGCCGAGCCAAATGTTTGGAACCGAACTTGTGTATAAATATATACCTTCCAGGAAAACTAAGAGTGAAAGCGTACTACTACGAAGGTAGGCTTGGGGAGTTTCTATGACGCTGCGTCTTGCACCGACCAGTCACAGAGTGGCTGTCCAATGATGCGTGATGCACCCCGGTCACTGCAAAAGAGCTGAACTTGAAGACATCCTGCTTTTATGGCGTCTGTCCAATGCAACGCGAGCATCTGTGCCGCCCCCGCACGAGGGTGCGTTGCGCGCCTCAAAACGCTCCTTTGTCCTCACGCTTTTGCAGTCGACTGAGACCTCAAATCGAACATTCATACCCGCCATGTTGATATTCGAAGTGCATCGGCGCAAGAATGCAAGCTGAACCCCGAGCCGCAACGAAACAAGTCGACTCTGGACAAGGCTCCGCGTCACAGAGTGATATCGCGGCCGGCGTCCCGGCGTTTGAATCGCTTCTTTCCGTTTTCAAATGGAACGACAGAGAAAAGAAGAAGGTGAAAGTGGTAGATAACCATACCGACAAAAAGCCCTCGTCCGCGCCGCTGAGCGGAAGACGGAATGTAAAGATTCGCCATAATAGTCCTACTAGCACCCGAATTGGACAACAAGACAAAGCGGCAACAAAAGCCACGAAAACGACAGATTCCGCGGAAGCTGTGAACGCCCGGCGGCATTCTACCAACGTTGAAGCATACGAGAACGGTAGGAGCCAGCTAAACCAGGGCAGTACAGCCGGTAGTAGCAGTAAAGCGGCAGCTAGCCCGCAGACTACTGAGGCCGGGAAGTTGAAGGTAGATCCTAACAACGCTGGCTCCTCCTCTCGGGCCCAAGAGCAGGCTCAACAGCCGGATCCGCTCACAGAACGCTTACCGAACCAAGGTGAGACTGAACAATCCAAGCGAAGGCAGTCGCAACAGCAGAACAACCACAACCCTAAGGAACTCTGGCTTCAGGCGGACGAATTCGAGAAAATTTCAGCTCTCATGGCGCTTCTCCGACTATACGACACCCCGCGGGAACGCCGCGTGGATATCCAAGTTAGCAACATCGCCTTCCCCAGGCCAATAGAGCGCAAATACAAGGACTTTTCTCATCAACTTTGCGTTGACATGTCGAAGGATGAGTCCCTTTTTGTAGATGCTTTCGGTGCGTCGATGCCTATTTTCTGGACCCGTGCTCTGGGAAAACCGTTGGATGAACTAAATGGACAGCCGGAACGTTACATCTGCTTCTCTGGGCTTCGGAATAAGGATAACATGGATAAACTCCGCGCTATCCTCAACATGAAGACTTATAAGAAATACTACAAAGGCGTATTTAAGCTATGCTACAAGACGGACAAGCTGGTAGGAACGGCCTCCTCGAGGCGCGTTCATGTACCGGCAAGCTCAACACCACTTCAGACTTTGTGCGGATCCTTGGTGGAGGACGGCGATGGCAAGAAGGTTCAGGTCTACACTGTCGGCGGTCTCGTCATACTTAATGGTCAATATTATGCTATAACTGCTAGCCACAAGGCACAAGACGATGAAGGCAGCGAAGACGACAAGGCTGAGGAGACGGCAAGCCTCGAGGGCATCCTGAGGAGAATATTGGAAAACGATGAAATGGATGATGACGTTGAGCCGGGACTCGAACTTCCGGCTTCGCCAGAGGAAGTTGCGGTTGGGCCAGTTGAGGAGTTGTTACACGCCGAGCGTAACTCCTCCACACGATACATCGAGCGAAACGACATGTTTGTTGACCGGGAGTCGGATGTAACCGGAACTCACTGGTCACTCATGAGATTAAAGAGCTTAGATGATGCTCTTCCCAACTTCGTGCCTTTCACCGACAGTTTATGGCAGACAGGAGCGGATATCAGCGAAATTCCCCGTGTGAAATACATACACACGATTGCAACAGATCCCAGTCCTCAGGAGGTTATCGTTATTTCCGGGTCTGGTGGCCTTATACGAGCCACGATGTCAACCAACACGGGCAATTTGTTCCTTTCTGGGCAGGCTGTTGAAGTTTGGTGTCTGACATTTTCTCGGGTGGATGGCCCCGGTATGTCCTGTCTGTCCTGTCCTATCATCTTCCTTGAAATCATACTAATACAACCGGTTGATAGGTCTTAGGCAAGGAGATTCTGGGTCGTGGGTTGTGGATCCGAATGAGGGCTCAGTTTTCGGGCACATCGTTGCAGTGGCCGATGAGACGGCATTCGTTCTCCCTTTCACAACCGTCTTAGACGAGGCTCGGCGACGATTAAAAGTCGGAAGCATTACTCTACCGAGCATCTTTCGATCCGTGGCCGACTTATCATGTCGGCTAGCATCTAAACGAATGGGATCGCCTTGGATCGGAGAGTCGCAAGAGGAGGAAAAGGCTAGGGCATTGGCTACCGAGGCCGTTTCTCGACAGGTGCTTGAGCAGACCCGTGGGCATCCTGGTGTCAATATCCTCCGCGAACACGTCGCATCTATACGAAGGATCGACGGGGGAATGGACATCCTCATATCAATGATCATGGAATACGGGTCGGATCTATTTTCCCAGTCAGTGTCAGGGCTTCGGGAGAGAGCGCGATCAGGCGTCTTTGGGCCGCCCTCCGAGAGCCTCTCAGTCCTAAGACATTTATACGGTTCCGCTCGCACGCGAACCGCATCTCCGGCCCCGCCTAAATATAGTACGGCTACGTCTTCTCCGAAATCTCTTGAAGAGCAGGAACTGAGGAGAGTCTTGACGATTCGGCAACTTATCGACTTGATTCCCGGAAATTCGTCCATTGAGTTGGAAGAAGCGATGGAATCGTGGAGGAAGGGCATGAAGGAATCGCCGTTCCGACGCCGCCATGCGTCTGACTTACCTTCGGGACCTACTGCCAAGCCTGTTTCATTCCATCGGCCGAAACTACCGCATGAGTTAGGCTCCGAATTGGGCGGAGATGCCGACGCCGATCCCGACGACGATATTAGAGCCGCCAATGTTGATGCACCTAGCTACAACCCCGAAGAAGATATCCAAGCTGTCATATTTGATAGCAGACAGGTCCCCGAAATTGATCGAGTACCCGTTGAGAGACTCCTCGATGGTGGCTACCTCGAACGAGATAACCCTAGAGGAGCCGCGGGCTTCCGTCTTATATGCCTACCCGCAAACAACATGGACGTGAGTCGACTCGTCGAGTTTGTTCCTCAGCCTCGTTTGATCATGATTGGTTCCCATTTTCAGTCGCTAACTCGTACAACCTTTACTCCGTAGTGGATTGAAGTAAGTAGGCTGTCCTGAAAACGAATCTGCTAGATGACGACTTAGCCACGAATACTTACTTGAATCCCACACTTTCAGCGACTCTTCCCACATTTGACAGACGAAATATCCCCTACTATTCTTAGCGAATGGCTTTGGAGGGGCCGAATTGAGGGCGAGGCACTATCACGCAGCATCAAACCATTTTGCGCAGTCTCGAGCGCAGGTGCGTCGGTTTCGAGAAAAAAATATATTAGCAAAGGAAAGGATTGACGCTGACGCTTAGTGCTCGGGTAGAACTTCCGGACGGCGATGAGGACGGCCCGCTTCCTGACCTCGCTCTTGCTGTGAGTGAAAAGGCAGTCTATCGAACCCAGTCTCTCCGCATACTGGACCCAATCGTCGTTCATCACCATCGAATCACAGGAATGGTGTAGGCTAACACCTCTACGTGTAGTTTCCGTACATGTCCTGGGAGCCCTTTGAGGAGGCCAAACGAGAAATGAGGCTGAAAGTCGAGGTAGACATGAAACACCAGCGACTGTGTGCTGCTCGGCGGGAGGAGGAGCGACAACGTTTGAGGCAAGAACGTTTCGGGAGTCGTGGAGACCGTGTGGGTCATGGAGATCGTATGGGGCCTCATGAAGAGCCTTCTCGCGAGCGAATATGGTCGGTGGAAGGCCTCAAAAAAGAGCACCCGTCAGCGACATGGTCCGGGGCGCTGAGAAGGGTTTTCCTGAGTGCTGCCCGTCTTGCCCTTGACATATCGTCTTTTCCACAGAAAGTACTGATAGAGAAGTATCTACATTACGAAGAATCCCTCCATCCTAGACGCTCGCTAGAGGAAGCCTACCACGGCACTCCCTTTCACTCTTCTAGTCCCCGAATGCCACATGGTGTTCAAATCCGTTCAGCAGCTGCAGCTAACGCCCTACCACCCGAATGTCGGGCCTGTGAGCCATACGCCAGAGGTGCTATCCTCGTCAACCAACTTTGGCTGTGGATACTGGGCGGTCACACCGTGGTTGCTTGCTTCCCCCAGTCGCCCGGCTTTCTCGGTTCAGAAGAACAGCCTTCTATCTTCAGAGAAGTAGAAAGGAGGCTGTTGAGGGAAAATGTCGCCTCTGCTATCGATGCAGCCCTGGTCGTTGTCGAGGAATGCGGCAACTTCAACCCAAAGGGTCACAAACTAACAGTGAATGCTAAGCAAGCCTTTCAGAATGAAGTCCATCGTTTGGTTGGTGACTTTCCTACAGGCAAGAAGCTGAGCACCCAGACTAACCTTTAGCTATTCTGTAGGAAGAGCAATGGGCCCGACTGGAACAAGCTGCGCCTTTGCCACCTGCCCATTTCCGGTCATATGTGCCGAGGGATTGGCCCCAGGTTTTTGCACATCTAGAAACGCAGGTGGCTTCTTTGCAGTCCGAAATTGCTCGAGCCTTGTCGGTCTGGCGACAGCACAAGGTTGTCATGGGAGACTTCATAGACGAGCTGAGCCGTTACCGTACTATCCTTCCACTCAGAAAAAGAGGAAATCGGCGCCGGTATATATTTCGAAAAGATAAAAGACCCGTACGGTCTGATACGTCGAATTGGGACCCAGAAACCGAATGTGAGCTTTTGTGAGGTGCCTTGCTTTTAAGCAGTCGGGTGCTAATGTAATGGAAGACTTGCCAGCGGAGCGACATGGAGCTTCTTCGCCTCACGACATCTCGGGACAATCCGAACAGAGCGGGTCTGAATGGAGCCTCGATTCCTTGCAGGGGCAAAGCCCGCAAGCATTTGCCTATGGATCAAGGTTTGAGCTCTCTCGCCGAGACGATGCCGAGGGTGAGCGTATTTTCGAGGCTCTTTCGCAGGACTGCCTGGCTTTACTGAGAAAGGTATGGCTTAATTTGGTGCACTTTCCAGAAGTCTTATAAGCTAGAGTTTTTTTCTCTTTTTTCTCTTTGTTTTTCCATGTTGATGCTAAGACCTCTTGTTCGCTGGGCAGATTCAACGTCGGCGAGATCTCGAACTTTCCGAAGCGAGGATGCGGGTGTCGAACCGCCTGGCTGCGAGACAAATCCAGCTGCAATCCACTCTTGCCTTCTTGTCTGCGCTATTGGTATGCGACTTGCCTTGTTTTTCTCCTCCTCTTTCCTTAACGCGGTGACAACAGCTGACTTGATATCATAGCTACCCTTTCTGATTATAGACGGCGGCTATATCACCTGTATGTTATCCCCACCCCTTCATCCTGCCAGTTCCCTTCTGTGGCATGGGATACTACACGCAGCCCGCAAACTAACAAACTCTGTTCCCCCAAACCTGTAGATGCTGTTGCTGGTGGAGTAGCCTTGATCGCTACTGCCTGCCTCCTATACGGCCTCCCTTCCGTTTATGCTAGCCCATCCCGTCGTGTGAGCGGATTCCTGGAGGACCACATGGAATCTCTTTGGAGAGGAGAGCAGATAGTCACAGATCGAGTGGTGGAACGGGCGACCAGGCAACCATCTCGGGCCCCAAAGTCTTCATCTAAGCTCCCCCATCACCCAGAAATCGACAAAAGGACAAAGTCAAGCCTAGATCTAGATGAAATACGAATCTACAGCACTGCGGGGCCACTACCAGAGGAGTATCATGGAAGTTGGCTGAGAAGGCGTGAGCGTCGTGTGCGTGATGTGGAAAAGGGGGGAAAGGTGTAAAGCTAGTACTCCATATTAATGCCAAATCCAGACCAATGCCAGCGGAGTTGATTCAACATCTAGTCTCAGCCAGAGTGTCCCCAGGAAGAGTAGAGAGTGTGAGTCTATAATCCACATCCACTGCAATCGCATCCATGCTTTAAGAGCAAAGAGGACAACTACAATAGTGTCCTACACAAGAATATCTCGATCGATGCCGTAGATTGTAGTTCAATTTAGGCTTCTTCCTCGAGATTGCAGTGTAGCACCAGTGATAGAGTTTAGCTCCGTGGAAGCTAAACTGGTTTGGGACCTGGGATTTGGGACTGGTGGTAGAGTCCGGCGCCTCGGGTTCGGTCTCATTCTCGGTGGCACTGAGTAGCAATTGGCGAATTGTTCAATTGATTAATTGATGCCTGTTGCAACGAATGTCCTCGACGATTGATGTTGGAGTCTGCCTCTTTCTCTCTCTCATGCCCTGGTCAGGTCAGTTTACGAAGGTACAACGGTATTGTTTGCAGAGTCTCGCTTCCATCGAGTACGTGAATTACCTCGGTAGAGGAGCCACCTGAATTGGAATATGAAATATTGATCTAAATGGCTGTAACCGAGCCCAATTCCGCATTGGCTGACCGCGGGCCTTGCCGACTGCGACGAACTCGCAGCTCGCAGCTTGCAGCCGCTGGAGAAGACGAAGACGAAGGAGCGACTCTCAAAAAGAAAAAGAGCAATTTGACACGAGGTGCCAACTTCCAAATTGCAACCTTGCCAAGACCTCGAATTAGCCGCCAACTTTTATGCTGTTTTAGTTCGTACCTTTTGTACTTTTTGTCATTTGATCTCTTCGCTGGCAGATCGCACCTCGATTGAATCTTGATCAACATGTCCAGCTCTTTCATCTCCCAAGTCTGGGCTGCCGCCATCGCTCTCCAGCCACCCCCATTGGCCCTCTTGATCTTGATCTAGATTCGACGGCTTCGCATCACGGCCGGACTGCCAACATTGAATAACTATTGATATAATTTTCTCCTTTTTTAATTTTTAATCTTTTCACCCTACTTTTCATATCAATCTGTCCAAGGCCCCATACGGATCTGTTGATCTCTTCGCATCTCTTCTCTCATGTGTCCTCCTCCTCCTTCCTCCCTCTGCTCATCTCATCCTCGTCCATTCTCCCATCCTTCAATCCTTCAAGACTTCAATTCTCCGGATCAATCCCTGTCGCGCTTCCCACCTCCCGAGCTCTCCAGCTTCCCGCCCAATCCCGCCTAATTGAAAAACCAAGCTTCAGAACCCGGCAATTGCTCCCTCTTCTTATGCATGAGCGGAAGGAACCGAATGACCGACAGAGTGGCCACATCTACAAAGTACCGCGCTTCATCCTACTCGCATCTCGGGGGCCTTTTCTAGAAGTTTTCCTTCCGAGCTGGATCTCTCACGCCCCCATTCCCGGTCCTAATCGAGTCGCACGTTAGTTGACCAATCCTAGAGAAGTTTGAATGAGGAACAAAGTATACGAGATTTGGCGCGTCCTTGATATCCTCCATCCTCCATCCTCCATGTCTTCACAACCGACACCCGTGCTTAGATCCAGGTAGTCACTGCCCCTGGGCCCGCTGGCCCGCCCTCCTCTCTCTTTCCCCCTCTCTCCCTCGCTCCCTCGCTCGTCCACTCACTAACTCACTCACTCACTCACCTCTCTCTCTCTCCGCCATGTATCCTTCCTTCAGAACAAAAGGGAGGTACCTCCTACTCGGCTTCACTCTAGCCCTCACCTTCTTCTACCTCCTCTCCTCACCCCCAAAACCCGCCTACACAGTTCCCCCCTCCTTAGCCACCTCACCCTTAGCCTCCGAGCGCCTCGAATGGTACATGAACCACAAACCCCCGTCCTACCCACCCTCCACCAAATCCTTCGACTGGAGCAAAGTCCGCGTCGCGAACCCACCTCCCTCCCGTCTCAAACACCTCCCCTCAGGCCGCCCCAAGGACCTCCCGCCCATCCAGTACAAATTCGGCCCGGACGACTGGTCCCGCGCCCGCGCAAAGACGCGCGAAACCCGCCGCCAGCAGGTCAAGGCCCTCTTCTACAAGAACTGGGACAGCTACCGCAAGTATGCCTGGAAAAAGGACGCCCTGCTACCGCTGAGCTCCAAGGGGAGGGACCAGTTCTCCGGCTGGGCCGCCACCCTGGTCGATTCTCTCGACACGCTGTGGATCATGGGGTTCCGGAAGGAGTTCGACGAGGCCGTCGCTGCAGTGGCCGAGATCGACTTTGGGAAGACTACGTCGACGAGGGTGAATACGTTCGAGACGAATATCCGCTATCTTGGCGGGTTGCTGGCCGCCTATGATTTGAGCAGGCGTGAGATCCTCCTTACCAAGGCCGTCGAGCTGGGCGATCTCTTATACGCCGCCTTCGATACCGAGAACCGCCTTCCCGTGGACAACATCGACTTTGAGAGCGCCAAGAAAGGTGAAGGCCTGAGATTAGAGGGCATCGTCGTCTCCGCCGGACCGGGAACTCTCTCGCTCGAAATGACGCGCCTATCCCAGCTCACCGGCAACCCAAAGTACTACGACGCCATCTCCCGAATCACCCGCCTATTCGCGAAGCACCAAATGGCCACCGCCCTGCCCGGCATGTGGCCCATGTTCGTCTCCATGTACAACCAGGACGTGACCTACGGTCGCATCTTCACCCTCGGCGGGAACGCCGACTCCCTGTACGAGTACCTCCCCAAGATGCACGTCCTCCTCGGGGGGCTCGAACCCGTGTACGAGAAGATGTCGCGCGCCTTCATGCGCACGGCAACCGAGCACCTGTTCTTTCGGCCTATGGTCCCCAGGGGCGAGGATATCCTCATCTCGGGGACCGTTAGAGTCGGACCCGATGATGTCCCCACGCTTGACCCGGAAAGCGAACATCTTACCTGTTTCATCGGCGGCGTCATGGCCCTGGCCGGCCGCCTCTTCGCCAATGACACCGATGTCGAGACGGGGGCCAGGCTCGCCAAGGGCTGCGCCTACGTGTACAAGTCTTTCCCCACGGGGATAATGCCCGAGCGATACAATATGGCCGTATGCCCCGGTCCCACAGCCACGCCTCGCACCTGTCGCTGGGACGAAGCCGTCTGGGACGCCGAGAAGAAGAAGAGAGAGGAGTACCTGCCCCACCTGCCCAAAGGATTCACCACCGCCAAAGACCCGCGGTATTTGTTGAGGCCCGAGGCGATCGAGAGTTTGTTCGTCTTGTATAGGGTCACAGGCGAGGAGCAGTACGTCGATATGGCGTGGGACATGTTTCGCGCCGTGAGGGAGGGGACGGCGACGGAGATTGCGAATGCGGCTGTTTTGGACGTCACAGTTGCGAAGGAGAAGGTTGAGGGTAGGAAGTTGCCCCTGGAGGATTACATGGAGGTAAAGTGCCCCCCTTGCCCTTTGATTTTTTTTTCCCCTTCCCTTGAAGAGTCCTCTCCCTTGTGTAACAAGCAAAACTAACTGGGGACTCTCCCAAAAATAGAGCTTCTGGCTTGCTGAGACACTGAAGTACTTCTACCTGATCTTCTCGCCTCCGGATCTGATTAGTCTTGATGACTATGTGCTTAATACCGAGGCACATCCCTTCCGGAGACCAAAATAAAGCAAAATCGAAACTACCCATTAATGCATTTTGGAGCGTGGCGATTGCTTACAGACTTGGCGTTCTTGGTTTTCTCCTTCTCGGAAAGAGATGATGGCGTGGAGAATTTGGTTTGCATGTTTATGGGACTCGGGTTGTCTTTGATGAAATCATCGTCGTAACGGATATCGCGTTCATGGTTCCTAGGATATTTCGATACAATAGAGCAATATTCTCTTTAATTCAGACAGCCTCCCGAGAGAGCTCTTTTCACCTTCCATCTTCCCCAGCGCACTGAGCTATTCATATATATTTTCCATCACATTCCATCAAAAATGCACACCCCCACTAGGATAACAAAACGAAAGGGAAAAAAAGGGATTCCGTAGATGTATTGGGACCGAAAAAGAAAAGGACTTGGCTCCCCATTTATAAAAACGAAAAAAAAGATTTCCCAGCCCAGAGTGCCGTTTCCCCTTAAGGGTATAAGGGTATCAAGTTCTTAAAAAAAAAGGAAAAGAAGAAACAAAAACAAAACTATCCGATTCTCCTCCACCCTGATGGTCTCCTCTCTCACACCTTTTCTATTCGACATCAACTCTTCTCCCGTCCGTTTCAAAACCTCGCTCTTACATTCTCGATCTCGCTTGTCTCGTTTTTTTACTCGTTCTCGCCGTTACCGTCCCAAAGTCCGGTGAGCTGCTGGGAATGCTCGCCGAGCTCATCCCACATTTTCTCAAGGTTCGACACGCTATACATCTTCCAGTTAGAACACATCAAAGGAGAATTAAGAAAAAAGGAACAAAAAAAAAAAAGAAAAAAAAAGAGGCAAGACGCCCAAAAACTCACCTCTCGGCTACTGAAATCGCAATCCCCTTCTCCCGACATGAAGCCAACAACCGCCTCTTCGTCCTCTCCCTCTTAAACCACGTCATAACCTCCCCCTTCACATACCCCTCCGTGCCCTCCTCGCCCTCAGGAACCGTCAACTTGACGTGGATCTTCAAGCTATCAGGGTGATGCGTGATGGCGATGATCTCGTCGAGGAACACGCCAAAGTTGAACGGCGGCTCGTACCGCACCCAGTCGGGCGGGTTCGTCCTCTGCAGGAGGTGCAGCTCCCACGTTCCTAGGTCCTCGTAGCCCTGGATGAAGTGCCAGTATTGCGTACCCTCGAGGGGGGTCGTGTGCTGTCGCGTGCGCACCTGCCGGACTTTGTAGTCGTCGTTATCGACCGAATCTCCGCAGAGAGAGTCTGTGTCCGTGAAGCCCTCGTAGGCGAATTCGTCTTGTGCCGTCGCTGTTTGCTGCTTTTGTTCTTTTTGGTCTTGTTCCTTTCCCTCCCCACCCTCGGCGGTTGGCGCTGCTTCGGCCAAGACGTCAAGTTGTTGTTGCTGTTGTTGCTTTACCTGCAGCTGATGCAGGGGACCTGCAATTTTCGGACGCTTCGATGGACGGCTTGTTCCGCCAGACGATGTATTGGCGGAAGCGCCACCCCTTTCCCTCCGCCTCTGCCTGTCAAGCCTCGAGCCGGGGCTCTTGCTGCGAGGACCCTCGCCCGCCTTCGCCCCGGACGGCCTTCCAATATTCCCAAACCCGCAGAGAGCCCTCAGCGCCTGAAGCTTCGGATCACGGTAAAAATCCTTCAGCGTCTTCGTCAAGCTGAACTGGTCCCCCTCGGCGAGCATAATCTCATAGAAGCGTTGCCTCATCCACTCGGCGGGAGTCACCTTGATCTTGAACTTCTCGAGCTCCTCAAGAGTAGCCGCCAGCCGGAAGAGCGTATCGTACGTAATGATGCCGGGCGTCATCCACTTCTTCGCTACGAATTGGTACGGACTGAACGAGCCGTTTTCGAGAAACTCTAGAATCGTGTAACCACGCTTAACTTGCCGACCGAGGAGGAACTTGTTATTGGACTTAGTCCCGCTGACATCGCTCAGACAGGCCTCGTGCTTCTCCTTGTAGCCAGCGAGCACGGTCTTCGCGTTTGCAACGGGATCTTTCCACACCGGATCCCAATACGGATGGTTCTGGTCAATCTTCTCGACGGGCACGCCGGCCATGAGCTCGGGCTCGGTATACACGATGCCGTTGTCACGGAGGGCAAGAGGCGGGTTGACGAGTAGCTCGCGCTCGGCAGGGTCGATGTCGGGGATGTTCGCAGATCCCGCGGGTGATTTCGCGCGGGCTTCGACATTGTCATCTAAGGTGGCAGCCTGCTCTGAGCGTGGCGGCGCTGGAGCAATCGGCCGATGGGATGATGCCGTCGTTTCGGGCGCGCCAGCAGGACCAGTAGGGACGGGTTGCGGTTCGCGAGAGGTTGATGGTTTGTCATCGGTCTCTGTCTTCTGAGACGAAACTGGTGCCTTTTTCAATATCAAAGGTTGTCGGCCGTCTACGTCGCTATTCGTCGAGGCTGTTATACTCGAATGCGGAGGTGCGTCTTTCATTTCGACGTCTGTCGTTGCCGCCGTCTCCTGGCTGTCGGGAATCACGAAGATCGGGTGACAGCCTTGCCTGGCCCATTCGCAGTTCCCGCACCTCCCAAACAGCTCACCACGGACTTTGATACATTCGGCGAACGGGCCAGTCGACTTGGCGCAGGTGGTGCAAGGAGGAGTCTGGATCTCGCCGACGGCTTGGACCATGAACGCGACCCATTTGGAAGGCTTTGTGCCGTGGAGCTCGTTATAAATGGGTTCCAAGTTTACAGCATTGAACTTGCGTCCGGCTCGAATAGAAACGTCTCTCTTGATGGGGAGGTCCAGTAAGATGTCGACGACGGGTGTCCCCACGGGCACTTTCTTGATTTTTCCGATGAGGCGCCCATCGGAATGATATACAGAAGCGCCCGTCAAATCGTTATCGCCGTCCACAACAACTCGCTCGTCCTCCTCTCCAGGCACAACGGCCATCTTGGGCCCGAGGTTCCGGAGCTGCGTTATCAGATCAACATCCAGCGATCCCTCATCGCGATTATTCTTGAAATGCTCCTGCATATCATAGTAGGCTTTCCTCCGGCTCGTAGCCAACTTTGCAAGCGTGACCTTGTAGTCTTCCGTAAGCTTTTCAAGACTCTCATTGTGCAGCACGACACGAGCGTTGACGGCCTCCAGCTTTCGCTCGAGCGCCGCCTTCTCCCGCAGCGCCTCCTCAAGCTTGACGGAGATTTGGGCCTTTGTCGCCTCGTACTCGTACTCTAAGCGGTCATCCTCTTCACTCTGCTTAACTTTAAGGTCATCAAAGAATCTCGCCTCCAGGTCTTCGAAATCACGCCTCTCACCATCACGCGCCCTCGGCGAGACAGCCCTCGGACTCATGCTTGAATCGTCGGTGGTAGTAGCGGAAGTAGATGTGGAATGAGGCATCGGATAGCGTACTACCGGGACCAAAAGGGCTAGATGCTAGACCAATAGCCGGTCCCCGCCCTTTTACCTTTCCCTCCCTTTTGGTGATTCAATCCCCTCTTGAAAAAAAAAAAGGGTCCTGGAGAAACTCTTTTGCGTCCAGATTTTGTAGACGAAGATGTAAAGACGTAGGAAGTAAATGAGAAAATGGAGGGGTAAGTAAAAGCTTTAGGGCTCAGAGGTTCTCGTCGTCCCAGGGAGGCAGCAGCCAGCATCTAGAAAGCTGGCAGCAACTAGAGGCGGCTGTTGGTTCCCGGGCCGAATCGGGACAGAACGTAGGCCTGGGTCAATATGAGGAAAACCTGAGCGGCAGGCAAGAGTTGATGATGGGAAAATTAAACAAGACCCAGGCCTCTAATTAGTATGGCGACGACAGGATTAAACTTGCGCGGGCTTATCCGTCGAGACACAAGAACGGTGGTTGGCCCATGGGTCAGAGCCTTGCGACGTTGTCTGGTGATGCTGGGACAAGAATGGGCTGCGATTGGTCAAAGGCGCTCATTCACAAACGCGCGGATTCGTGACTTCGAAAGGGGCGGCGGTGCCGTAACGCGACTAGACCTCTAAAGAATCGCTCAATCCCTCCCCCGTGATATCCGAGATCTAAGATTAACTGCCGTAGAATGACCCCGGGATACGGGGGAATCTTCGCCGGAATGGAACGGCGATTGACTGATTGATTGCTTGATGGAAAGAGAGGCTGCAAATGATTGGTTAGATTTAGGCAGCCAAGCGATTGGCCAGAGCTGAAGCGATAAAATACGACCAGCGAAGGCGCTGTGGGGGGAGGCAATCAATGGACTCGTGCAGTGAGGCTTGAACCATACCTTTGTGGAAAAAGGCAAATCTTGCATGAACGCCAGTGGTGGAAGAGCCGGAAGTGCAACCGCCGGGTAGGTAATTCGTTGGTTGCGCTTGGAGAGATATCAACGATAGGTTCTGTGAAGCGAGGCAGAGGTGACGCGACTCCCTCTGCAACTCTCTCTGCGACTCTCTCTCTCTTTCTCTTTTGAAGGTGAGACGTAGCCGCGTTTAGATACGCTTCGACGGCAGCAATGGCTAGTGTCGGATAATTGCGAGAGGCTACGAAACTAAACGTGTCCGATAAGGTTAAACGTTCGCTGCGCTGATACGATGCGATGCGGTTGAGAGTGAAGCAACACTGAATGAACACTGCGCTTTTCCTGCAACTTGGGGTGAGGTTAGAAAGTGGGGCGCTGACAACACCTCGACACCAACAGCGAGGTACTGTACAAGTGGAAGTCACAGTTGGAAGGCACAATCCTTTGTTGGTCTTCTGATTTTCTGGTCTTCACCTACTCGAATGAAGAAGCTCGGCTGTAAAGACAGAAGCAGCTTCCGGCGGACAGAAGATGGAAATGGCTCGATTGGGAATAGAAGACAGTTTAATCAGGAAAGAATGGCTGCAGTCTAAACACTATCACTCGCCAAGAGGTTCATCCCTCCGTTCTCTAAGTTTAGTTGGCCTGTCTATCACATGGTATCATCGCCAGCGCTTCACCTGATCGAAGCCGACTCGTTGATTAGTGCACGATAGCAACCAACTTAGCTATCCTGCCAAGGACCTCGATATGCGCCCAATCAACTGGTCTCGTCTATTTTAGGAAGCTGGAGAGCTCGCGACCTGTCTGCAAGTCGATAGCACACCCCCCACCGTTTAGAACTCAGAAATTCGAACATTATCTTTGTGGTCATTAAAAAGTCTCTATAGACGCTATTTACCAGTCGTCTTCGCATTCATCGATCTTCTCCCCTCTCCATGATCACATCCTGATGATATTACCTCCTCTTTCTTCCGTCCCCAAAACCATCCGGGACCCACTCGCCAATCCAACATCACTGCCGGGGGATCCAACCACACAGTTAGGTTTCGAAGCATCCAACCTTTCGAGTAGGAGTAGCCGGGGTTATAAACAAGAAAAAAAAAAAAATAAAAGCATAGGAGAAAATTTAAAAACGCCTTCACCAGACATGACCCCATGAGAGAATATCAAGCCCTTCGATACCTCTCGCTTCTCGAGTTGTCTATAATGTGTTTGTAAAACGGGTAATGGAAAAATGGAAATGGGGGACTAAAGCGTAATGGAAGAAACTAAACTAAACGGATTCTGTACTTCGTTGCCATCCTGCCTCTCAGTACTTTGTAGAGAATCGTTGGGCCGTCGGCGTGGGCGAGTATGGGTGGTCGTAGGCGCTGGATTGACCATACGGGTCGTCGGCGTATACTGTAGCTCGGCGCTCGTCTTCGGGGAGGAGCTCCTTCACTTCCCAGTTGTTCATCCTGGTTCCCACAGAGAACTCGAGGTCTTCCTTGGTGATAGAATCCCAGTACTGTCATCGCGGCGTTAGCAAAATTTCGTTTCATTCGGGCTTTAGGCCGCCATCCCAATCGCGACGGGAATCTCCTTACCTTGTAGACCATCATGACCGCCAACAAGTTGCACGTCGTGGCGAAGAAAAGCCCGTCAACATAGTGGCTAACCGCAACGCAAATCTTCGAGCTGAAAGCGTACATGAGGACCTGGCCAACAACAAAGAAGAACAGGCCAAAAGCAATGTCACCAAGCGGCCAGCGATCTTGAAGAGTCCTGACGACGAGGAAGATCTGCATGGCGACGTAGACGAAGAGTTGGATCGCGTTGAGCAGGTACAGAACGACGAACAACCCAATAGTATTGGTTGGCGACAGACCCGCCCACGACTTGAAGGTAGCAATCGAAATGAGGAAGCTGATGACGAAGCCGACGAAAGAGCAGATCCGAAGAAGCCAGACGGAGAGAGGCGTGCCGTCCTCATACAGTTGGAAGCCCACGAACCCGTTCACCAATAGACATGTTACGACGGCCGACGAGAGACCGTTTTGGATCGCGACAAAATACGGATACGCGTCGGAGCCTTGAGGAACAACGCCAGCATCGACACAGAGAGAAATGAAGGTGAGGAGCATGTAGAGGTAGAAGAAAGTCGTAATTTCCTTCCGGCCTGTCCAGGTGTTAGAATCCGACATCTCGACACACCTCTTCGTCGAGTTCCATTTCGAACCAAGGCATGGTGAACCTACCAACAGCGGTGAATTTGCCTCGAACATGGAGCACCATTATCACCGTCATGATCAGAGCAACAATGTGCATGGCGCTCGCAGCACCCTCGAAAATCATCGTGTTCGCCAATTCGATATTGCGGGCATAGCAGTTAGGCTCGATACCCACGTTACTCGAGACTGACGTTATCGGCCCAATCGAGGCGCATAGTGGCATCGGCGCCGTACGGCAGAGATCTGTAAAGTCGCCGAACCCACCCATTTTGGACTCTGGGTATTAATGAGTTGGGGGGATCACGATGTCGATGTCGAGAGACAAAAAGAGTCCGTTCGAACCCCCCAATTTCGCGTTCTTTTTCGGACAACTACGTCCCGCCAGGGGGCGAGGGGCAAGGGGATAGAATATCTCGCGGTAATCGGTTGAACGATTAAGGAACGAAGGCACTCTAAAGACAAATTATCGCGAAGCAAGAATTACGAGAGAAATGCAGCGGCTGCAAAGTCGAAGCAAATGGTGGCCCAGCGAGGGAAAATTCGATCGGCGGCTGACACGAAGAGGAAGACTGAAAAGACGGGGACGGCTGGTCGAAGAGGAAAGGGGGCCGAGTTGTTCGATCGATCGATCGTGTCTCGACAGGGCTCAAGGTGCAAAGACTCTGTATTTCGCTCGTTCGTGCGATAATTCCCTAGGATTGAAAGAGATTGATCCGAATTGTTTACCGTATGGAGGGGTTTGTTGCAAAACGAGTGACGATGTTCAAAAGGGTTGGGGCTGTTCCGAGGAAACCCTGCTGAACGAGAAGCGAGCGACAGGCGGCTGAGTTCAAGATTGGGAAGGATGGGGCCAGCAGGGCGTTGCTGGAGGAAGGGGGAAAAAAAAGCGGAACATCCGAGTTTGGGGATGTGTCCCAGGACGCTCGTTCCAGTTGCTTTGCCGCCTCGTATTGGCTGCTGCGGACGGAAATTGCCCAGCAACATACGAAGTAAACTGTACGAAGTACCTTTGTAGCAACACAGGTCATTGATTCCTTCCCTTTTCGAATGTCAGCCAGTATTTGCTCGGAGAGTCACGTGGTTAATTTAGATGAGCAAAAAAAACGCGATGTACCTTTGTACTTTGTATTACTCCGAATCTGATTTCCATGTCACTGCCACTTCCACCCAGCCCAAGCCGCATCCATCCCTTGTTTTGCCAACTTGTGTCAAGGTGAGACGATCAAAACAAGTGTTCGGTGAAACAAGCACCGGCTCCTCTACCAAATTCAATGCTTTCTCGCATATTGCTTTGATCTAGATATTGGCTCTGCTACAATATCAACTTTATTCGATATTTCGCAGCTTATTACTACTTTCTACCTTATGTTTTAAATCCTGATCTCGGACTTCTTGCGCCGCTACCAAATACGCTGCAGAGACGCGAACAATCCGAAGAAGCAAGTTCAGTCTTTTTAATGTAGTCATCGTCGAGCTTATATACATCTTCGATAGCCACAACCTCAGCTACTCCCTGTTTTGTGGACTCGGTTACCTCTCTGACATTCCCCGCCTCGACGACTGTGAGCTGCTGTGAAACGACCTGAGTTGTCTCAATTGTCTGTTGCTATCGGTCTCGCTTGATCTTTAGATCTGAAGTTGAGAGAACGGGAGGCGTGTGTGCAGATGACCCTAGGGGCAAACAATTTCTTCCAGCTCTAGAATCGACCTGTTCATGGCGTTGGTTGGGGAAATGCAGCCGTCCGGATGTCCCCATGTATGCAGGTCTCCAATTTGCCTCAACTCACCCCGAATCACCGTTGCGGATCGATTCTCACGGCCCCTGGGCGAGGTCTTTATTCCCGGACTATCAATGGCTTTCAGCAATAACTTCTCATGAGGCGAATTTCATGATGAACAAGGCCGGTTTACTTTTTGTGCAGCAAACCGATTTCTCACTCCAGTGACGAAGGGTAGCCAACTCAGTTGGGCACGCGGCGGAAACTGCATTTTCATGTCTTTTTCCGCGATGTCGACGGCGACAGTTCATGGGCCCGTTTTTCTTGGAGGAAGACGCTCTGATTTACGGAGGATTCCGGAGGATTTCCAGTTACGCTGCCTCTCCGCCTCGAAATCTCAGGTTAGGGTCTTGACCGACGACGACTAGTACTTCTGGAACGTGGACTCCTTTTCGGACATCGTGATGCACCCCGTCCTACACGTCAATGTCCGTCTGTAGTACGGGTGGACCACTGAATTGCGTATGCCCCTGTTCCTGAAGATGCCGGGGCTGAATACCTCAATCGAAACTTCATGTGTTACTTATCTATAGAGGACCATAAATCGTCGATGATCCCGACCGTTTCCCAGCGTTCCCATGACAAATCACTTTTTCGGACGGTCTCTCTCGAAGCACTCATGGTGACCCAACCATCGGGGTCGACTAACGGCTAGGTAGTTGGTAAGCACGTGGGGAGATGGGCAGATGTTGAGGCGTTTGCCCGATCTCTTCCTGTTTGCTTTGAAGGAGAACGAACGGATGTTGCCATATCCTGCACTCGACGGACGATCGCGTTGCGAGGGTCCCTGTTCTGGATTTGGCGAAGTGCTTCTACGATCGTGACACGAGTGGTAACGATGATGGCTGTCTACACTCCGTCCTACGATGGCATGATCCGAGAGGGGAGTCCTTTGAGGGCTGGTTGGAGGAGCAGACCGAAGCGGCGTTTATGACATTCGTGCCTGTGTCTAGTCTCTGTCTATGGATTTCCCGTCCTTAGGCTACGAGTGAGCCAAGAGACTGGGCCAGGTTGTCCGAGTTCTACGAGGGAGAGGAGACAGAATTGGCTCCAGAAGAGCGGGGGTAATGGTCATCACAGCGAGGGAAGTTTGTCGACCACTCTGTCAAGACACGCGTAGGCCCGTCGTCAATGCCGAACAGTGAACAGTGACGCCCTGATTTTTCTCTACTTCATACGGATTGGTTGAGTTAAGGGAACCCGGCTTCTGATGGCCTAGAAACGCTGCTTTCAGGCAAGGTGGGGGGTGTATGATGAGGAAATGATCTAGAAACAGAGACGGCTCGCGAAGGGTTAAGGGTTACACGCCGCTCGCAATATGCGATGTTGCATTAAATACGGATTATTCTGCCGTCGGCTCCCCTTCCTGTCCCGGAGCACACAGATCGAAGAGAAGAGTGGTTGAGGTGGATAATGGAGCTTGGCCCGCGGATGGTCGTGGAGGAAGAGATGCTCCGAATGGTTACGACCCCGAAGATAGGATCTGACGATGTATGCGTAAACGGAGTAGATTTAATGTAAAATGGAGAAGAGTGGGCGGGCTTCGGCAGGACGAAAAAAATACGTATGACCAGTAGGCGCATTTCACAGCAATCAAGCGATGGGTAGTAGATAGATGATCGTCATGTAGAGGTCATTCTGCATCTCGTTATCATTCAAGGATGAGCGGACTACGCCATGATACAACGTCTTTTTTTTGATTGCCGAACAGGCAAGATTGTGCAACCGCCACCGGCGTACATCAAATCACTTGCTCCAAATTTGAGGCAAATAGTGCGATATGGGTGTGGTCGATATTGACTGACAGAGGTGATGTCCCCCAAAGATGGGATGACCACTTTCATGCACCTCGCTAGTATTCTCTGATGATTCCCGGTTACCTGCTTTTCCACACACCAGCACGTACGCACGCACGTACACTCTCTTATCATGTTATAAGCTGTCTTGTTTTCCAACAACGGCGTCTTTGGTCTGGTGAGCCCGGGGTTCGTGGAAATCGACTTTGAAGACGGATCTTTGTGGTCCATTCATGAGAAACGATGGACTGGCCAAGAAACGACCTCAGTTCGGTCCGGTCCACTAATAGAAACCGACGTCAGAGAGACAAATTGTTGGTTTGCCGTTTCCCCCTTTCACAGTTCACACACACCCTTTTGTGCACCCGACCCCCCCTTTTTGATCGCGCGGGCTTTAAAGGCAAGCGTAAATCATTTTACACGGTTTGTTTCATTTTCCAGGGATGAGGAGGAGGGTTTGCTCCTCCACCGTCCTTGGCCGGTCGTCCATTTTCCGCAAGTCTGGGAGTATGGGCCCCCATTATTGAGTCGCCCCCCAGCCGGCGTCTCAAGGAGACGGTTTGCGTTCTTCCGACAAGAAGGGAAACTATTTGGCGTGGTCGGGGCTTGGTCAGGCCTGGTCGAATCGTTTCCCACAGCGACTGTATCAAGTTAGTGCCAGTTAATCAAGGAAACGGGAACTTCAAGAATCTTGGTTCAGCACGTTGCGACCCTGGTTTAAAACACTTTAACAGCCCGAGCCACACGGACCGAACATCGACAAAAAGTTAAATGACATTGCGATGGCAAATGGGAGGAGGGATGTCCCCCGCTGCTTTCAACCCTTCCTGGCGGAGGCAAATGGAGTTCTGACGTCGACCCTCGTTTCGTAGAATCCCTCCTCGATATCCCAACAAAGGGGTCCCCATCGAACTAGGATTATGACTAGGGGATTCTCCACTATCATCAGAGAGAAGAGGAGAAGGGTGCATTGGAACGGGCTGGCCTGCCCTGGTCCCTTCAGCTTTCGGGCTCTGAGACACCACACCTCCGGTATGGAATTTCGAACAAAAATTTAAGCAACTTTTTCCAAGGCCGTTTGAACGGCTGTGTTTACGAAGTATCTACTTCGTAAGAGGAGGTGTAATCTGGAATTTGCTTGCAGATCCGTCTGCTTTTCGACTAGGAACTCTGCATCCCCTGCACCTTGGTCCTGCAAATCTCATGAATAATACTCCTGCGACGGAGCTACTCCCGTGTTATTGCACTACGAGAGAAAAGGGCAGGTGAGGCAAAAAAGTAATTAACACGGGAATTACAATTGTGCGCAGTCGCGTAAAGGCTAGAAGAAAGACTCTGGGAGTCTGGATGAGAAGCGAGACCTGGAGCCAAGAAACCGCAACGAAGTACACTTGGCGGAACATTGGACAGACCTGGAAGCGGTTTTATGTGTGCCCAATGGATGGACTCATACAGAGGTATTCCTGCATTGATCCTCTGGCAAGTGCGCGTTCACCACAAGGCTGGAGTGCTGCATAATTCCACATCGAAATCCCACCAACCCAGAAAGTCCTTGGATCCCACCATCCTACCTTGAGAAAAAAGAAGTGCTGGGAGTGGTCCAAGGGTGTGACGTTACAACATTGGGTTCGCCTCTGGCACGGAGAGAGATATACTTGTAATATCCATCGTCAATATCGAACCGAGCGATGAAC